CGAGCGCGTGTGTGGGAAAATTTGTTTTGCATCTGTTGTACACATAAAGGGGCCTAATTACACCAGCAATAGCGAGCAAATAGATTATTTGATGATGCTGATGAGTGACTGCTATGCGATTGTGTGCGGAGAATTTTATGGCCCTGCCGACTTTTTACATGCACACACGTGATCAGGTCGAATTTTCAGACTGATAATTGTCCGAGCGGCAACGATTTGCCGAAGACAGGCTAATTGATACCCACGTCAGCTTGCTCGCTTTTTGACAAACAGGCCAATTATACAGAAATTTGAGTACATGTAAAACATTGAACTCGGCGTGACTGTTAGAAAATTATTTGAAAGAAAAAAATTTATTCTAGATAAAAGAGGGATGAAGTTTTAATTAACGAGACGAGCTTTGAAAATAGACCAACTGCAGAAGTCGAGAGAAGCAGAATTGAAATCATCCGAGAGTCGCCTCGGGTCCTCGAGACTTAAGGAAACTGATTAATTGTCTGCTGCAGGATTAAGAGAAGAAAGGAAAGGAATGCTGCCGCAGCGGCGGCCGTTCTTTCTTCGACTGACTCGCTCACTTTTCATCCTTTAGTATAATAATTCTCCGCTTTTTGTGTTTGTTTTGATGTAGGATGAAACGTTTCTCTGCTCTCTCTTGTGCTCGAGACTGAATTTCTCAGCAGCACTCTGGCCAGTCAGTTGGAATTGTAAATTATACGGCGGTGGCTCGGTCAACAACTGCTGATTACATTAAAAAAGGAGGGACCACCAACGTTTAATAAGCAGACATGCACCTCCTCTATTTTAATTCCTGATTATAAAACATGATTGCTTTATAATGTCGGATTACATGTAAATATTTTAACAAGCAGTGCGGCCAGTTTTTTCCACCAAAAATACACGGCCCGCGAGTGACGCTCCGGGCAATTTGAGCCTTTTTATCTCGACTTTTATTATCACTAAAAACCGCGCCAGAGAGCATAAATAAATAAAAACCAGTTGTAAATCGCGACTGAAAACGAGCTGATTAAATCAGTTAGTTTTGCTTCTTCAGGGAATTCTCGCCAAATTTCGTCTGCGTGAATTCCTCCTCATTTGCTTTACAAGGCAAAGATGAAGAAGAAGAAGTGCATTGTCCAATTTAATCTATTCAACAGGTTCCTGGCATAGCAGCTTTTGTGAGGAAAACTAAAGTTTACAGAAAGGCCACGCTGCTATGGTCAGAGAAATTTTTGACTGACACTTCTAGGTAAATAGAAAGGCACCTTTTTGGGTTGCACAATGGGACAGTGCACACGCATGGAGAATTCTCCTAACAAGCGTGCAGGCAGGGGGCACGAAAATAAGAAACAACCACCACCAGAGTCATCCTTATGAAATTCTCTCCCCTACACGGTCGAGAGAGCAGCACAAAAAGATTAGCAGCCGTTTTCCCAAAGGCCTCTAGGGAGCTTGGCTTGGGACACATTCGGTTTTTTGCCACCCCCGCGCTCTCTCTCTCTCCATCGAGTTGTTCTCATGCTCGCCCAAACGATGACGGACGAAATTCTGATGCACCCTTGCTGAGAAAAACACACACACACAGTAGGCCATCTTGCATTATTATCTAGTGCGAAAGATAAATTATGACAAAAGTAAACACACAAGACGGCAGCCCCTAGATTGTTTTTTGTCTCCCGCCAGGCGTCGGCGACACGCTCGCTATTTTCACAATATGAATTTCATTGTTGACAGAGGCGGATGCATTTGTGAAAATATTATGGTGCGAGATTTGCCACCCTGCAGCTCGAGGGGCCGCCAAGGAGCGCGCGCACAGTTGGTCTAGGAGTAATTTGAGCTCCGGACTAATGCATCGGCAATTATTGCTGGGCAAATATAGAATGGGGCTCTGCTTGTTCAAAAGGAAAGTGTGTAGGTAGGTTTCTTTCTCGTTTGTCACCTGAACCGAGGGATGTGTGCGGAAATGACGAAATTTGACAACAACAAAAATTATGAGTTGAAACCAACAATAAATACTTTGATTCTTTTGTGAAGAAAAATAAATTGAATAATTTATCACAAAAATTATTTCATTTAGTAAACAAAATGGGAAAAAATTAAAAATATAATTGCAAGATTTTGAGTCCATTAATTACACAAAAAGCGGTGCAACCTCAGAAGTATTCTCTATTTTATATTATTTCTTTTTTCAAATCATGATTTTTAATTTTATGAAGACTTATTTTTTTAAATATGTAAAGATAAATTGTTTTGCCTTTTTCTTTCCTTTGATAACGTCTGAGAAAAATGCCAGCAGCGTCAGGATTTAAGTCCCTAGCCATTCCCGCGTGCACAAATAAAATGTTCCTCTGACAGAATCTTGATTTTTGACTCTCCTCCTCCACCTTTGTGCTGCACATCCTCCTCCTCGGACCGCACCAAATCTGATAAAGCACCGCAGATTGCGCGAGGAAAAGCCAAATCGTCGGCAGCCAGCTGCCGACAGCCAGTTTTGTAAATTGTACAAAAAGTATCAGTGCAGCGCGATCGCAGAGGCCGGTCGCGCAAGCAATATGGGTGCCGCCGCCGCGTCTTTCTTTCTTTCCACTCGGCAGACATAATTTATTTGTATATTGTGCAGCAGGAAGGACAATTCGCTCCGTGCTGGCCTCATCTCCATAACTGGCTAACTGGTCGGTCGCAGCATTAATTCAGCTTTTTCTGTCCCTGTCTCTCGGGCTGCCAGTATAAATTTACCCGCGTGCAAGCAGTTTGCATCCGAACACCCTCGCGTTGCTGACTCCTCGAGAGACCCGTAGGTGAGTCTCTCGCTGTAAAATAACTGTCTTTCTTATCCAATCGCAAAAGGCAGCAGTCACGATTCTCTCTCTAGCTGGGCAAATAAATTTCAAAGCGGACTTGTGTCGGGGCAAAAAACAACACGAGGCGTTCAAAAGGCGATTTCTGTGCCCGAGATGGCTGGGGAGATTATTTATCTTCAGGTGCTGCCAGTTCTTAAGAGGGTTTCCACCCCCCTGCAGCAAAGATAGGCTTCCCAACGAGGCTTAGTTATTGGAATGATGAACGTCTGCGGACTAGTGTGACATTTCAGACCTACCCAAAGGGATTTTTCAAGATAAAGGATCTCGCGCTTGACACATTTCACCGCCAAGTGGAAGAGGAAGAAGGAATTTGGACGTGCAGGAAAACAGGAACAGTTTCATTAGTTGACTCAATCTGCTGCACAAATTTTAAAATTAACTTATTCGACTGAATAAGGAAGCATTGTCAAACAAAATTTATTACATTTAGGAAAATTTTCTATAATTTTTCAATTTCATTGGGTTTTTTCAATTTTTTTTTAATTAAACAAAAATGGAACAGGAATAAAATGAAATTTAAATTACATTTTTGCTCTGTAGTAATTAATATTTACTGAAAGAAAAATTGATTACATTAAATTTATATCTGTATAAATGTATCAAGATTAAACCCAAATGGGTTTAATAAATAAATAAAAGAAAAATTCCAAATTATAAAAAAAAATCTAATTTATAAATTATTAACATATATATTTCCTCTCGCTTTTTATTATCATTACTTATTCTTCTTAGTCGATACAAAAAAAATTTGAGATTTTTTATAGAATAAATTTTAAATTCTTGAGGTTTACTTCTTTTCAAAGGATTTGTCAGTGCAAAGAATTTTACTTTTTATAGCATAAACTGTCTCGCTTTTGGCACACGCTCTCGATCACAGAAACGTCTCGCTGGCTGCTTTTTGCGCGACCAACTCCACCACACAAGTGGACAACATTTCAGCGGGACGCAAGTGGCAGTGCGTTTGTGTGTGATTGACTTTGATGGCTCAATGCGAAAGAGCTTGTCAAAAAGCAGGAATTTCTCACTGTCGCCGCTGTAATCGCCCAAGAGAACAAACGCGCGCGCGAAAAAAGAGACGAGAGGGAATGCTGGCGAGCAAAAAAAAAAAGGATGCTGGAAAAGAAGAACAATCAGCAGCAGCGCAAGGCACGCACTTTTGCGAGCTGCTTGAGTGATGGAGCAAGTAAAAATATTTAACTAGCGAGGTGGCATGAATGGAGGCTGTCATCGTGATATTCAATATGCTGCTAAAAAACTGGTTGAATAACTTAACATCGCTGCATGCTCGCTCGCTTGCTCACACATACATTCATGTGCGCGAGAGAGATGCATGGTGGCTCGAAATTTCGCAGCTGCAACAAGCCTCTTTGTGCGCGAGGATAATCGCTGGGTGGAGAAAAGCACAAAAGCCTCAGGTTAAATTAATTAAATTTATCAAATTCAAGATCAAAAAATTAATTGTATTTTTATTTTCTAACTTCACAGAAGATTTTTAATTTCTTATTAAATTTGGCCAAATTTTAAGTTCGTGATTGTAAAGCAAGATTAATTTATTAAAAATGTTAATAAGCTCTCATGTCTTAATTTGGTCTGATTTATGACGGAATCACGCCGGAATTTATTACTTTCGGGATTCTCACGACGATTACGGTCAGAAACACACTTACAAGCCAGCAATAAATATAACACGCGGAAATTATGCCTTTTTAATTTTAACCACCGGATAAGTAGGTTCACAGTTTGTTAACTCGGAACGCTTTGTTTTCGGCCGGCGCTTGCACAGAAGTCCAACAGGCTGGACCGTTTCCAATCGGCGCGGCAATAAAATAAATCAAGCATGCAATTTTCCTCCTCAATCATTCGGGCGGCGGGCGCAAGGCCAAAACAAGAGAGGCTCGCCGGTAATTGCTATTGTCAGTACCCCGTGATTGAACATCAACAAGTCCAACTCGTTAACGAGCCGCGAGTATTTCATGCGATCGTTTTGTTGCAAAACAACCAGCGCCTCCATTATACTTTTCTCTCCTACGCGAAAAATTCCGCACACCTCTCGCGCTCATTTACATTCACATAAGAAAGACATAAATTGCAAAGCACTTAATTAATTAATTAATTTGGAATAAAATCAATTTTTGAACTCACCTAAAAGTCGCATGGTCTCCTGCCTGCTGATGTAAATGTTGAGGTTGCCGTGACAGCCCATCAGGCTGTACGCGGTCAGTACCACGATCACGTGCTTCCACATCGTGTCTGGTCACCTGGACATCTGACAGGTGGAAACTTTTGTGGCAACTCGAAGAACTCAGATTTGGAGTGTGAAGAACTGAATTCGGTCCGAATTCCACGAAGGATGTAGTGGCGGCAGGTGAGCCGGCTCAGGTGTGTGTACCTGGCAGGTACACACGGGCAGGTAGGTCGGAATTTGGCGGCGGACGAGACTCCGAAGGGCTCCTGCGGGTTGCTCGGCGGACGGAGCGGTCGCTGGGAGACCCTGAGGACGCTCGAGGGACGGTGTGACCGAATGTCACACGCGCTAACGCGGTCAGAGGCGAGCGCGAGTGTAGTGCGGGTTGCTCTCTCGACGCTCAACACACGACTGATCTCTCTGCGGAGTGCGGAGCGCGGTGAGACCGCGGAGCAGCACGCCAGCCGGTCGCGGTGGCGGTGGAAAAAGGCTCCGAGGCGGCGCGAACGGCCGAGCGACGACCGACCGATGATGGCATGCTGATTAGAAGGAGGAGAGGCACGCAGTTGTTAACCAGCATCCAGTTCGTGGTACTCTCGTTCTCCTACCTCGACTCGCCTGCCTGCCTGCCTGCCTGCTTGGCAAAGAAATATATATTATTATACGAAAGGATTGAGAGAGACGGCGATGATTATTGTTGGATGCTGCTTGTTTGCCTCTCTCGCTGCTGGCCGGGGCGATAATCGCTTTATAGCAAGCGAGTGGAGATTGGGCCCTTTAACGAGGTGGTGCGTTGCTATTTTCGGTCCGTTTGTTGTTTTTGTTTCTGCCGTTTAATTGATAATCGCCGCTGCCACGCGGAGACGTCACACAGGATATTTTCGGCGGTGCACCGTTCACAACGAACATTTCAGGTGCAACGTGTTTGAGGAAATAAAAGTTAAATTTTTTTATGCATTTAAAATAATTTTGTGAATTAATGTTGATTTTAGTTTTTGTTTTTCAAACTACATATGCATGTATTTAATGCACCACTTATTTTCTTCTATTAACTACGTATACTTATTTAATTAACTTAATCCTTTCACTTTGTACGTCATGACACATTATAGTAAAAGTAATTAAATTTTGATATTAAAATTTTCACAATATGTATAAGATATTAATGTAAATAAAAATTTTTCGGAAAATGTTTTCAGATCGTTATGCGCGTTGTATCTCGCAAATTTCTGTAGTTTTAATTTTTTATTTTTGAAGATTTGGACGATATATACCGATTTTTGTATTAATTTCGTAGTCAACAAACTTCATTTGCAACTAACAGACAGTTTTGGAAAACTATAGCTTAAAAATTCAGTTTTGATAAGAGATAAAAAAATATATTACATAAAACTTGTGTATTAACAGAATCAAACGATATTGTAAGTTAAAAGTTTTTTTGTTTTATTTTATTACTTATATTTATATTTGTGTGTATATATTATTCTATATAATTTTGCTACTTATAACAAAATTAGCCAAATTTTCTTTCACAAATATTATTAATTTGTTCCTATTCATTTAAAACAAAAAATTATTTATAGTTTGAGTGGCACACAATGCTCAATGAATGGCAAAGTATTATTACATATTATTCTTGCGAATTATTGAATTATAAATGTCAATGGCAATACTATTGGAAAATGAGATAATCATTACGTCAAACAATTGATTATTTTACTTCGACCCTTATATTAAAAACATTAAATGTTTTAAAAGTCGGTAAAAATAAACAATTTAGTATTTTTCTGGGATGTTTATTTTGAATATATATATATAATGGAACTTCATTAACATATCGGAATGCTAGAATATATAATAATGGTTTTTTTGAGTTGTTATAAAAGCTAAATTGGTATATATTTCTATTGAAGAATAAAATATAATATCTTGAAAATTTAGACAGTTCAAGCAGCGAATAAAAAAATTAACAATATAAAAAAAACTTAATTTCAACGTCATGAAAGTTTTTATTAACAAAAATACATCGTTTGTTCTCAAACTTGTATTTATAATTATAATATATTATAAAATATAATTTTTAAATCAACCCCCGTTTCAGCATCTTTTATAGCGCAACAAATTTTCGGTGTCGAAACTTTAAGAACTCCGCCTTTTTATCCCATTCCATATTTTACCTCAAACAGGTGGCAATTGATTCAACTTGACAGCACATAAAACACTGGAGTTAAAATCGCTAAGCGTCCGCGATTAATCACGCGCAAAAATCGTCCTGCCACAACGCAAACAGACGCGAAAATAAATAACGTCAGGCACAAAACACCAGACAACTCCGAGCAGCTAAATTAAAAATAAAGAAAGACAAAATAACCCGCAGGAGCGAAGGAGATTCCAGCTTCACGCAGCGCCGCGATTTCATGCGAAATTAATTTGCGCGCGCACAACCAGCGAATCTTGATCCACAATGAGCAATTTATGTGGCGTATTTTGACAGGCTGCCCAGGACCATATAAAAATAAACTTTTTATTGCGCCAGGTCTTGTTTGCGTCGAAGAAATCTTTATTTACCTTAACCATGCGCTAACTAGCCTGGCCACGACTGCCGAGAAAAAAACCTTAAGCACATACATGCGCAGCAGGGGTGGGGGCGCAGGAGAAAAATTAACAATTTATGCAAATAATGGCTGCACAGCATGCAGAGAGCAATAAAACGTCTGGTCGGGCTGGCTGGCTCTCTTGTCGTGACCAAAGCAAATAATATATAAGAAATAAGATTTTATGATGTGCTGTAAACGAGTTTACCTGGCTTGCATGGCCGCGGCCAGCAGAGTGAGGTGTTCATGCACGGCTTGTATATCTCGCGCAGATCGCGCGCGTTCTTCTCTCCACAATCCTCGTTACTATTTTTTCCAGCCTCTTCCCATCTTGGGCCTTCTTAAATATGCTAGCATTAACGTTAAAGCCTTGGGCCGTGTCTTGTTATAGGCATCGTGCGCTCCCAATGAGCCCGCGCCTGACACACCACTTTTGCTCAAAACGACGTGGTTTTGGCCAGCTATAGTGGCGCCTGATTTGCATAATTTCTTAATTTAAAATTTGGTGCTTCTCTCGTGAAAAACAAATTTCTTAGAATCGTGGGGGGGGGGGCGTTGAAAAAGGAGTTTTAAATAATTTTAATTTTGGCTATACTGGCTGTAGTTTTTTTTAAATGTTATGTGGTATCCAATTTGAGAAGTAAATTGGATAGCGATTTGTCTCACAATCACTGGATTGTAGTTTATATTCTATTCCAACATTAATTTATTAAATGTATAGGCAACAATAGCGTCTCAGTCAGTGATTTTGCCTTACCTTCACACTCATTTAACAATAAGACTTCCTATTCCGTACGTATTGTGGGTGGGTTAAGATTTGCAAATATATAATTTCATATAATTATATTATAGGCATAAGAAATGTCATTTTTATGCAGAATTCTCATTGATAAAAATCTAGATGGTGAGAAAGGTTTTTTTTCATAAATGTAGTTTTTCATTTTGAAAATAATTTTTACAAAATTGCTTTAAAAATGGTGATTTTAGTTGATGAAGCGTTTGTATAGGAATATGTTTCTTTCTATATAGTTACATGTCAAATCGATGTCCAAAATGACTATACAATCTAAAAAGAAAAATTTCTAATAAGCACAATAAAAGTAAGTTGAATTTTACATTTTTTTTTAGTTTAAAAACCAAAAATCACAATAATTTAAGTCAATTTCCCTTTAAATATTAAAAAAAAATTTTGTTTAATGTATTATCTATAAATCAATTATAACTTATATTTTAACAAATATAATTATATCTCATTGTTAGCAAAAATAGCCTCAGCCTCATACGCAAAATATTTTACTGGAAGGGAATAAATAAAAATTTTTATTTCACCTTTCATCCCAAGGTATTAAAAACAAAATTCAGTCCGCAAAAATATAATTTCTTTTTGTAAGTTTTATAAGCTTCAACTATAGCAATACATTTTTAAGTACCAGATCATGCTCTTTTTATTGAGGTTGGAGTCTGCATGTGCGGTTTATTATTTGTCGATAAAATCGCTATTTGCGGGCAATTTTGTTAATTTCAGTCTGTGTATGTTCGCCACCGGGCTGATCAAATAAAACAATTGAGGGTCAATCAACTCGCAACCTCTCTCGTCTCCTTCACTCAACCGCACGCTGACGAGTGCAAAATTACTCTCGGCCGCAAGACCATCAAGATCAAATGCACAAACCAGCAGCACATCTCGCTTTTTGCAGCATTTCGTTCGCCATTTGGCCGGCTGAAGTACTGCAGGAAAACACTTATGTGAATGCCATGTGAGTCAGCGTTCTGAAAATCTAATTACGTGTGGAATTTTTTGTGTGCTTAAAGGATCCTGGAAAACAAACACTTTTATTTTTTACTCATCATACAAAATGTATTGCAATGAACAACTAGAAGTTGCTTGGTTGTAATTCAAACGAAAGCCAGAAATATAATAAAAGGTTTTTTTTAACAAAAGAAATCTTCAATGAAAACGTGTTAATTTTCTGTAGAGTGATAAAAGTAAAGTGTGTTATAAAAAAAACTTTGCCTGATAGTGTTTTGTAAATTTAACCAATTACTTTGGAACCAAAAAGCTCAATGCTGATCCAATGAAGCAAGGCTCCGAAATGAAAATTACACACCAGTCCATGTGAACGAGAATAAATAAAGAAGAAATAAGGTGCCCTCCCCCGAACTGTCTGGGTTGAATTGGCCTGATATAATTTTTAAACAAACAAAAATTACATATAATTTCGTGAGACTTGAGAACGGCCGTCTCCTCTTATTGGCGTTGCTCTTTTTTTCTGCGCACAGATCATCTCTTCCTATTATTTATTTTGTTCCGAATAAAGCCGCTCTCCTAACTCTTTGTTTTCAAACGAAATTGCCATAATTACCGGGTAATTTATAATGTCTGCAACCTCGTGATTTGCTACAAGACAAGTCAAATGAAAGCATTGTTTCCAAATTTTTGCAGAGGGAATAAACCTATAGACGTCGATTAAGATAATATCGTCGATTATCATAAATATAAATCCGTCAAAATAAAAACAAATAATAAAGTTAATTTAGCCCTCAAAATTAATTTACTTCAAATCCCCCATATTAATTTTTTTTTAAACGAAAATTTAATTTTAAAATTCTTAATTTCATTCTTGATCCCTCAGAATTTATTTTAAAATGGATTAAAACTGAGATTGCATCATATCTTAAAATAACTAGAAAACAAGACATAATGTATGGCCTATAAAACGAAGCCCTGTCTCGTCAAAACGATTAGCATTATTAGCACAGCGAGTCATGAAATTAAATATCGTGGTGTTGCTTCGGAGTCAAAACTGTGGTGCTCATTAAAAAAGATAATGGCGGCAGTAAAGTGAAAAGGACGATTTTTAACGCTCATTTTATGTTCTCGTCATCAAGCGGACATAAAATAAAAGACTTGAAGACCAATATCAACCGGCACTGCCTCTTCTTATTCAAGCAGTAACAAGGGACGCTGTGAGCACAATAAATCCCATCGGCGCGCAGCCCCAGAGCGAGATGCTGATTATGCAGCCAGCGTGTCATTTGATACAATTTTTATTCGCTCGTGTTTGCGAGTGTGTTTCTGGTGTTCATAAATTTGTGTAACTCTGTCCGGGCACGCTGGCTCTGCGTGAGATTCATTACGACCACCTTTCGCACTTAAATTTCAAACCGGCTACATAAACTGTGCAACCAACAGACTTGTGTTTACGGACATGGTTCGATCTGTGCCTCGCTTGTTTGCCGTTTAGTAGGGGCGGATTAAGGTACTGAAATTTTTATAAAGTTCTTGATACTTCTAAGTATAAAAACGTTATTTTTTTATTAATATAAATAAATTGATTTTTAAAATTCTATTAACTTATTGCAATTCCTATGTTTAAGATTCAATTTATTATTTAAATTTAATTTAGGAACAAGCAACAATAAAAGTTAACTCGGACAATTTTATTTTCTAATTACAGGTTATTTCATTTTTATTTGTAATATTTCTTTAGATATAAAATGTAATTATGAAAATTGTGCACCTATTACTCTTTTAATAAATTTTATACATTCACTTTTAAACACCTGAAAATTAAAAAAAAAAAATTGCAAAATCACTAACGTTTTTATTGCCATTATAATTATTTTTATTCTTCATAACTGCTTCATATTATTTCTTTTTTTTTTCTTTAAATACAAAAAGAAATAACTAAATTTTTTTCTCTTCTCGCCCAAACCCCTAGCCCTAGCACAAGCGCGCCACTGCCTCGGAAAGGCGCAGGGGCCGCTGCAAATTCAAACAAACATTGACTGAAAATACAAATAAACTTTGGTGCGTGTAGCAACGCATCAGACTATTCAGACTGCTTGCTACACGTGGAAATCCAGCACGGCACAATTTGTGAGCTGCAGCAGAAGAAGAGCACATGCTGCTGGGGCTAAATGGAAAACGCGGCTGCTGCTGGTCATACTCAAAATAATGCGCCTGATGTATTTATTGCGGGCACACAAACATTAGCGCTCGGTTTATTTTGCTTTGGCCGACTGAAATATTGTGTGCTGACGAGCTGATGGCGTTGCGCTATGACACTTTTAATCCACGACCGCATTCGTTGTCTTGTCTGCGGTGCATTTCAAACATAGTTCGGTGCCTTCTGGTTTTGATCGTGCAGCTAAAAAAATCAATGTGTAACGCACTGCAGGGTATTAAAGAGTAGAATAAAAGGCACATTTGCATGCTGCCATCACCAAAACTTTTTATTTGAAAGGAAAATCATTGTAATAATCTGACTGATTATCCCATTTTTGGCCTCTCTGGCCCATTTTGTGAAACTTTTAGTTTCCCTTGGTCTTGAAACGCCGGGGCTTAGGTGCGGCCTTGCGTTTTGCGCTACTAGTTATCTCAGTAGACTGGGCAAAGAACCAACCTTTGCATTGGTCAAAGAGTTTGTAGTTGTTCACGCACGGAGTTTTAGACGTAACTGGATATTGAGTAAAAAATGGAATAATTTAAATTGTATTATTTAAAGATAAAATTTTTTCACCTCGCGTTGGGCATCCCTTTGGAGGAAGTGAAATGAATTTTGTTATAGTAAAAAAAAAAAATAGTAATAATTACTTCAATTGTTCCTAAGAGCACACACTGCACCATTAGGTAGCCTCTAATATCAAAAGTAACCTTGTTGTATGTTATTGAAGTCGGAATATCATATGCTAAAATAATAGTCAATTTAAACGAGATATGATGCCATTTATTGAATGGTTTACCAGAAATGATATCGCTGCAGGTTGTAACTGCCTCTGTGATTATGTCAACCCAAGGACCACTCGTATCTTGATTCTTTGTCAGAAGTGTTGTCAGAGCATCAGTGTCTATTTCTCCATCAACAAACTAATGTTATAAATGATTTTCAAAAAAATTTTAAATGATCTAAGTCCCAAAAAGTTTACCACTCCACTTTCGTTAAGGAAGCAAGAAACAAAACTCTGAAAAATAAAATTCCTTAACAGCATGATCAGATGAAACAAAGAACATCATGTACGCTTTCTTTCCAAACTATTTTCAAAATAGTTTCATTTATGCTACTCAAGCTGATACTGTTGTTCGATTTTGTGTTCTGCAACTTGTTCAAACCAAAGGTATTGAATGCAACAAATCCGGCGCTGTTTGTGCATGATTTATATCCTTTGATGGGTGCAACCAGATCGGCTCCTGCAGGAGAGCAACAAGTTTTCATATCCTACCGAATTAAACATTTATAATTGGTGCTGTAAAGCTATGGTATAGATAATGCGTTTACTTTGTAATTTGCTGATAAACAATTTGCAGGTTTTGGAGTGGTTGGTTTTTTGGTGGTCGTAGTCTTTGTTGTGGTGGGTTTTTTGGTTGTTGTACTTTTTGTGGTTGTGCCTTTTGTAGTTGATGTAGATGTAGTTGTTGTTGCTGACTCAACTGCTCATCCGCATAATTATTGTGATCAATTCCGTTATTAAGTATTACTTTAAAGATTGATAATATTTTGCTCTACCTTCCGTTTTCTTGGTTGAAATCCAGTTAAGGTATGCACTGACTCTAGTATAAACAGAGGGAGTTCCAAGGCAGCTTTCTCCTCCAAAAGAAACAATTCCAACCTGAGTCGCATCTGCAGCTGCAGCATTCAAAACATAAGGGCCACCACTGTCTCCCTTTAAAAAACATTTTACAATAAATTTGAATTTTTCAAGATGGTTTTTAAAAAAACGCTCTAAAATATAAATGATATATTTTCCAAACAATCAAAATTATATTCGATTATTAGCATTACATCCATTACGTAAAAAAGAACTTTTTTTCAGATAATTTAAAAAATTATTCCATCTCTCATAAAAGGTTATAATATTCTTCAAAAAATATAAAATACTTGTTTTTAACACCTTATTGAATTTTCCATTGTCGATACAAACAAGAACTATTTACGATGCAGCGTTTGTAATTGTATATTATTAAAAAATATATTTTAACGTTGATAATAATTTTTGGAACCAGATTAAATCAATAATTTCAAAGTTTTTGATAGTTTTGGGAAACTGGAGAACTTAAATAATAGAAGTGCACGCTACACCCCTTTCTTATTTCTTTAAAAAAATTAACCTGGCAATCCGCTTGATCCTGTTGTGTTGCTCTAGCACAAATCATGTTTTCGGGCTCATAAGAAGAAGTATATGCAGTGGTGCAAACGTCATTAGAAACAATTGGAAGCTCAGCATACTTTAGGACGTTGCTTGTAGTTTGGGCTATTCCACAGTATTTTATAAAATTGGTTGGAGTGTTTTGAATAAATTTTTATTTACTGGAATCGGAAGTGCGACCGAAACCACTGACAATTCCAATAGTGCCAGCATCAGTAACCACTGAGGCTGTCGGAAGTGCAATCGCCTTGATGTTGTCTGCCATGGGAGTTATTAATTGTCATTGAGAGAGTTAAAAAATATTTTACTAACCAGTAAATGTTACAGCTGATGCTAAATACAGTAGTGCAATGTCATTAAAATTAGTTGTCTCGTATTGCTCGTGCCGATATGGAGTTGAGGTCTTCGTGACAAAGCCAGTGGATGGCGAAGACCGTGCTATTGTGCCAAGAACGACATCGTGGGTATATTTTTTAGTTGCAGTATCAAGCCTGATGATTTAAAAAGAAAAAATATGTAGGGTTGAATTATTAAGTTTTAAGGAAAAAAACTAACGCAATGCAGTGACCTGCAGTCAATGCCCATCTATCTGCAATCAGCGAGCAGCCACACAAAAAACCAGACCCGGTTGCATCGTAAATTTTCAGCCAGCCGTGCCATGGAAACTGCCCAAGGGTGGCAACGGAGCCTCCAATAATTTGAGGATTCAGTGCAGTCTGCTTTATAGCGAGAGCTAACACATAATTAATTTCGGTTAAATTTTTAGAATAATTATTTTATATGATGTTATTCTTTACAATGGATAGTTCTCCTGGCTTTACTTTCGCCGCGGACATTAACCTTTTCAGCCCACCATTCGGTATTTGCGACTTGCTGATTCTTTACAGACGCAGCAAAAGCAATCATCACCAGCTTCAAATTGTCAAGGAAAATTATGAGAATTGAAGTCAAATTTTCAAATAACTTAAATTTACAAATATCATTATTAAAGGGTTGCGAAAATAGTGATTTTATATTTTTATATATACCTATATTTTTATATAAAATACCATAGAATCTTAACGTTTATCAATAATGCATATTGAACATTTTACCGCATCAAAGAGTTTTTAGTTGCAATTTAACACGTATATTCTGAGATTCGGATGCAAATATTCTCCATGAAATAAATTTTTTGGATTTTTCAACAAGTAATAAGTATTATCGTAATATGATAAATTGAAAATTAACGCTGAAAGTGGATTGCATGAAAAATTGAAAACTGCCCTTAGAGGGAATGAATAGAAAGACAATTGACCCAAAAAGACGACCTGCTATCTGCTGGTGCATATCATTTTTCATACAATACAAAGATTTTATGTTGGATTGAGAGAACTTCTTTAAAATATTTTCGAGTGTCTCATTTGATCAAATTTTTTTTTAAAAAAACAACAGAAAATGCAAAATTCATCAAACAATTTTACCTGCGCTGATAGCAAAAATAATGTTAGGCCCTTCATCAGTGAAGTTCCGTTGATCAGACTGACGTGGAACTTATAGAATGGTGCTGATATCAAAACGTTGGGCCCTTTTATATTGATCAGCCAAGGTTTTTCAGTTTCCTGTTATTCTCAACTGTAAAACAGGAATTGGGAAAAATACAAAAATCATATTTTTACCGCCCATATATTTCTACTTTCTGACGCACCTCTTTCGATGGAAATTTTAAATTATGCGATTCGGTGTATAATTAAAGGCTATAATATCTGTCAAGTTTTTGGCCAAAGTTGATTTATTAGTTTTGACGTGATTCAAACAAAACGTTATGAGGTATATGGACGCATATGGAGAAAAATTTTTGTCACATATAACAATATTTTAAGTGAATTATATAATAATTAATATTTTAAATTTTATTTTTGAGATTCAAAAAGAAAAAAAATGTATATCAACTAGACCATACACTTATCTTTTGCTGACATGAAGTTTGCGCACAACTTTGTTTAATAAATCAATATTTAAGACATTTAAGTACAATATAAAATTTGAAGGATTTTTAACAAGACACAATGATCAATATTTAATGTGATAATCGTCAAATTTTTATTTCAAATAAAATCCCAATATACAAATCCATATTATGTTACATTGAACTATATGGTCACAGACTAAAACATAATCTGTGGGTCAGGCTTATTGTTAGTGTCGCTTGCCATTGTTATGGTTGGTCTTTGATCCGACCATGCGTTTTTTGCTACTAGCTGCCCCTGCAAACTGGTCAATGAACCAACTTTTGCAACTGTCGAATAAATTATAGTCTTTCAAGCATGGATTTTTTGACGCAACTATAAATTTAAAAAATTTAAATAAATGAAATAATTATGCCGCAATGCATTTAATAAAATTCATTACCTCGCGTTGGGCATGCCTGTGATGGAAGAGAAATTAATGTCGTTGCGTTACATTATTTTAAAATAAGATAAGTTTAATTACTTCAATTGTTGTAAAGACCACACATTGCACTGTTAAGTAGCCTCGAATATCAAAAGTAACCTTGTTGTAGGTGATTTCGGTTGGAATATTGTAAGCTAAAATGATTGGCACTTATTTTAAGCAGAGTGAATGCCATATTAAATTTATACCAGAAATGAAATCACTGCAGCTTGTCACTGCCTCTGTGATTATTTCAACCCAGGGACCACTTGTATCTTGATTTTGTGTTAGAAGAGATGTTAAAGCATCAGTATCTATTTCTCCATTGACAATCTAAAGGTAATAAATTTTAAACAAGACAACACATAAATTAATGAAAAAAAAATCAATATAAATTTATAATTTATATTAACTTTTTTTAAATTTACCACTTCTTTTTCATTTAGATAACAATCAACAAAACTCTGAAAATTTTCTTAATAACTATTAAGCTATAATTGAAATTGAAAAAAAAAATATACGCCCTCTTTCCAAACTGCTTTCAATAGAGCTTCGGTGTTGGTGAAGTCAACATTGTTGTTGATTTTTACATTTTGCACCTTGTTCAGACCAAAAACATTGAATGCTACAAATCCGGCACTATTCTTGCATGTTTTATATCCTTTGATTGGTGCAACCAGGTCATTTGATGCAGGTGAGCAACAAGTTTTCATATTCTTAAACATAAAGGTTTGGTATTTTGAAAGAAAAAATTGATCCAGGTGTAAATTTACTTTGTAATTTCCTGAAAGACAATTCGCGGGTTTGGGAGTGGTTGGTCTTTTGGTGGTCTTTGATGTAGTTGGTTTTTTGGTTGTTGTAGATTTTGTAGTTGATGTATCTCCTGCACAAAATTCATCAAGATATTTTGACCAATTAGAAATTTCTCATTAAATTTGAATCTTGATGTCCATTGATGTACCTGCCATCTTAGTCGCAATCCAGCCCACGTAAGCACTAACTTTGGTATAAACAGAGGGAGTTCCAAGGCAGCTTTCTCCTCCAAAAGAAACAATGCCAACCTGAGTCACATCTGCTGCTGCAGCATTTATAACAAATGGGCCGCCGCTGTCTCCCTTTGATTTAGCAAAGTTAAATTGCAAAAATAACGTAATTAGTCATTGCACGGAATTTATCACATTTATATTCAGTTTAAAGTAGTTGGTACCCTGAATTAATTTTTCAAGATCAAAAATGACATAAAGAACAATAAAATATTATTTCCTTCATTGATTTTTACTAATTATGAAAATTTATACTGTTTCATGAACTATGATTATTTATTCTCCTCGGTTATTACAAAAAAAATTTGAATTGGAAAAAAGGGAGAAGAAAGGGTAGCATTTAGTAAATATTATTTACATGCATTAAAACATTGTTTATTACTGTTTTTTTTTTTTAGTATAAATATTTTTTTTTATAAATCAATACAAAAAGAAATATAATTATATACACTAACTGCATGTTTATTTCATCAAAAATGGAAAAAATTACGTAAAAATTTACCTGGCAATCAGCTTGATCTTTATTAGCTGCTCTTGCACAAATCATATTTGCGGTTTCAAACCAAGCTTTGTATTCATTGATGCAAGTTTGGGCAGCAACAATCTGAAGATCAGCGTATTTTAAGTCATCGCTTACGTCTTGGTCTATTTTTTACAATTAGCTTACATATTATTTAGATTTGCTAATAAACGCATTTTCACTTGAATCTGAAATACGGCCAAATCCACTGACGGTGCCAACGGTGCCTGTACTGACGACTAGCGAAGCTGACGGAAGTGCGATCGGCTTAATGTTATCTGCATTTTATCGCAAGAAAATCGTTAGCTTATTGTCCTGGAAAATATTAAATCTTATTGTAACCAGTAAAAGTGACGGCTGTTTGAAATTTCAGAAGTGAAATGTCATTAAAACCCGCAGCGCTGTCGTATTTTTCGTGCCGAATCGCAGTAGAAATTTTTGAAACGTAGCCAGAGGAAGGCGAACTTCGCGCAATCGTGCCGAGAAAAACAGTATGCGTATATTTAGTACCTAACCTGAAATTTGCATTATTTCATTATTTATTGAAATCCACCATTCTTTATCGAGTACGATCAAAATCTCACTCTATGCAGTGACCAGCAGACATAGCCCATTTGTCTGCTATCAGGGAGCAGCCACATAGGAAACCAGCCCCGGTCGCATCAGAAACGTCGAGCCAGCCGTGCCATGGGAACTGACCAAGGGTAGCAACGGAGCCACCAATGATTTGCGGATTCAACAGGCTCTTGGCATTTGCTAATTTTAATTAATAAAAAATGTTAAAGTTTCGTTATATTATATATTTTATTTACAGTGAATAGGTCTCCTGGCATTCCTCGCACCGGGCACAATAGTTTTATATGCCCACCACTCGTTATTTGCAGTATTTTTGGCAGATGCAGCAACACCATGAAGCAGCATTATCAGCTTAAAATTTTCAAGAAAAATAATTTATTATATTCAAAACGTATATTTATTGAACCCCAGTGGTGTGTTATACCTTTTTCTCAAACATAAAATTGTTTTCAAAAATTAAATATAAGAAATGTAATGTAACAATTTATTATACCTGCGATGATAGCACACATATAGCGAGGCCTCTCATCATGATGAAATGAAGTTTTTTATGCTAAAACATTGAGATTTTGTAATGTTTCATACGATTCATTTCCTGCATACGTGTGTTCATGTGTTTTTATTTTATATAGAAATATGGGGTCCCACAATCATTCAGAATGAAGCAAAACCGGAATTGAAAATGTTTTCCTGCAGCCATGCCTGAAAATCTGCTGAAAATTTTATATTATTTTTCTATCGTTTGGAATATTTTACACTGCTTTCAAAATAAGAACTGGCCCAGTTGGAAAATCTGACATGTTCATGATGATTTATTGCCTTGCTCCACTTTTTTGAAAATTCTGCTAAATTTTGAATTTTTACACGTGTCTAATGAAATTAAGTAGGTATTGAAAATTTTACTTTCCTTCAATTGAGAAAAGCAATGTTCAAATACATTGGTCAAACTCAAAACGAAATTTTATCAATAAATTAATTATAATTGCTGCGTTTTATTGATTTTTAATGTTCTGAGAATACCTTGTCGACACAATGAGGCACTGCTGGGTTGTGTTTAGAACTATAACGCCATATTTCACAACAGATTGACGTCTGTCTCCTGCTTTTGTTCTGATAGTAGTGGGACTCTCATCGAAACTTATAATTTCCGCTCGGTAAAAGTATGGCGAATGTCTAATGTGTCGTGGCTACAACGGAAACAAGCAGTGGATTCAAATAAAAATCAAGCTCTATTTTTATTTTCAAATTTATAAACAATAATAAACTATAGTTATTAGATTTTCTATTGAAAAAATCGATTGTTATTATTTGGTTATTCTAAATAATTCCAGCAAAAATCTTTCATTTTCTAAAATAAATTCAGTCCCTGTCATTTATCAACCTTGGAGAGAAATAAATTGACCCTTCAAAATTTGCATCGTCACCAATTTGCGTTCCAGGCTGGAAGACAAAAGACCGAAACAATGTTAAGATAAAGAAAAGCGATAGCCGCATGTAATACAAATTACATACCGTTTTTATTATACTCGCAATCTCTAGATGCGAATTGGATTTCTGAGAAATTTTCAAACTAGAATTTGATTAGAAGCAGCAGAGTGTGTTCCACATCATCCACACATTTTTTTGCAAAATGGCAATGTTCAACTGCATGCTGTGGATTCATGTTTTGCGGGCGTGTGGGCAGATGCCAAGCAAGAAGAACATTATTTTATGTCAAGTGGAAAATGATTATCTCTCAGCTCGCATATTCCCCTGTATATGCATAATGGTTGTTTGTACAATTAGGCTTGGTAAATATCGCGCGGTAATTTGGATAATAATAAATTGAAGTGCGAGTCATTTTAATTCCTTGTGTTGAGGTGGGAAAATATGGCTCTCAAAAAGTGTGTTTGGTAAATTTAACTTTTTCTCCTGTAGTGCATAATTATTAAATGCTCAAAAACTCTCCTTCAACGTTTAGGTAATTAATTGTTAATTTCTTATAATTTATTTAATTTTGCATTAAAAAATATAATAGTTTATTAAAATGCATTTGTATTTTTCAGCTTTTTCAGTACGATGCGCTATTGCAGTTTTTTGCTGTGTTCTATGATAGCTTAGTTTAATTTTGCATGTAGAATAATTCAATAATGGAAGTTAGTAAAATCTAAATGGAAGTGACAAAAAGAATATAAATAGATTTTTATTCAAATATATTTTGTGAGCTCCTTGCATGCCGAATTTTGTGGGAATTTCCTGCTCCATAATCCTTGCCAACTGGCATTCCCAAGGGGTTGTAAAATTAGGCATCCTTATGAGCCGGCGGTTTTTGGTAAAGAGGCGAAAATGTGTTTTCGTAGACGATACAGGAGGGGTGCAGAGGGTGCATGGGTGAGTTTCGGATTTAATTCCTCCCAGAAATACTACATAGTTTTAATGGCAAACGGAAGAGCTGGTAAGAAGGGGAGTTTTTCTTCAGCTCAACTTGATCCATGCCAGAGACACATTATATTATTATTTCACTGGTTGACTCGTCATTTCAATGCACCACGCGAGAGGAATTTGAAACAACGAGCAGCTTCTGTCTTGTGAAATCCTAGCCCCCGAAGTGTGAATTAGAATGTGTTATAAGGGGATATCTATGTGTGTTTGAAGGTGTCTCGTTTGTGGCCTATGCATGTATAAAAAGAAAACCTCTTGAAAAACGGCAAAGAATTATGTGAGTATGCCTATTGTGCCTTTTTCAACGATGGGCTACTTTAACCATCTATTATTACAATGAATTGACACATACGTCATTTTTTAAGCCATTTTGAAAATATGAATGACAGGAGCGATATTTAGTTTCTAAATTAAAATTATTAATTTATTTCTCAAGGTGGAGATTTCATTTATTTTTTTTAAGGAGGTTGATTAAATAAATATGCTAAAGAAAGCATTAAATTAATTTTATAAATCATATTTATGCAATTTTTTGGCCTTGTATTTTATTTATTTTGGTGTCATTTTGTTAAAACATATAGTGCTGGCACCGAAGAGCAACTTATATAAAAAAATAAGCCTTTGATAATCGATACCACTGCAACAATTCCCTGTCATATCATTTTCTTTTTCTAAATATATCACTCCCCGCGGAGTGAATATCTTTGAAAAAAAAGTGTCTTGTTTCTTTTTTTGTACGTGCGCGACTTGTTTATTACAACGTGCACACCAAAAAAGCCAGCAAGTGAGAATCAAAGTATCACTTACACACGCGCCTTGCTTAGGAAAAAAACTCCAAGGTAAGACTATTTTTAAAGCAGTCAAATTTTTAAGATAAAAAACATTGTAAATATTTTGTATTTTAATGATAATTTAAATTTTATGTTCAATAATTATTTAAGTCTTTCAATATTTTCATGATTTTCATCAAATAAAATTTCCGGATAATTATAAAAATAAATATGTAATTTTATGATCTTTTGTGCTGAATACATTTTTTCATAAACTTTATTTAATAGAGTGCAAATTTTAACTCTAAGATAATTTTAATAATTTTTGGAAAATAAATTAAGTGCACCACAAGGCACAAAGAATCATGGAAGTCATGGAATCAACTATTGTAATTAGGCTAATTGAATTTCTTAATAAGAGTTTTTGGTCTTCTTGTTCTTGGCTTTTAGAATGAAATATGCATATATATTGTGTGTTGAAATTATAACTATATCAAAAGGTCGTTAATAATAACTTACAAAAAGCCAGCTTAAAATTCAATTGCACACAACTTACAAATGAAATTTAAAAAAAAAAATGAAGAATGGAATAAATAATATTTAAGATAATCTAAACTATAATAATAATTGTGAACATGAAGGGCTCAAATTTTCATATGTATTATAAAAGCATTGTATATCACACCAAGGGTGCGTAAGAAATGCTATCAAATTACCCACACAGCAAAAACAAGTGTGAGAGGAGTGGAAAATACTTGTCCGTCGCTTTTCGCTCCTCGTCGCCAAAACTATCACGTATCAGATAAATTTACCACTATCCTCGTGTCAAGTTGCTTGTCACTTGGGCTGTTTGTTTTTTTATTGTCCTGCATGACGAATTCCCACCACGACCGCCACTGGCATAGCAGTGTTAATATTTTTGTTTGATAAGATATTTATCTTTAATTTATATTTAATAAAATTGAACAATTCTCCTTTATTAATCTAACGTTTAAAAATCCATAGAGTTTTATTTTAAAAACTTTTGTCCGGCTTCAGAGCCATTAACATTTCAGGAGATGAGGATAATCCTATGAATGCAATCAACCTACTATGCTATCTGCTTTGAATCTATATTTATTTATTTTAATTAAAAAAAACTATTTTCTATACCACGTTTTTATGTTTTAAAAAAATTAAAAATCAATAAAATGCACATTTTATGCTAAAATGTTCATGCTTCGTAAATTAACTTGAGAATTTATTTAAAAATTATTCGAAACGTTTCCACCAATTAAAACCTGAAAAGATTTATTAAAGATGCTTTATCATTTTTGTTACATTTATTGTACTGTAAGCAATTGTTTAGCGTGTCAAACACAAAGTGGCATATTTGAGCGTGCGAATGCAAAGCCCAAAGGAAGCCTGTGAAATGAGTGATTCATATGTGATTGATGAGGACAGCATCATTTATTATATTCCATGCTGCTTGCTGTCTGTTTGTTATTCCGAGTGGTCTGCATGCTCATCTTGTTTGCTCCAGCAGGAGACACGTGACGATCAAAATCAAGGATAAGGCAATCTCAAATTTTTATTGTCCGCCTTGCGCTGAATACAAATAGGAGCTGTCACTTGAATATCAAGCGACCAATTCGCTGCCGAGGCGACGTCGTGCGCAGCTGAGAGAATGGAAGGAAGACTCAATTAGCAGACCCCCATTAGAATAATGCAAATTAGCACATCCAAGTTATTCTCATCATAGCTTTTATAAAAAAAATCAATTTATTTCGGATTTCCCCATTTAATGGCGTTATATGTTTGTTTCAACCAAATACGGCCATAAATTTATTCATTCGAAAATTAGTTTTATGGGAAGTTTTAAGAATGAACTTACAAAGTATGCAACCCGCTGTTCAAGCTAGCCAAGCAGGTTGCCTAATCCAAAGCATTAAAATACTCTACGGTTTGCACTCTCGGCAGTCTTTAGTAAACGCAATCTATATTTATGTGCATATTATTATAAACTATAATTATTTATTCGTAAATTTCTAAAGCTTAAACAAAAGTTTTTTTTTTTGTTAAATTACCATTTCAAAATTATTTGATCCCATCACAATTTAATCAATGCGCATTTTTTATACTTAATTGACTAATTGTGTTAAATAAATTATTTAATTATTTTTTTTAAATGGATTTTCTTATGTATCATGGTGAATGACCTTCAAATTGTGCGAAAAAAGAATAGGATGCCAAGCACTTGGGGGGTTTGATGAACGACTAGACACCTGAGACCCCCAACGAACTGACTAGTATAGGCTTGTTAAATTTTTAGCGCTTAGGCCTCAAATAAAATTCCATCTAGAATTTAACCACATTACAATTCTTGTGAAAGGATATCACCTTTGTGCATGTATCCATTTCCATATTTTATTGATTTATCTCCATTTTATTCCAATATACATAAGTAAAATTACTTATATTTGCTTACTTTTTCACATACTATACTTTTTTCTCAATAAATTACCTAAATTCAAGAATAATCATTTGAAGAAATTACATGCAATATTATTAATACAAACATTTCATGACTAGATAGCTGACATTTATCTAATGTATGTCTGGGGTTATGGTTGTTTCATCATCTGATTAGTCACACTCAGTTGAGATCATGCAAAATATTTTTAAAACACTTGCATTGAATTTTTTCTCTTGCAAAGTGTCATGATCATTCGATGATTTAGAAAAGAACCTCACCATGGGAGTTTTCGCAAATTATTTTGAATTAAACTTTGTAATAATTCATAGTTAAAAATCCTTAGATTAGTGGATATTAAATTCCAATAAATATTTAAATTGTGCAAAATTAAATAATAACAATTAAGGGCTGGCAATGCAGAAATAAAAACCTCAGGTTTCGAGCTCTGCACACAAAACGTTACACGTCTACGACGCTGTCCCGTTGATTCGGATTGGCAGGAACAGTGAGCTCATCGAGCAAGTTGCCTTGTGAGCCTGTAGAGCTTTGCTTGTGCAGCTTCTGTTGCATTTGAACCAGCATATCTTGCATTCGACGAATCTGTAAGAGTTTGAAATTTTGTTTTCAGATAATGGTGTATTACAGTTTCTACAATTATACCTCTTCGTCTTTTTGCAATAACAATCGATCTGTCTCTGTGCCAATGTCAAGGTGCGGTCCAGTTGAGTCTCTCTTGCTCTTTCTACGATAGTAAAATTCAATTGTAGAAATATAATTTTTATAATTGTTTTCTGTTATACCCTCTATCTTTCATTGCTTGCTGTGATATTTGCGCGATGCAATGTGCGCGGAAAGCTTCGTAGTGCAGGTCGTGCGTGACGTCCTTTAAGTCTTGCATGTGAGTGGAAACAAGGAAGCTACGCAGGCGAGCAAAGTCACTATGCTGAGGGTTGTCCACTAAAAACCAATTTAAAATTTAATATTTAATCTCGATTTTTCAAAAAAAAAAAAAAAAAAAAATCAATGAAATTTATTTATCAGCTTAGATAAATTATAATGAGTAATTTTAAATATTTACCTTCAACTACTCCCCAGGGGTACTGACGGCCTCGTACTTTCTTGCCATTAACTTCTAGGGTTGTATTACTGGCAATAACTGCAAATGGAACACATTTTTTCAGCTCTTCGTCCTGTTTTTTAAACTCATCATCTTCATCGGAGTCGCAGTCAGGGAATTGGTAAATCTACAAGAAAGTTTGTTATGATTATGTGCATTAATTTGAAAATTTTAAATAAACAAATACCTGGACATTATTTTCCTCCAAATCAGCCAAAACACGATCTTTAAGCTTCTTCAGTTCTGCGTGGGTTAGTGTGTCGGCTTTGGCTATCACTGGGACCAGATTAACTTTGTTCTGAAGCCGCTTCATGAATTCCACGTCAAGCTGCCGTAAGCTGTGGAGAAAATAAAATCTTAATTAATTTACAAGTTTGTTGCTGAATGCTGGACCAATTGAGAATGGAAGCAGATTGAAAAATTATTTTAACTCATCCATGGGAAAAAAATGAAGTTATATTATTGATGTTTTCTAGAATTATTAACTTGCATTGGTAAAAAAATAAAAATAAATAAAGGGACTCTTTTATTTCACAATTATCTTTTTGCGCGGTTTTGTTCATATTTGGAGATATTCAAGCAGGAATTTAAATTAGCCGTCAATAATAGAAATTTCCGCAGCCACGTTGTTGAAAATGTAAAAGCCGGTGGCTGATGAGGCGCTTTTATGGCAGTTTCGGTGCAATTACCCATGGCCGTAGGGCGGAACAAAGTAGAGACAGCAATGGATGCGGTTATCTTGAATGTTCTTTCTGTGCAGTCCGCTTTCGTCCTGAGGGCAGACAACAAAATTGTTATTTATTACTCCTCGCACACACAAACGCGCGCGGCAGCGCCGAAGACAAAACCGGCATTTTTAAATGAGGACGTTTACCTGGAAATACTGGCTGAACTGCTGCTCAACGTATGTGCAAACGGCCCTCCAGCTGTCTTCGCCATCCAGGGCGTCGCCAAAACCAGGCGTGTCCACGACGCTCAACCGCAGACGGACACCTCGCTCTTCGATGTCCATGGTCTGCTTCGAAATCGCGGTTGTGCGTGAGACGAGCTCTGAATTTTTAAAAATGGTCTTTTGGGTTTATTCTAATATTTGCAAAACACGCACCGCTGACGTCAGGAATGACCCGGTCATTGTAGAGGTCACTGAGGAAGAGGCTGTTGACCAGGGTCGACTTTCCCAGACCCGATTCGCCAACTACCATCAGCGTGAATTCGAAGCCGCGCTTCACAGATTTGCGATGTACTTGCTCTGGCAGCGTTGCAAAGCCGATGTAGTCTCGATCACTCTGTTCCAACAAATTTTAATATTTAAGAATTAAAACGAATTGCAGCAAAATAATGATTATATTAAAAAAAATTATTTAGAAATCTCAAAAAACACTAAAAAATAATCATAATAAAAAACTACAAATTATAATGGAGCAATAAAAAATAAAACCAATCACACAGGCTTAAAAAAAAATACACTTTGTTGCATTTGACTTATATGTTCAATCACAATTAATAATAATCATAATTAAGTTTCCTATTCCTTAAGGTTAGAGAAAAAATCCGTAAATCAGACAAGTTCTGTTATTTTTGAAACGTTGTGATTATCAAAATGAAAAGCTCCAAAAATTAATTATCCTCACGAGTATTATAGGCGAAACGCGATAGTGTATAATTACTTCCTTATACGGTTGTACGGATGAGGGAGCAACTCGTCCGTATTCTAATCTCTGAATTAATAATAAGTCAAGCATCCATTGGACTCCTTGAAAAAAAGGAGCCGCGCGGCGCCTTGAGAGAAACGAAAAATATTTTTATGCGCGGCTTTTCTTCAAAGGATTATCCAGTATTTATTTATCTCAATCAATCTCACCACCAGCCTGCCCTTTTTCTTCCTGATCGAGGCGATGCGGCGGTCGCTCCTCCTGCTGCCCATCCTGCTGAAAGCGGTCGTATCCATCGCGAGAGCAGAGAAAGATCGGACCTTTCACGGGGAACGTCGACCGACAACTGCGAGTTGTCGGCAAATGAGCCGCATATTAAATGAGAAGAAGCTCCTCTCGCTCACACGCACCGTCAAATTATTTGGATTCAGGCCAGAGCAGTGTGTGTGTGTTATTATTGTTAAAAGTCGTGACGTCACCGCCAATATAACAATTTGGAATAATCGACCGCTGCACAATTTAACCGAGGGCCCTTCTCACTCTCGTCGGCGCAAGATCGGTTTTCGCTCTCTGCTTGCTATGGGGTGGTCCGTTTTATTGCACTGTTATCACCATCCAACATTGGTAGCGACTGTTTTATATTCAAATTGCCACGCAGCCAAATGCTTGCTTGCGGGATAGAACAAGACACGCGATTATCTCATTGTTAATAATGTATATGACGAGTTCGCGCCTTTCAAAAGAGAATCGACTTAATTAAGAGAAAAGAGTGGTCGGAAATGGGTGTTGATTGGTGTTCTCCCTCTTCAGACGGAATTCTTAACGGCACCTTTGTGTATTATACAGGCGGTGTGGGCTTTGAAAGCAGCCCAAAGAAACGTTTTGCGCCACCTCTTTGTGTTGAATAAACGGAGAATCGATAAAGCCATATTATCGCTAAATTAAATATCCTGTCGTAAAAAAGACCGCTTTAACTTCTGTGTTGTTGAAAAATATATTTTTAGCAGACTTAAAATTAAACGGCAGATTAAAGCAGCGGTTTATTATCAAGTGGTGCTACTTTTATTCAAAAACTATATCCTTCAAAATTATAGTTATTGCACAAATAGCTCAATTACAAAATATTTGCAGAGCTTTTGCACTAAAATTAAACAAGAATTGATATTAATAATTATATAAGGTTCTTAACTGTTCTTGCTCACGTAATAGTAAATCATGTTAAAATCGATATCAAACACAAATAGCGAAATCTAATATTGAGTTTCAATTTTTCATAATAATTAATTTCAATTAGTTATTTGATATTTGAGTATAATAGAATGTAAAATTAAAGGATCAATACATCCAATACATAACAAAAATGTTGTTAATTTGTTAGTGTGAGTGTGTGTTTTTTGTAAATTTTAGTGTAGAGTTGTGTCGTGTTTGCGTTGTTAAGTGTATTCCAGTTTCTGTTTTAAATTTCAAAAGAATTTTAACGTGGATTCAGAAACTGAGCGAGAAAAAACCAATGCTCGGAAAACGAATTAAAATGTCCAAATTTTAACTTTTAATTGGAAATTTAATTATTTTTAAAACAGATTTAAATTTCTGTTTTAAAAATAATTAATATTTCCACTTAAAACTCAAAAATTAAGACAAGCGGCAACACCCTGAACATGACTAGGATCATGATTTCGCTTATTGAAAGCTCATCAGCTAGCCTTTTCCAACGTGTTCCTCGACCTGCACTTACCTCTCAAATGAGAAGCAAGCGAGATCTCAGATGGGTCAAGGAGGTTTTTTCCGAGCATTGGTTTTTTTCTCGCTCAGTTTCTGAATCCACGTTAAAATTCTTTTGACATAACAAAAATGTTTTTTTTTTATATATTCCATGCTACAAAATTAATAAAATGGGAGCTTTTGATTTAAATTCTTTATTTAATTTTTTTCATAAATTTGACTCGCATAATTATATTCAACAATAAGGGCTTACAAGTAGGCCAAAAAATTCCCCAATAGTATAAAAACATAATAAAAGCACCGTCGGTGGCCATAAAACTGTGATTGAGAAAACCAAATAGGGATTTAATATATTGCCAACAAAACGGCACGTTCCCGAAAGATTCCCACGCATTCGCACTCCGAGCGACAAAATAAAGGCACCGCACGCATCCAACATTCCATCACACACACTCACGCGCTCCAAAGTAAAATTGAAAAGATGAGATTTAAAAAACCACTCACGTCTCCTCCTACGACGAAGGGCCGCCGCAGAGGCAAGCGCGGTTTGGCGAGCAGCGCGTCCGAGAAACGCATGTCGTTCGGCGGACAGCAGAGGCAGTAGTTGAGGTCCATGAAAGAAGGAGAAAGGGCGCGATGGCCAGGCGTGAGAACGCGGTTTTCGGGCGCCTCCTGTGGCGGCTGCAGGCTGGTGGGCCGCAAGGGCCCATCCAACGCCGGCAGGGGGGTCGAGCGAGGCGGCTTGCTGTATTGGATGGGGCGGCCCAACGGCTGGAAGGGCGCCGAAAGGGCAGTCGAGTACGTCTGCCTCGGCTTCAAGTGGCATTTCATTCAGCATTTTTTAACTTTCAATATTTTTTTCCAATTCTGATTTATATAATCTTTATAGATCAACAATAATTCATATGTGATGAAAAAGTTTCAACTACATTTTTGGCATTTTCAAAAACGATAAATTATTAATTTTGAAAAGAGTTGACCCTTTTGGCACTCGAGATGTTCACTTTTTTTTAGATGAAATAAAATCCGGATACAGAAAATCCCTGCTCCTATACTTATAGTTTTGGATGCAGGTTGCTTCCCTAATTCTTGGAGCTGCTGCGATATTAAATTAGCTTGACAAATAGCCAATTTCAAAATTATTTATTTTAGAATTGAAAGAATTCCAAATGATAATAAAATCAAAAAGAGCAGGGATTTTCTAAATAATGCATTTTACAAACAATAAATTTGATTATCTTCACCAAGAAAGCTGGATTTTATTTCATCTATAAATTCTATAAATTATTAATTCATATTATATTTATATAAATTTATTATTGAAAAATCTTTGGAATTTTACATTTGACTTTAAATTTAACTGAAGAATGAGAATTTTGTCTTCAAAGACAAAAAAAATTAGTCCATATTATTGAGTTTGAAAAGTAAGAAAATTTTTAAAGTTAATAATTTAAAACGAATTTACCAGAGTCGCTGCAGGCAAATAAGTAGACGACAATGGCCCCAGTCTGGGCTGGATAGCTTTGTACTGGCCGTAAGAGCCGACTGGGCTCCTTGGGGGAGGAATGGGAACCCTGCCTTGGTCACCGGTAGGACTGGGCGAGCGCCTCATTTTCACGCTTTTCGGATTTCACACCTCGCAGAACAGCCAAAACTAGACAAGTTTTTTCACGCTTCCATTTTTAATGCGACGCAATCGCCGGTCTGAGGCAAACTGACAGGGTCTGAGAAAATTCTTCACCCTCGTTTTTCCACGCTAGGGTGCGCGAGGCTGCGCTCAGCATTGGTCGAGGATGACCTTTTAAACGGCAAAATATCACGCGGGGTGCAAATATTTGGCTCTCGTCTTGGTCTCAAACGGGACAAAGTGCCAAAAAAATTTGATTCGCTCCACCATTTTTTGCACTACTTTTTATGTATTGGATGAATATGGTGCGTTTAAATTTAATTTTTGGCAACGAAATACATATGAAATTCTTGAACGTGGAACCATTCTTGATTATATATATATATAAAAAAAAACTCTTGCACACATTAATATAATATTGGATAGAAGTTATGAATTTTAATACTTCTACTAATTAATTTCAGTGAAAATTATTTATTTTAAAATTAATAAAAATTAATCTAATTAAATCAATTTTTTAGCACTTTTTAGATAAAATGATATTTAAATTTTTATCACTACTATAAGCATAAATCATGTTAATTTATTGAAAAACTAAATTTAAAATTATTTCTTGGTTTAATGAATTTTTTTAAATTATTTCAACACGTTTTGCTTTTTAATTATATAACTTTTTTATAATTTATGCTTAAACTTCTAGCTTAATCACAACCAAAAGGCTCGTCTCACAATCAGTCAAATATACCAAAATATGCCGTGAACTCTATAATTTAAAAAATAATTTTTTTCCAATAAGCTGACATATTACCGGAGGAAAACGAGCAAACATTTACAATTACTGCCCGCGCATTGAGATTGGACACAGACAATTAATGCCTTTGAAATCTGTTCGAAATGAAACCAAATGCCATAAAGGGGAACCGAACGCAAGGAATCAAATCAGAAATAATAGGGCCCATCTTAATTTGATACTGTATCTGGGCGGCATCAAACAGAACCAACTCTGGCCCATTGTTACGCACGATGGATCTGCTGCCCATATTAGAAAACACGCATTCTCCCGGCAAAAGGGCAGGGTCGGCCCGCGAGTGGGTCGTGAAACGAACGTGCACCGGGTTTTATTTCTAGACCTACGCACCAAATTTTTGTGTTTGTTATTTAAAAGCGGAGGGAAAATGCATGAGTTGTTATAAAACATGCAAGAGAGGAAGAGTCGGCTCGGATGAAAACGTGTTGGGCGCGGAGAAGGGAAATCGTATAATTTTATAAACAGACTCTCCTGTTGAATATCTCATGTTGTGGGAAAAAAATGGAATTGGTTGTGAGCAGCAGACTCTCTGCATGAATAGATTTACTGTCACAGACCTGGTGCAAGAATTGTTGAGTGCACTGCTCTAATTAGTACAGGTGTGAATGAAAACGATTTTTAAAAAGAGTAAACAATTTATAAATAAATTCAATAAATTTCTATTCAAATTAATTATTATGGTACTAACCGTATATATTATATTTTTTTTTAGCTAGAAGACAATAATAAATTTTCCGAGCTAATAATTAACTGTTCAGATTGCCATGCAACATGTAGCAATTATAATTTTTATTACAATTTATAAAATTAAATTCAGCTTTTTTTAGACGTATTAGTGTTTAATAGAGATATATTAGGATCGTTACTTAAAGGGACGAACATTTAACATAGTTGTGTTGAAATTTCTCTCAAGCAGTCTCAAGTGTGTAAATTTTTCTTTTTAGATAGTAACATATAAACGGATTAAATTTATATTATTTCACAATCAAGTGGATAATTCAATTATATGGAGTATTTTGATTTTTAAATTTAGAATCTTGACATGTTTGAGCCCAGAACAAGAAAACTCATTATAAGCAAAACAGAGGTATAGAATTGAGCCGTCTGAAGTATGAAAACTTTAATCAACGCACTTAATCTTTAATCATTGCAGATAGCAAAATTAGCAAAATGCTGAATGAAAACCGCCACTTCCGTAAACAGAAAAAGCACCCAACAGGAAAAAGACCATTATCATTTCCTCGGGCAAACCGGCTCGCTCGACTGAAAGCAAAGGTTAGCCGATATCGGCCGGCGTGAGAGAAAAAACAAACCTGGCGTTGACATTTGCGCGCTGATTACAAAAGCTGATGAGCGCAGAGACGGCCGATTTGTAAAAATGTCACTGGCAACACGACGATTTATCCGACCAAATTACTCCTCGGCTGCCGTTGCTTTTTTATGGTGCGGATGACATTTTCGGCGTGAACTTCTGGCACAGCTAGGACGCGGTTGCGATTTACGTGTGTGTGTACGTTTGCCGACACAAACAATGCACCCCCTGTAGTACTCGATCGATTTTCGGGGCGTCTGCTGCTGCACGAAAAGCATGAGCTCCCCCTCGCTACACAACGCGCCGAACGTGCGACCCCACGGAAAAGTACAGCGCGCCAGCGCAATGCAAATTATGCGAGGGGGCGTGGCCAGACGAACAAATGAAGCTCGTCCGTCTTGTTTACAATACAAACTCTGTAAAATTTTAATTTAGTTTTGAAATTTTTGAATAGCTTGAAAAACGTATTAAATAACTTGAAAGGCAAAATGGACGATAAAAAGGAGGAAAATGAGGAAAAGAAGAAATTGGTTTTTGCCAAAACCATGTACGACGTGCAGAGGATTCGACTGGAGAGGTTAATGCAAAACCCGGTGAGTTTTCTAGAAAACGTTTAATTTTTAAGCACTATGGATTTGTTTAAATTAAAATACTTATGCTGTCATTTATTCCAACATAATATTTTTTAACCTTAAAATTTCAGGACAAGCCAATTATAATTCCTGAAAGGCCAAAGGAACGACAAGCGCCAGACGCTCCGGATTTTGTCAGAAACGTGATGGGCTCCAGTGCTGGTGCTGGCAGTGGAGAGTTTCACGTGTACAGGCATTTGAGAAGAAAGGAGTACGCCAGGCAAAGAGCAATTCAAGAAAAAGCAAAGAGGGTAAAAACAAGATATATTATTGTCAACTGGGTTCACGTTATTTAATCTCGTTCAATAAAATAAAAATAGGAGCAACTTGATGACAACTATCAGAAGAAATTGGATGATAATAAAATGAAAGCAGATGAAAAGACTGCCAAGAAAAGAGCAAAGAGGTTGAAGAAGAAAGGCAAGCAGAAAAATAAAAAACCCAAGACAGCAGAGCAGAAAAAGGATGATGACAGTGAATCAGACACAAACGATGACGAAGAAAAAAGTGAAAGTGAAGAAGGGAGTGAGAAAGCTGAGAAAGGACAAGAGGATGTACAGAGAGAAAAATCTGATTAATCAGTACAAATCAGTGTTCTTGATTAAAAAATCGTTAACATGATTTTAAAAAATAAAAATTCCTATCATATGAAAGCAATAATGGGAGTTCTGCATTGCAAATGAGAATTAATGTTTTTAACATTAGAAAAATTAGTGGTTAAACTTTTATTTCAATTAACAAACTTCATCAAATGAGACTTGGCCCGCATTGAAAATACCTGTTAGGTGTTCACAAACTGCCTTCATCCCAGAATTTATCTCCACCAATTTCTTAACATGATCAACTGCTTCGCTGAAAGGTTGAGCTTTTTCGGGGACAATTCTTAGGCGCACTCTTTGCAATTGAGTAATTAGCTGTTCTTCGTAGGCCATGACCATCTGAATAAGTGAGCCATTCAGACCCCCTGAGAGATCATCAGGGGTGAGACAGGACACAAGGTGGCAAATTGATAGGCAGATCTGTTAATGTATGAAATTTAAGTAATTGCTCCATTCAATGAGAATATTTTTTAATTTACCTGATCAACGAGGTTATCTCTATGTTGGAATTCTTTGAAGTCCTGCACATTGTCGGCAGAGGAAAGAGCTTCCAACAATGCATTCCAGGCAGGGAGGTAAAAACTCTGATAGTGCACCCTGGTCTTGGGAGCAGCCAGTGCAACGGCGGCGCTGATTCTCACTTTGAAATTTGGAGAATTGACAACAATTTCGCAGAGGGCAGGGAAAATGTTAGCCTAAAATTCAAATGTTTCATTCAAAATTGTAAAAAAAAAACCAGCGTAAAAATCAAAGTGCCTTGCCTGCCAATTTGGTACATCATCATGCAATTCTGTTCCACGGAGAAGGCAAGCCAATGCATAGCAAGCGTTCCATTTAACCTATAAAATAAATACCAATTTGATTAAAAAATGATTAATTCGTGAAATATTTTTACCTTCATCAAGGTTGTGACAGATGAAGTGGCGCAATTTATTATTGCAGATATAGACTGAAAAACCAACTCTCGATTTGCTGGAAGTCGAAGTTGCTCCGAGGAAAGCAATCGAATCAAATTTCCCAATGATCTTACAGCATTCATTTTAAGCTAGATTGGAAATTTTATTTATTTCACCACTTTATAAACAATTTTTGCAAGTACCTTCTCCTCTTGGCAGGATCTCCTTGAATCTTGAATAAGCTTGATAAGAAGCAGATCTGGCAAAGTCTCGGGAAATCCTTTTTCCCTAAAATCATTAAATTAATCATATTCCGCAAGACACACATTTCTGGCATTACTTCTTGGCAACAAGTTCATCGGAAATGTTCCCCAAAGCCCAAGTGACTTTAATTTTCAGGCCTTCGTCTTCCTCGTTGGAAATGGCACTTGAAACATACTCAGCTGCATCAAGTAAAAATTGACCATCCTAGTGAATAGAACAAATTAATTATTCCATTATCAAGTAAAAAATTATATAAATTACCTCCATCTCAATCGGCCAATTTGCGCACATTCCTAGTGCTCTGACAGCCTGAACTTTGACACTCACCGACTGGTCTCTGCACAGGGCAAATAAAGTAAATGCTATCAAAAGCCTCGATGACCTCTGCAATTCAAATGCTTATAATAATAGAGAATAAAATTGATAAATTTTACATACATCAATATTTTCATAAATCAAAGGCCCAATAGATGAAATGATATCACAAACAAGAGATCGAACCACTGGATTGGCATCTGTTGAAAGGGTTCTAATAGAGCTCTGTATAATATTATTCCACATGTTTAGCCCGTCTTTCAAATTGTGGCTGTGGTCTAAAAAAGTTAATAAAAATCGGAAACAATAAAATATTATTTAAAAAAATATATACCAGGTTCTTCCAAGTGCTTAGCCAAAGCAGCACCCAAATCAACTATGCCTCTCCCAGCAGCAAGGAGTAACTTTATGTCATTTTCTCCATCAACCATTGTGTTTACAAATAGGCTGCTGGTGATGATCAAGGTATTTCCATTGTCAGAGAGCAGAAGAGAAAAGTAACATCTTGAGATAGCAGCAAGTGTGCGACAGACCTCCAATTTCAATTTTAAACCAGCATCAGATCTCTATAAAAGCCATTTACTAACAATTTGATATTAATTGAAAGTAGCGCCGCTGACCTGGAAATGACTGAGACAATATTCTGTGAGCCAAGTCTTGCCAATATCTGAATAGTCATCCTCAATAAAATCTACAAGCTCGTCACTGTTATCCAAACCACAAATTTCAAGTCGTTCATCTTCACTAGTCTTAATCAAATATTGAACATTTAGACAATTTCAAATTTAATTTATTTAATCAAGATTACCAAGTTGGCAGACGAGTTATCCACAGAGGCAAAGAAAGAGGCAGGCTCTGGTTTTTGCAAAATGGTGCTAAGTTCTGCCATTTGGTGACTGGCAGCTGACGAGGACACCAAAGCAGTGAATACAGAGAGTGCGGCGGATTTAACGTCAACATCTAAAAAATTTCAGTAAAGAAAAAAACTAAAAGAATATTCTTAGTGCAGTTTTCTCACTTTTGTTTATCAGGAACGGTCGCACAGAGCGCGAAAGTCGAGTCATTAATCCCGAAGGAAGGCGGTGGTAAGGCGTAACAGAAACCAGCAAGTTCAGTGCGTTTAAGGTCGCTGCAAGGCACTGAACAACTCTGTCTGAGCTGAGGGACAACATCAGGTAACGCTGGCAGGATTCAAGAGACTGAGCCATTGTGTGCGACCACGGCGTAAATGCCAACTGGCCAGAGCTAGAATTACAAAATAAATCACAAACTGACATTTTTGTAGTTTAACTTAAATTTAGGTCTGCAGGAATTTTATGACAAATATTTACAAATAAGATAATAAAAAATTTACATAAATCTTACCTTGCCTCGGCCATAGCAAAGTACATCTGGCATCTGTTGAGAATGTCCCCGAAACACTGGGCAGCAGCAATTTTGCTTCCCGTGTTAGGATCTCGTAAAAGGCAACAGGGTAGACTTGGTTTTGCTGGCGGAGGAGCTCCGGGCGGAAAATACGGCACAAGCTGATCCCAAAATGACATCAACGTTTGGGGTTCTCCATTCTTAGGTTTTTTATTCAATCAATCAATCCGCTCTCACTTAAAATAACTTACTTTGATCAAGAGAAGCAAAAGTCTGATTGCTGCAAATCGAATGGACGCAAAAGCAGTGGCCGTCTCTCGACTTCCCTTTCCACTTCCGACGCCCGAGTCAGAAAAATCCTCCGAATCACTGGTGTTGGCCCACAGAGCTGCATTTTCCTCTGGAAATCCTTGATGATGTCTTTGCCTCGGAGCTCCGGCTCCACTGTCGTCTTCAGTCTCTTTCACAAGGGCAGTCCGCAGACGTCGAACTTGCTTTGCGTTATTAGACCGGATTGGCCCCCGCTTTTGTCCCTGCTAAAAATAAAAAATAAATTAATATTTCAAATATCCAAAAAGTTGAATTTTTTACCTTGGGTGCAGAATGAGCTGTTGGTGGAGGAGGGCCAGGTTCTGCGGGAACGGGAGGGAAACTAGAAGTGTCATGCTCCGGGAGTCCTAAAAGCCAAAAAGCTCGGACATAACCAAACCCGTCAACAAAGTTTAAAGCTGATGGTCTTTGGAGGAGAATTGCTTGAAGTCCTCTCAAGCAGGTTGATGCAGTCTGGGAAAGTATGTAAATAAAAAAAAAATACATTTATTTTAAATCTAACGGCAACCTTTAAATAATGAATTTCTTTTGATGGCTGGTTGCTGGATAACTGTTCTATGAAGATTGAGGCACAGGCTTCCAGTTTGCGCACTCGGGCAGGTGGACAAGAATTCCCACTAATGATGACACCTACTTCCGTAGGACTAGCAATTGCTTTTATCACCCTCAAAGCTGCCAGCTTAACTTCTTCTGCAGGCAAAACTTTAAGCTTATCCAGTTGTCCTTTCTTCAGCCAGTTAGGAAGTGAGGTCAATTCGTTCTCAGCCAAAAGTGCAGTCAAGATCTGAGTTGAATTTCACAAATGTAGTCAATTTCATAATTATAATTATGTATTATTTTTTTTTTAATTAAAAATTTAAAAACAAAATTGTATTGTGCAGTTTACATACTTTAGGGTCTACTGTGACTGCTCGACCTCTTAGAACCACCTCCAAAGCTGACATGGCCTGAAGCAGTGACATTTCGCTGCCCAACTGGAAGACCCTGAGACACCAATCCTCAGCCAAACCGGTCAGCCGCGCGTCGGATGTGAAAATTTTTGCCGAGTGAGGTTGCGCTGCATTGGACAGAATGTGGCACAATTTAGCCGCGATGGTCACATCCCTTGGAGCGACAACCTTCATTGCAGTTGCCAAGATTTTTAAAAAGTCCTAAAATTATGGCAAACAAAAATAACATTAAAATTTGATAACAGGTGTTCAATTTGCCGGTCTCACCTGACATGATTCTGCTGAAATTTTCTTGAAATTCGTGCTACCCAACTCGTCCAATAATAAATTCAACTTATCTCTGTTACTGGCGTTTACCTGTGAGCCAACAGAGCTCAAAAATTCTTTCAAATCTGAGCCTAAATACGAATTTGAAGGCATTTTGGTGCAGACGTTTTGAATTTTATTTTCATAAACAAGATTGTTTTGGTTGACAGACCAAGACCAATGGCGTCAAGCCTTGGTCCTTCTGATGTTCTGATTTGCTGCGCATCTGGGTCACGTGGTAGAGGGTTCGGAGCCTTGGTTCGGAGTGCAACTTTAGAAATTGCTCCAGAAGTCTCTATAGATGATTTTTTTTCGTATCGTATTTTTATTATTATCTGTCACTCTCATTTTTTTCAATGTAACAAAAAAGTTAATTCTTTTGAGGAAATTTCAATTTTAACGCATTTTAAATAATATAAAATATAAAATGGTGTTTGTAGAGTAACAAAAAATAAATTTTTTCGTTTTGTATCTTAATCAATTTATTTAATATATAATTTATGATTAAAAGGTAATTTTAAAATAACTTTTTGGCTCCTTTTCAAGGATTTCTACAGTTTGGTAAATTTTTAGATCTCCTTACACATGCTATTAATTTACTAAAACTTAACAGAAAGGATTTATTATCAATAGAGAATATCTTCATTTGTTAGCAAAGTACTGCATCGACACAAAGGGCACTTCTTGATGAAAAAGCGCCTCTCCAGCACTCAACAAATTCTGATTGTTGGCGACAACTTGGAGAAGACTCACAAAACAGAAGAGAGATAAGCTACTCGAAAAAAAAATACTGCTCGCATGTAACTTATAATCAGCAAAATCAGGCAACAGACACTTCATTCGTTAGGTAATTGTCACTGCTGTATGGTATAGAAGTTTATTTATAATTATTACTTTATATGCATATAATTGTTGCCCTTTTAGCTTGACAAGAGGTCATTTTGAAAAACACACATTTAATCAGTTAATTTTATCTACGCATCAATAAATTTCATTGCTAATTTCCACATTTTTGCGCAATAAAAAGGCTTTTAATCAGTTAGACATAGTTTTTGTTTTGTTTCTGGTGCCATTTTGTTTTCATGGTCTCTGATCGTATTGTATGTAAAAATATATCATATCGGGCATTTCATCTGCATCTTGATCAAGTAGCAAGTCTTGTCAATAAAAAATTACATCTGTGGATTGAGGTTTTTTCTTTCCGTGTTCAAAATATAGAATATTTTGTTTTCCAGGCTACAATGCAGCAACATGTAGTGCAACCGTAGAAGAAAGTAACATATCTCTTTTCTTTACATTTCAGCTCTCTGCTATTAAAATGGTAACAAACAATAATATGACAACACACAAAAATGCTTTTTTGTTTTCAAGAAATTTCAAGGCTCTTTGCAGGTATCAATTTTTATAACTTCACAAGCTTGCAATAAAACAATGACAAATAATTTAGGATTTTGAAAATTTTTCTTAATTTAAAGGTAATAAAACGCATGTAAATTGCAAAATGCACAGAGAAAACAAAAAAACTTGTTGATTTGAATTTTCCTCAGACAAAAAGCACTTCCATTGTGATGAAGAGAAATTGACAATCCCATATTCATTTTAAAGCTCTCTAGGAACATTATGAATTCCTTCAAACACCTAATAATTGATTCAGAGAGCTCAAAGCAGAAAGAGTTATTGAAAACTACACAATAAAGACTGATTACATGGACAGCCTCAAATTGCTGATTGCAGCCAACTCTTTGACTGGCAGAAAGTATGGAAAAAATGTATGTCAGTAAAGATTCGAAAGAAAAATAAATATTTTCAGATTGTCTTCAAAAAATAAATAATAATAAAATAGCTAAAAATAAAATCCTTACTTTCGTAAGTAAGCCTTGGCTGGTTGAACTTTGCCGAAAAAAGGGGCAAATTTTTCACTCGTAGGCAACTTGTGGGTTGCTTGTTTGGTTAGCAAATTTGTAGGGAAAATGCATCGCAATTACAACATTATTCACAAACATCAATGCGACTCCTTCAGTACTTTAATCCCGTATCTGATATATCTCACTAAGTGGCTCAACGAACTGTGCAGTGTCAGAGGGCCAACATTTCTGTCCATTTGGATAAAGAAATCTGAAACATCAATATCCTCAGTTGTTGCTGTACCACGGTCGATTGAATACGTACCTTTAGATCTACCCTTAGTGATGAGCGTGTCCGCCTGATCCCACAAGTCATGGCACGTGGACAGGTAGATGTACTGTTTGTTCTGCTTCTGGAAAGCCTGGTGAGCTGGTAAGGGAATGGCGATGCACTGGTTGAGGGGTGTTTGCTGACCAGCAGTCAAAGTGGAGGAGGGGTTGGCACTACCAGGGGCTTTGGGCCGCAATTCGCCACTGCTGTAGCCCGAACTTTGGCTGTTCACCGAGCCGACTGACCCAGGTGACTGTGGAGACGGCGTCTCCGACGTTCGAGCAACACTCCACGCTTCACTGTTCACCAGAATTGGAGGAGTTTGATGGAACTGCAAATGTAATAAATAATAAGTCTCCAGTTACAACTTTTAGATGGTAAATAATATACCTTTGTAAAATAGGAGGTGAGAACTTTTTGCAGTTCTCGAGCTTCGTGTCTTCGCATTTTGAACAGCTTGAGGTAAATCAATGACTGGCAACGTAAACTATAAAGAAGCAAAAAGTACAAGTTGATCAAACCATAACAAGGGGTTAAGAGGTGGTGTAATTACCTTAAAACTGCTAGTTTGTTGTCGATGCTGCCAGGCGCTGAGTTATACTGTTGCTGATTGCGATACTTCGATGATATGTACCTACGTCATTCACAATTTTTTTTTTAATATGATGCGAATCAACCACCTTTGCCAAGACTCACTTGATTAACTTAAGGGTGTCATCATACATGGTAAAGGCTGCCATTTCTGAATCGTAATTATCTGTCTCCATTGCCTTCCCGGTAAGTATGAAATAAAGAGCAGCTTCCAGGTACAGCATGGCCTGAGCGGTGTGATCTTTTTCCTTGTCTGCCGTATGCTTCAGTCGCTTTGCTTCCATCAGGTAACGGGTTTGATCTCTACACCAATACAACCTAAAAAGTTGATTTTTCCGTAACTTAAAATTTTACAAATACAAGTCATTGAAAGAATTTATTTGAATTTGAACCATAAAAATAAAGCTCGACGTGATAAGGAATATTATTTAATCAAAAATTTCTCGTACTTGTCCTCCTCCATGATGTCATCGTCTGGGTGCTCCAGGTAAGAGTAGTACATCTTACTGCTTGAGGATCCAGGTTGCTGACTTGCCCAATCGGCGCCTCTCCAGCTGCTGCTGCCGGATGAATTTCCCTGGTTGGCCACAGTGGGAGAGTAAATTGCTGGTGGTGAGCTTAAGGGTGACAGTGCCTTGCTAGGGTTCACAAGGTGTGTGTCCGGGTCATCAAAGGATGGGCCTGGACCCTGTGAAGGTACCCTGTCGTGGTTGGTGGGAGAAGAGGGGGAAACCCACAGAGACTCCTCATTCTACAATACAATATACAAGTGAAAAACAAGTCCCTTACCAAAATTTACAATAAACAAAATTTGAACCGACAAGAAGATTAAATAATAATAATAATTCAACCCTCTAAGATGTAATAAAAATTAATGTAATTTGTTTATTAGAATCTATAATTTCTGATTGCAAGTGAATAAATAATCTTTTTAGAAATTCAAAAGAGTTTTTCAATAGAAAGAACTCACCTGACTAGGCACTGACTTCATGATGCTGTTTCGTATTTCATCTTTCCGACGCTTCTTTTCGGCCACTTCTTCGTCCTCCAGGCTGTGCTTGCGACTCCTTTTGCTGGGTCTTTTGTGCTCCTGAGGCACGCTAGTGGCTGAGATCCTACTGCTGACCGTTGAGATCGATGACACAGAACTACTACTCATGCGTCTCTCGCGATCAGGTTTAGTCTTCTTTCCGTGGCTCTTACTTTCTCCCTTGCTGGAACTCTTTTTCTTCTTGTCAGACTTGCTGTCGGACGAACTTTCACCCAAGATTGGCTGGCTTGGGGATTGTGAGCCAGTCTTACTAGAGTCAAAAAGTCTCGAAAGGACCTGTGCTTTAGGCACTTCCAAGTCTTCGGTAATGACCTCAGCCACCTTGGGTTTCACATCAGTCAACCTCCTAACTTGACCGTCAGACAGTCTATTGAGTGGTATGCGGCACACAAGGCGCAACATCACTCTTGGTGGTGGCGAAGACTCCCGTGTAGCCACAAATGGGCTTCTCAGCGCAACAGCTGGGCTCGCGGGAATCTCTTCCTCAGTCCTTTCAGATCGGCCTGACCTGGCCTTCACTCCCTTACCACCCTTCCCACCATCGCCCTGGCCAGATTTAGAAAACAGTCTCCTCAAAGTATCATTCTTCTTTTTGTCCTGAATGATTTTTTCGTCCACCTCTAGCTTTGGAGGACTTTCATCCTTCTTCCCCAGGCCAGCTCCACTCTTTTGTCTTGTGTCTGCAACATCATTATCAGAGTCAGAGCTGCTGTCTGAACTGTGGTGCCTCCTGGCTACCCCTTTGCCGCTGACCCTCTTCCTTGGCGCAACTGTGGCTGACGGCTTTGGAATTGCAGTGCTTGCGCTCCACGGTGTTTTGACTAGGCTTGAAGGTGGATGGAGACTTTGTAAAGGGGCACTTGTTGGCTTCTTGGTGGTTTTTGTGTCAGAGTCGCTACCACTGTTGCTGCTGCTGTCTGTTGGACATTCTTCAACACTTTTCATCTTTAAATTGCTACGTTGCTTTCCTTTGCCGCCAGAGGTGACAGGCGCCTTTGTTACCACATAGGGACGTGGCACCTTCTTTGGCTTAGGCGCTGGAGTTTCATCCCGAGAAACAGTTCGTCGCTGCTTCTTCACGGGTATCACAGTACTACTCCTGCGCGACTCTTCGCCTTTCACCTTGCTCTTCCTAGGCAGTCGAATAGCCTTGCTGGGCTCAGTGTCCTCATCAGAGTCGGAGTCCTTTTTCTTTTCCTCAATACTTCTTGTCGATGACCGCTTCTTCTTAGGTTGCTTCCTCTTGACTGCCTCACTAGATTTTCTTGTGTCCAGTTCTTCTGAATCAGAGAGCATAGGCTGCAAAGGAGTCGGAGGAACTGGCTCTGAAAGGGGAATGCGATCATCATCGCTGCAGTCGTCCTGCAAAGAACCTCTCTTTGGGGACAAACCCTAAAAAAAGAAAAATTAGCAATTTAAAAAATTATAACAAGATGGTCATTACCTGTGACTTCTTATTGGAATCCTCTTCCTTGGCTCGCTCTGCATCAATGAAAGATGCAAGTTTCCAGCTTCTCTCCAATTCTGGAGCTTCGTTGGTCTGAGATTTAAAATAGAAATTTAATTTTTTTAAATAAAAATTTATCAAAATACTGACCTTTGGTGACGGCGGTCTTGGAGGAGAAGGTCTGGAGGCAGGCGGCACCTTTTCCTGCGCTGCTGACTCCTCTTCCTCAGTGCTCGACTCTGAGCCAGAAGTAGAAGAAGATTCTTCTGACGAGGTGCCACCACTTTCAGACGCATTGATAGGCATTGGTGCAATAGGTGAGGCGTCCTCCATACGGACGCTGGTCGAAGGTAAAGGACTCAGCAGCGGTGGAGGCACCGAAGGTCTCGGAGTTGTGATTGCCAATGGCGCGCCTCGAGTGCTGGAGAAAATTATTGACATTAATTTGGAGAACAAAAAAAATAATGGATTTTCTTAAGATTCCAAATTTTAAAATGCTTCTTTTGGATAAATAAAATGATTCAAAAAGTAATAAATAAATTGATAAAAACAAATAAAATTTTAGGATTCGGTCAAGTAAATGAAAGCCTGCAAATTAACATTCCAATTTTATCAAAATATTTATGAAATGGTATTCAATTGGTTCATATTCAATTGCGGGGGCAGAATTGAATGTTTAAGTGTTGGCTTGCGCAGAATCGCGATTTTATTAGTGTGATAGACACTTACGAATTAGAGTTACTGCTCGTTCCTTTCACCTGAAAGAGTGGTAAAATTAATTGTGCAATTTTTCAGTCGTTGCAAGATTTATGCTTCTTACATGCGCTTTTGAGTACTTGTTGCGGACATCAGAGTCAGATTCAGACGAATCCTCAGAAATGTCCAAGTCTTTTTCTAATTCACTGAAATGGAAGTTAATAATCAATTAGATTCTTTTTTACTGGAAATACTTGTCGCGATTGATGAAAAGTAACACATATTAAATTTGGTACACACGAATTTGCTAATTTAAGAGGCTTGTGTCTCAAGCGCGTGCGTTATCGCAATTCACTTCCGGCAATCGTCAAAATGTTATCAGTGTTGAAAACGAAAGGATGTTGGAGGGATACGAGCGAGGGAAAATGATAAAGGAAAAAAGAAGAACCAAAACTAAACAAACTGAATTTTAAGAAGCTTTTTTCAGTGGAAGATAAAAAGTGGGGGCCACTTACGTGCAAGACTCCGACGGACTCGTTAAGCTCCCCGCATGCGACGTTTTATGCTCTGAAACAGAAGAAATTATATAACCTTTAGAGAATCTGAAAATAAATTTTTATCGTGTATTCCGTCAATAAACAAAGCACTGTCACGCTGTTTACGCGAGCAAACTACCATTTCACTTCAGTTCAGAACTTTTGCCGGAATGTTTACTACAATCGCGTTACGCAAAAGTCAAGAGCTTGGTGTGGCGCGGCACCCCGTCCATCTGTGCATTGAGCATAAGTTTTCTTACTTTTTACAAATTAACTGAGGCAGCTGCCCTTTGGGCAGGTGCTTTCCCTGCGAGGCAGCGCGCGCCATCCATAGCAAAGGTGCTACTATTGCACCAACCAGATGCTCTCCAGTTATTACCTCGTAAAAAAAATAGCGCCACAAGGAGGCACAAGTAGTGCCACTTAACATGGGACTAACTGGCCGCTCTATTTTAAGCCTTACGGCCGATTCAAGCCTTTCTGTCAACATGATATTATATTGATTTTGATACTTGTCTGTGTCAATAAGCCCATAAAAATGTTCAAACTTTTGTCCGCTTTTGCCATTTTCCTAAAACTAAATTAAAACTTTTAAAGCTTTCTCAATGAATCGATAAAGAATTTCCTGTTTAAAGTTTATAAACAAAACATTGCACTTCCTGCGTTCATCAAAAATTCATTTTAAGCCAAACAACTTAAGAGGCTGCTGCAGATGCACAGAATATTATTTTTATCTCAATCAGCTACATGCTCATCATGCAGCTTTTAACACAGTCATGCGGAGGAATGAAAGAATTTTCCTCGTCCATCTCAATTCAAAGCGTGAAAATCGAAGGCGTCCGGCGCAGCGAGCGGCCAGCCGCTCTTCATTTGTGGAAATTAAAGTAGCCGAGGAGTCAAATCGACTTTCTAAATCGCGGCTGCCTCGGTCGGTCAATAAACACCGGCTCTTAACTCCTTAACACCAATCAGAACGGTTTCCGTGGTTATGAATTCAACGTTTTGTTTCCTTCTGCAGATAACACGCGAGGGTGCAGAACTGCAGAATTTTTTTATGCGAATTAGCACGCGGTTAGCAAGTGAGCAAATCACTTTCCAGCATCTCAGATGATTATGGCAATAGCACCTCGAGCCGTTGCAAAAACCAAGGTCATTTGTTGCTGGTGGCACCAGCCGACGTCACTCACTGAGCACTCGTTCTCTCGCTCGCTCTCGGCGCTCTCTTGTGTGCCAAGGCGACCGTCAATATCAATACGTCCGTTTGCCTGCCGTATGGGTCGACCAACCCAACCAAAGTCAGTGTGCGAATTTCAACGGCGGCTAATTTCGTGCGCGATCAATCGATAGTATATTTATGCGGCTCATCCACGTGAGTCGAAAAATATATATATTTTATATTATTCACCCTGAAATGTTTTGTCAAATCCGATTGGGCGCGGCGGAACGCTATTAATAAACAGACGCCGAAAATAATTCTGCCACTTTCACGCGAAAAAAAAGAAGCAGTCGGTGCGCACCCGATTGCCCACTTGACGGACGCGAGTACACAAATAAGGACCGCACTCGCTGATTCATCCGTGAGAATTTCGTCTCTTGTAATAAAACAAAATGAAAAGCACGAGTCACGATTTTCTTCTTGGCACGGTCGAAAATTGAGCTGTGCTTCAAGAGCTTTGGGAGAGTTTGAGATGCGCGCCACCAATTTCTGTTTCATGTGGGTCGATTGTTTTTCTACCAATTTTATAGTTGGGCTGCGATTTTGCTGGCATTTGCAGAGATTTTTAAGGCCGATTTTTGTAACGTTCATATCTTTATGCAGCTGAGGGCATTCTTTCTTTCTTTCTTTGGAGAATACTTTGCCCTGAAGGAAGAGACACACAACTTGAAACATTTCGCCAGCAGCCTTGACAGTTTTAATTAAAGCGCCTGCTGTCGCGAGGAACGAAAAAAACAAACGTGCTGAGGTGTAGCTGATTATATAGTGAGGACTTTTCTTTTCCTTCTGCGTCTTGATCAGCGGCAATAATAAAAAAATTATGCATAAAGATGACCTTTGTCTCTCATTTCCATACCGACCGCTCAACGTTGGTATTAAGGTTTTCTTATTAGCATGATTTGTAACAAAAGCTGGCAGTTTGCATGTTCCACACAAAATTAAGGCGTCCGAGCTAACATACAATACTTGGAGAAAAGGCGGTTAAGCCGCTGCTATACAGATATGCACGATTTTGGGCAGTTAAAGTAGGCTAAAATAAACTCTCGCGCGTTTATTAATTAAAGCAAAGAATTGGCCTCAAACATTTGAATTCAAAGGAGCGAAACGTTAATTTAATATTGCGACGTTCAAGAGTTGCTTTTATACAAAGACTTGCAGAGACGAAAGTTCAGTCAGTTGTCATCAGAGGAAAAAAATCGATCGGGAATATAACAATGGAGCAGCTTTCGCGCATGCAGTGCTATCTCATTACCGACGAGTGTCCTGCGGTCATTAAAGCAAGATCCATTTTCCGCCCAAACTGATTTACCCTCTTAATGGGCCACGAGAGAGGGTGAGTCGCTCGACGACTCGGGTTTCAAAAGCAGCCGGCCGCTGGCTAATGATTATTGGAGAGGAGAGCATTCGGCGGTGGCGGCGAACACGCGATCAACTTTTCAGCAAAGACAACACACCGCGACGCCAGCCGACGCGCGGTGACGTCGCTCGGGGCGTTTAATGCTTTCAATTAAACTAATATAACCGCGAACGTAATTATCGATCGGGGGCGAGCGAACATCGCATCATCCGGCTGCGGCGGCCGTGTTTCTGCTCGATTTGTGTTGTAAGAGAAAAGAGTGTGCACATGGCACTCTGTCGGCGAGGCAAAAAATAAAAGGAGTGTAATATAATTGCCGAGGTGGGGGCGGTAACGTCGTCGGCGTGTTCCTTCCTCTAGGTCATTCGATATGAAATTCGTGCCGGCGGCGGAAATTCGACAGATCTTGTTCGGATGTTGCAATTCAACAAAACACTCAAATATTATTCACTATCGTCGGCGTAACAGTTTGTAGCAAAAATAAAAGACAAAAAAAGTTTCTAGAGATAATTTTTTGCGAGAGTTGTAAAAAACAAGAGAGTTAATTCAAGGGAATTCACTTACACGCAAATAGGTGCATGAGTCGATGGAATTGCGAGTGCACGCTTTACGTAATGCGAAATGAACGAGCGCATCTTCCACGGAGATCGCTGCTTCTTGCTTCCCACTTGTTTGCGAGAGAGGAATTCGCAAGGCCGCGTCTTATTCGCAATGTCAAAAGTGGAGCGTTTTATTAATAAAAACGGCGACGGCGGCGGTTGTAAATTTCGGATGCATGAGAGTGTACGCATGCGAGTGCTGCGAAAAAGCCGAAAATTCGCACACAAACTTTTGTTTTTGCGCCGTGGAAGGAAAAATCACGGATCGATTTTCCAATACGCGACGAAAAGGCAGATTTCCTACGAGCGCCGAGAGCGCAAAGTTGGGAGCGAAAGCGTGTACGGGCGCGCGCAAAATCGGCGAAGGCGGAGATAGAAAGGAAGAAAGAGGAGTTGTATAAAAGATGCTGCAACGAGTACCTCCGGAAGTGGAGTGATTCGGCCACTTTTCGGCACAGTCGGCCATGCAGAGCACACAAAACGAGTTGACCACTATTCCGAGCGCAAGTCCATACATTGGCAACGGCGTTAAAATGCCTCACGAGAGCCCAACTCAATCAAGCGTCACTGTTCTCGCCGCGCCGCTGCGTGTTTTGATCGGGCGTACGCGAGCGGGCTGTGTGTCCGTAATGCCGCCGCGCACACAGCTGAACGCCGCGAGAAATGACTGTGTACGTGAGTGTGTGTATAAAAAAGCAGCGAGCAAGCGAGCGAGCAATTGATGAGAGGGAAGAAGTGCTCGGCTAGAGCGTGGTGGCAGCAGCTGCTACACCGACGAGTCTCTAGCGAAACGTCGGTCGGCCGAGTTCCCTTTCGTGTGTGTGGCTTCCACGATGCACCGACAACAGCCCGTAATTCACAATATTATACATGAAGGATGTCTCTCTCTCTTCTCGCTCGCTCGCTCGCTCGAAGCTACGTTATGAGGCAATAACGAAGACGAAAATCACACCTCACAGAGTCGACGGCTCAAAACGCGGCCGCCGCATCAACAAAATGAACAGACCATGAAATCATTTCGCGTTCCTCGCCGACCACTTGCTTAGTTTGCTCGCGAATCGAATGAGGAATATAAAAAAATAAAAAAATGCCCTAGCCAGTATTAATACGCTTCGAATTCTGCTCGCTTGATTTTTATAGCTTTGTAAATTACTCTGTTGGGGGAGATCATTTTTTTTTTTCATTTTCTCACTACTTTAATCTGATGTGCGCGCATGTAGATGCCTATCTGCATCCGCGTTAAAAGCCTACCCTTTTGTCAAGCATTACAATTCAGATGCCTGATAAATAAACATAAAAAAAATCACAACTGAAGCGTATGAAAATGAAAATAGAATTCAGTGCATTTTAATTGATTACTTCAAACTGGACCGCCTACATGTCTATTAATTAAAATAAAGCCCACAGTATAATATATGCAAGTAACGTAATCAATGTTGAAAGATCAGAGACTCACCTCTAGTGTTGGTTGACAAACCCTGTTGAGGGGGTTTGGGTTCAGGCGTTACAAGTGCAGTTAAAGGACCAGGCGGCGGCAAGGAGAGAGGTTCTTTCACCTGTAAAAATAGTTCAGATCATGAGTTGCATCCTAAATAATCAGCAACACTCACAACACTTTGCCATGCGACAGTCTCTTTGTTTCGAGATTGACGTATGGCAAGTGTGTGCACTAAATAAAAATGTGTGCCACATTATTATTTTCTCCACGTTTGCCATGGAAATGCAGTTGCATCAGTGTACAAATATCATGCTTCAAAGCGATATATGGGATTACACTGTGGAGACTTATATTTTTCATGAATTGATTTCATGATTAGTTACAATAAAGAAGCCTCATAAGGTGGCGCATTCATTGACACACTCGTTGTGAGCACATACCTTGGCTGGTGGTCGGTGATGGTGATCAAAACTGAATCTGGATTCGGAGGGCTCCTTTCGTGGCGTCTGGATGCCTTCCATCATGGAGGGGAGATCAGTCATCTCCTGAGAACACAGTTAAAAATTAATACAAGAAAAAAGTCATGAATAAAATTTGCAAATTTCTAACCTTAAAAATCACATCCAGCTCCTGATTTTTCTGAAACAAGTATCCAAAAAAAATTATGAAAATGTTATAAAACTGTTAAGCTCAAAGATTTTTGTCCTGCAAAACATGGGAATTCTATAAAAATGATCTTCTGTGCAGAAAAGGAGAGGAATAAATATAATATGGTGAAAACTGTCATTAACAATATATTAACGTGTAAAAAGCAGAAATTGTACAAAATATACAAAATTAACGATAATTGATTTTTTCAAATAAAAGATGAATTTTGAAAATAAAAAAAAATTAATTCAAAAATTGATAAATTAATTTTTTGTTGACCGGTGCTTTTAAGTATAAGTTATAAAAATGATTAAAATGCATATGAACTATAATCTGACTGGCGGAGTTTAACAAATTTTATGAAAAATCACTCACCCCTAAACCTTCCAGTTTCGGAAGGTTCTTGGAAGCTGGTCGACTAAAAGAGTTGAAGGAAGATTTGGGTGCCAAACTGCCGTTGAGTTTGGCGCTGGAACCGGGTGACTGCTGGTGGGCCACAGGGGCTGGGGGCATGAGGCTGCCCGCCGAGTGCCTGGATGGCACGGAGTGGCCACTGGCTGAGGGTGGCTCGGCCTTGACGCTGCTTGAAGAGTAGCGTGAACTCGAGTGATGGTGCGGCACCCCTGACATCAGACTCTGCTTCTTGACGTCCAGAGGTGCCGGCGAAGGGGCGCTCATTGCGGCATCGAGGCCAATCAGCCGTTTTGGCTCTTCGAGCAGCTCACGCACGTTGCTGAAGTTGCCGAGCTTGCTCTGGATCTGCTGGGTGACCCTGTCGGTCGACTTAGGCTGTGAATGAATTGAAAGAGCTGTTAGTCGAGTTGTGAAAAAATATATATATAGAAATATGCGTTAGTATGTGTCTAACGTCTGGTGTTATGTGGGTAAATAGCAGCAAACGCGATTGTCACTGCCACGTACCGAGGAGAAAGTTTTATATGCGAACGCTGCAGTGTGGTCTCGTTTGATGCAGAAAAAAGGAGGAATTACGTGGGTAAAATCAACGATCAGAAGCTTTTTTATCATTGTTTTGATGGAAAAATTCCACAAGTCGTTTTCTAAATTAATGGATTTACAACTCTTTTCAAATGTTAACTTGATCGTGTCAATTAAATTTTGGGCTCATGGGTGCAATAAAAATCAAATTTCGTCACTGCCAGGGAAACGCTCCACGCACACAATGCACCGGAGGTTTCGGGTCAAATTTATCTTTCCCAGACGCACGCTGGTGTTTCGCGACCGAGTGATCTGTATGTGTACATAATTCAGGCTTACCCGGACAGGGAGTGAGAAGAGAGGAGCACCACTGACGGGAGCAGACGGCAGGGAGTCATCTCGTTCCACGGCTTGCGAGCTGATCTGCAGCCTCACCAAACGCTCCTTTTCGCGCAGCTTCTCGCGCTCAACGCTGGAAAAAGAAGAAAAGAGTTAATTTTGCTGATAACATTTGGAGAAACAGAAGAAGAAAAAAACGCGTGATTTCCATTTTGAACAACTCACGTCACCCCATTTCCGCATTTAGTCACTTCAATGAATGAGAATGTTGACGCCCATTTGCTTTTAAAATTTAGAAAAACCATTTTTTGCAGGGAGATTTAAATGAGTTAAATGTTATAAGAGGATATAAGTGGATCTTTAAATTTTCAACAGTTTTTCTATTGGACCCAATGACTACACTAGTAGTCGGTGGTTGGAGCTGTAAATCTGGAATAATTATGAATAAGACTTTTAGTTCCAAGACTTTGTTTCGATACTATTTTAATTTTCCTTTACCATTTACTTATGATTAAACCAAATTATTTGATTTCAGAACATACACACTATTGCATAATTCTTTTTTTTATGTGTCTCAAACTGTATTATCTCAAGCCTAGAGAGAGAAAGAGATTATAATCAAAACCAGTGATTTGATAGTGTGCCATTTTGGTGGCCAGAGTAAAGTTTTTAATTAACAATATAAAACCATTAAGTGCTAAATATTTTTCACGTGCTGAGCACCTTTTGCAAATAAATTTCGCGAACAGCGCTAAGCGTCCGTTAGAAATTTATTCATGTAATTAAAATTGTGGCAGCGCAGACCAGGTCAAGGACATCGTTAAGAGAATCTTGCTGCTGATGCAAATAAACTTATCGGCACGCGAAATGAAACAAAGCCGCGCTCGTCGCTTGTCTAATTAACAGCAAATTTCCAGCCAAGTGCCAGCAAACCAAAACAAACCAAAAACGCATCAAGGAATACGGCTACGGCGGCGCGGGCGAGAACGGCGCGAATTAAGGGAAAAATCCCGTTCGAAAGCGCGAGCCGCGTTTTGAACTTTGGCAAGTTTAGTGCGGTGTGACGCAAGCGGGCAATGACAAAAAAATCGCACGCATTTTTAATGAAAGCAGGCGGCGGGCAAAGGAGTGAAATAAAATCGTTTTCGGTCCGAATCGAGGCTGCGGCGGCAGAGGAAAGCGACGGACGGATTCCCACGGGTTAATCAGGTTGCAAAAGAGACGAATCGCGTACCGCGCACAACAAGCTGCTACTGCTCAGCTGAATAAAAGTAATAAGCAAGCAGGCACATTTAAAAGAGACACAGAGATAAATATGCACATACATTAGTGCAAACTGCTTGCATGCATCCTTGATTTGTTCCGTTTGAATTCACCGATCGGAAAAGAAGTGACCTGCTCAAAAATTTCGAAATTTGCCACCGAATTTGAATTTAATATTTTGAGGCAAAACGTGACGTCCCAATTATCGGCGAATCCTCATTCAGCTCCACTTGCTGACGCACCTCGCGATTTGTTTCCCATTCGTGAGTTACTTTCTCTTGCATTACTTTCAAATTCGACATTCAAGCGCTCGGCGGCGGCAAGCTCTCGAGAAAATATACACACAACATACCTCGTCAAGGTTCCCTTGAGCAAAGGATTGGGACTGTCATGATAGCCTCCAATCATGATCATTCTGCTGCGTTCACGCGCACACCGTGCTGCTAATTGCCGATCGCTTTAAAAATAATCGGCCATACGACAGTGACATCTTCACTCGGAGAAAAAACAAAACTCAAGTGATATCAACCATATGTTGATCGCACCACATCTGTCGGCGCACGCACTGCGAATCACTGGGACGCGGTGACGTCGGCGTCGGCGGCCTCACGTCGCCAGTCGGCGGCCTCAGCGAAAATCGGCCCGCTGCATACTCGCTCGGATTGCAGCGATTGCAACAGAAAGCACCATAAGTGAGGCGCGCAGCACTCTCCTCTGTAGTTTGGTAACGGAACTTTCTTGAGCGACGGTGCTCACTTGGTTGGCAGGGGAGCAGGAGGGGGACACAATATACACGGCCAGGAAAATTAGGGGAATAACACACACGCCGCGCCGCTGCTGCTCAACAATCGGTCTTGTTCGCCGCTCTCTTAAAAATATTGAAGCGCCTTTTTTTCAAAATCGGCGGCGCCATCAATCCAAAAAATTGCCGCTTTTATTTTTTCCCCAGACGGACACGAGCGTGTAAAGAGTGTGTACATAAAAAATGGGCCACGAGTTCATCCTCTGACAAAGTGCGCGCCGACGGATCATTTTTTATTACGACGTGCTATGCTGCTGGGCTTTGTTTTTGTCGCTGCCATTTAAATAATAATAGTGACGTTTTTATTTAAATCGCTCCGACAACGGCGTGGCCTCAATAGAGAGAGGTGGAAAAGGAGGCATTTGTCGGAATACGCTGGTTTTACCAACGGTTGATTGCGGTTCGACCGAAAACAGACAAAAAAACTAAAAAAAAAACTGAAGCTCTGGCTGAACAAAAGTTGCTAATTAAATTGCGGTGATGGAATTAAAACTAACTAATTACAGCTTCCAAAGAGTTAAATAAATTTTTACAATTATTTGTATATCTTAATTTAATTTGATTCCAGCAGTAATTGGTTTAATTATTTTTCAGTGCAAGAACTGAGAGGTAATTAAATTCAGTTACACTTACGAAGGTAATTATACTTCCATGAAAGTTGAAAATTCAATCATTATTTTTCTTTGTGCTTGCTCTAATAATGCTTGTCATCATAATTTTACTCCTGGTTTATCTATTCTCAATGAAGCGCTTACTCTTGCCATTTTCTGGCTCTATTTTGCCACTTGGATTCTAGAATTATCAATTTATTTTAATCAAATTGTTTTTATTTTATTTTATGTTACTTTGAGACAAATATTAAAATTTATTACCGCCAGTTAGCGCAAAAACAATATTCAAAAGAAATTTCAAAAAGGCTCTCACAAATATTACTGAATAGACAAATTATTTAAAAAAAATTCCCCATTTTTTCTGAAAAAAATTATTTTCTTACCACTACTTGTACTACTTTAAGTTGTATGATTTCCATGGTAAAATACAGTAAAAACTCGGTGTTGATCTTTGAAACAATTCAAATCCGGGTGCTGTACAAACAGACACAGGACGTCAAGTCACTCGCTCGCATAACTTCCACCACAGGCACGTTGCGTCCCATGCATCAATTCGGAATCTGGACGTCAATCAATCATAACAACAACGCGAACGCAGAGCGCGCAGTGAGCGAGCTGAATGGAAATTACGCAGAAAAGAGGAGAGGAAGAGTCCACTTACTGTCCACCGGATTGGTGTTGCCTGCGGCTTACAAATCCAGCGGCGTCCATGATCGTGCCGATCAATTAATATGCGAGCAATATCACCGCTTGCCAACTGAAAACAATCAACAAAATCACCAGGTCAATATTAAGGACAATGGCAGCTCGTTCGTTTGTCGGTCGATTTATTTTTTCTTTCTTTTTCTATCCACTCTGCGCTCTCTCGAGCCCAATCCATGTTGTAAATGTGCACTGCGAAGGCAGGTAAAGAACATGTGCATCCCGCAGCTTAAATGGAGATGCACATCGGGGCAGACGCGCATTTTATACAAATGACTGGTGCGCGCTCACTCGCTTCTTCTTGTTTTCGTAACTTGTTTCATTGATTGCGGCTATTGTTGCACGCGATCGCAGCTCAAGCGGCCTAAGTTTGATAAGAAGAGAGTGAGTTAAATTGACCTGATGGGGAGAATTAGTGGCGAAGTTGATTTGCCTTGAGTGCACAAAAAACTTTTTCGAACCTAACAAAAAAAAAAACTTACAGCTAAATAGCAGCTAAATGATTATACTTTTTCCTTATTTATAAAAAATTGAGATAAGCTAATTTAAACACTATGTACTTATGGCAAGAAAAATTTTGAAAGCTCAACCATTCCAGTGACCTTTCAATTTTAAAATTAATTTCTTTATTCAGCAAGAGCAGCTCGGTTGTATTGGAGAGAAACATGTCTGTGTTTTGATGACCTACAAAAACATTTCCGTCCAGAGTGGCTGCTGCATTGCTTTTCAAGAAAACGAATTTTCGTGTTCACCGGCGAAAAATTTTAGGCGTTTACAGAGAAGGAGAGCGCTTGATATCTGGAGCGTGATCGCGCGATTTGGGCTCATTTTCCCAGCAGCTCACTCTTTGTTTCGATTCGCGCGACACAATTTTTTTTCGTTGGCACCTCTGCCGGAGCGACAAATCGGCTTGTGAAAACAGCGACTTGGAATGGGTAAAGAGCGAGAAAGAGACTCACTATCTAAAATTTTGATAGGCAACCGCGACGTCAGAATGTGCATTCTATCGTTCGGCGACACCGCGGGCTTCCTTTCTTTTTATTTACATATGCAGATGGGCTACGCTATTTTCGGACTCCGACTCAGTGGCTTAAATGGGTGGACGGCAATTAGCGACACGCGTCGCGGTCAACGTGCGAATTTGCACATCCAAATTTGGTCAAAATTGCGGTTTGCCTAATATCAGAAGATAATGAAAACAGAGTGAAAATAAGATAAAATCTAATCAAACTTTTTGTGTTCTAAAGCAAATTTATCGTTGGTTAAAAAAAAATTACCCAGAATTTTTGACGCTGATAAAAATAATAACAATTGGCAATGAAACTTAAAAGGATTAGATAAATAAACTTATTTGAATTATAAAAATGAAGTAACAAAAATAATTTTCTTCCACGATAATATATTTTGTATTTATGAACGGCTAGCCACAACAATTCATAACATTTTGAAGAAAATATCAATTTGAGGCATGAAACTTGAATTGGACACCGCGAGAGTCACCAACGCCTCGGTGTATTAAGTTCGCGGGTCGCGGCGTGCAAGTCGAACCAGTCGAGGGAAACGGGAGAAGCGAAAATATTTCTCACTCAAAACACAAGCAGTTCGTTTATGCGAGGCTTCATTATATTATACGGCATGTAAAATCTGCGCGGTGCTTCTTCTTCTTCTAAATGTTTGGACCGTGAGTCACCCTCCACCGCGCAATGGCTAATAATTATATTGCTCAGTGATTTTCCAGCAATGCAGCGATTTCCTGGCGAAGGAGTAAACCTTTGTATGGAATGGCCTGATTGATAATCGCGACGCGATTGAAATCATGACTCACTGGGAAAATTGTGTTTGTCTTGGCAGTGACGCAATGTTTGTGCGAAAAGATTGAAAATGAGTGTCCTAGCCTAGTTAATTTCTTGAACACATGAATGCTTATTATTTGGCTGAGTTGTTTCCTGAGCGTTAAATAAATATTTTGTGTAATTTTCTAAAGCATAAAAAATATATTTATAATTTTATAACTAATTTTAGTTTTCTTAGTATCGTTTATTTTTTAAGAATTCCATTAAAAGTACTTAGCAAGGACACAAGAAACCCTAGGTTTTCTAAGTATCAGCAGACCGCAGGTCACCTTTTAGGGTCAATTTTCATTTTTTTTTTCATATTCTTTTTCTTCAATAACGTTAAGCCCAGCTTTAATTTGAAACCTTTTGTTTACTTCCAATAATTAAAGGTTGAAAATATTTGAATCATTAAAAACAACTTATGAAAAAATTGTTAAATAATTATATAAAAAAAAAATTAATCAATCTTCAGTAATTTTTCAGCAAAAATATTATTAAAAACGAGAAATGAATTTTAGCAAACTTAACATTTATCAATACTGAGGTAAGTAAAAAGTAAGCTATAAAATAATTTGATAGGATGTAATGAATTTGAGAGTAATTTTGACCATTCATTGTTTGACATTGTAAAAAGCCTTTCCTCCCTTCTGTGAATTCATCGTCATATTTCCGCGAATCCTTCCGCCTCCACTCTGCCCTTTTTCTCCAGTGTCGAGGCGAAATCGCGGAAAACGAGTCGATGACGGAAATCACGGCGACACACATCGGCGTGGTCGCATTTGTAAAAATATGCAGAGCGGAAACCTGCACTCTCCTACGCGTCGTTTATCGCATCCACATCTGCGTATGTATACACGGCACAAATTTGAGTAAGTAACGTGCAGCCGGGTTATATTTAAATCGGCGCTGCAATGCAAAAGAAACCGAATATTTCACAGCGAGTGAACAAAGGAAGAGTCAACACCGACGTCGCCGCCGCTTTGACAAATAAACCAACGGCGGCGACGCGATCGCCGCCGCCATCCCCGACGCACGCGTCTCCCCTATTTTACTTCTTTCGTTTTTTTTTTGCCGCCAGCTGAAAATTCGACGCCGCGATTTCCGGGATTTCTGGGAAAAATCGCCAGCCGTTCGGAAGGTCCGAAAACGATCACGACGCCCGACTGGCGTGAATCAGCGCACTTTGCATGTCAGGAAATATTTTTAGAAATGTATGAGCGTGCAAAGAAAACCACTTGGTCGTGGCACCGGCGTGATTTTAATTGCATAAATATCGTGTGCGTTATTCTGCCGTGAAAAAGGCTGTGCAAACAGAGGGCGGATTTCTTTGCCCTTTCGCTTCTTGTTAATGCTATTTGCATGCAAAATTTATAAGTTAAACAATTAGGTGATGGCACAAATAGTAAAATTTTTACTTAAAATTTAATTAAGTATTAAATATAAAACTACTCAAAACAATCTTGTTTATTTTTTTTCTATATTACCAAATTAAATTTTAATTAACTTTTGTGTGGATAAAATGAACAGTATTTTAATTATTTGCCTTATTTAGAGAAAAAGAGTTTATAAAATTTAATTCGTAAAAAAAAGTTTTGATTTTATCCTGATTTTCCATGCAAAATTTTGATTGATGGATTATTTGTTATTTACTTGAACCCCTAAAATTTTAATTATCAAATCACAATCAATTTCCGTGAATCCCTTCAGTTAGCAAAAAAAGAAATTTTGCAATAAAATTGTTTCTACATATTAAAACAAAAACAAAAATTAGACCAATCGTTTTCGCATTCCATCTGAAAAATCAATACTGACAAACTGTCATTTAATTTTCGTGACTTGTCACTTTGATATATGAATTTTTTAACAAAAGAGAACCACAACCAGTTAGCATTTTTGGTGAAAAGCCAAATTTCAGCGTCAAAAATTTGCTCCGATCTTAAAAGGCGACCAACTTTCCCCCGCGGCGGTTTATTTTTAAATTTCATTCATCCGCTTAATTAAATCGGTCGGCGAACAACATTAACCCTCTCTTTTGTTTGCTCTCTCGCAGGTTTCCACTGCAGCACCGCAATGGTTGCTCGCTCGCTGTCCGACCTTCTTTTCTCATACGAGAGAAGAATCTATTTTTCTCGTTTTCGCGCATGCACGTTTCCATTTTATTCGGTGTCGCTGCCCTTTCGACTCGTAAAATCGCCACTAGCCGCGTTGTTGAGATAAAATAATAAAAAGTGTGTTGAGCGCCGACGCCTCTCTGATGATAAAACCCAAAGAAAGTTGGGACTGTTTTTATTTCCCCCCAAAGTCCGAAACGATCGTCGCACAAGAGGGGTTAAAGTGTTGTTTGCAAAGAAGTTGATAATTGCGTTAACAGCGAATTCATTAACGATCGGGGTTGCTAAAATCAGTATTATCGGTTCCACTGATAATTTTGTAATTCGCGTGTAAGAACGTAACGATAAAATTCCTTTATAATTGCTCAGCGTCCGGTTTGAAAAACAGGCGAAAATTGATATTTAATTTTCATGACGAAAAGCGCTCACGGGAAAACTTGTCGCTCCAAGTCAGATCGCTTGTCCTGACAATTGTTATTAGTGTTTTTGTTTGCATTTCGTCACATTACTTGCAACGTAGGCATTTAGTTGAACATTTTATTATGAATTTGTGCTTTGTATCAAAATTTGTTTGAAAAATTAAATTAATAGTAATTCTTACAGATTTGTTTTTCAGAAGATGTGTTGCGTCTGAAGAGCCAAATTGATAAAGACAAATGAACTTGGCGATCTCTTATTTTCTGCTCAACAATGAATTTCAATTTCCCAAATCTAGTTTATATTGTTGAGAGAAAAATTTGATTTAAAATTGGCAATAAAGAACTTCTTGTTGGCAAAGTAAAATAAATCAAGTCAAAGTTTCCGCTTTCCTTCAAAATTAAAAAAAAAAATATTCGTCTATTGTTGTAGAGGCTTTATTTATTTATGGCAATTATGAATCCTTAGGGGGGGGGGGAATGAAAACTGAAATCATAATCCATTAGCAAATTTCAAAGTGACCGGTGCACTCCGACAGGTGCATAATTTGCATGGTCACGTAGGCCGACGTCAAATTTATGGAATAAGCTTTTTAAATCTGTAAACACTGGATATCAATCCTGACAATAAAAATTAATACAAAACAGTAAATCTCCGATCGCTTAAAATTAATTTGTTACATCTACAGTTGGAAATTTAGGAAAATACTGAAGTAAAAATAGATAAAAATCGCGTGAAATTCCAGAGTGGCCTCATCAAATTAACGAATTTCCGATTTGATTGCGTGAAGCGTGCCCGAAAAGCGTCGTTTTTTGCAAAACAAGCGAATTTCCGCCCCACGGGCCATGTTTAAATGCCGCTCTGACAGGTGCACTCAGCACTCGAAGGCGGCCGCGAGCCAAAACTCAGGCGCATATTCCCGAAAATTAAGAACGATATTCGAGAAAAATTAGTTGCGAAATTGGCGATCGCTCTTATTGTTGGTTTTCCTCGACCTGCACGTACTAACGTAACCCTGAGCAGCAACCTGGCTCTCAGCGCGCATGCAACAATTGCACAAATGCAATTAAAACAAAGGTCACTCAAATGATCAAAGCTTGGGGTCTTCAAGCGACAACCCAAGACCCCAGCAGGGGTTCAAACTACCCAGCTGGAGCCCAAGAGGCCTTTGTTAAGGGTAAAATCGACCTACGGAGGCCGCGACGGCAAAACAAACAGCCTCCAGGGTCACCCGAGTGGGGTGGATTTCAGGGTCAGGCGCGTCAAAAAACGTTGTGAGAAGGTCTCGTCCGCCCAGACGGCGACCTTTGTCTTGATACCAACCTGCGGCACGACGCGGGGCACATTCTGCGGGCACACGAGTGTCTTTGGGGCTGTAGGATGGATGCTTAGACGGTGACACAAAGGACGCACTCGCTGCTCCCGATGCTCTCGGCCTGCGGTTCGGCCACCAAAGCTCGGCTTGATTGGCCTGGAATCAGAGGCTGGTCAGCCGATGGGTGGGCAGCAACATCACTAGGCTCGTCGTGGACACCTGGCCTGGCAAAGTTGGCCGAAAAATCCGAGACAAGCTGGCGAAACGCACTTGTTCAACGCGAGCCGAATTTAGGACGAACGAACGTCACAGCTCAGTCGCCTCAGTCAAGTGCCTATGCCTATGTAGTTTACTGACGGGCGGCGCTAGTTGTCAGTCATTTGTTTTGGCGCGACTTCTGCTGCTTTGCAGCACAAAATTTCCATCATCGCTTCTCAATTTTTCAGATTACATACCGCTCTTTTAATTCTTTGCTCTTTCATAATCATTGCTGACTCACTATTTAAGTGACATTCACATTCGTTTCCTTCACCATGCAAAAAAAATGTTTTTCTGTCTTTTTTTTTTGTCGTAACACTTTCGACACTTTCTTATACTCTGCTCACACCGTAATTAATCAGAAGATTACACTGAAATTTTGAACATTTGAGGATTGTATTAATTCCGAAAAAAGCGGTATCATTATATTTAAAAAAAAAAAAACGCAGATTTTTTCCCCTTTCGAATATAATATATTACCTACCAAGTGCTTTTAACTGTAACGACATAATACCAATTTTAATTGGTGTGAAATTGTGAATTGATTTGAATTGTTGACTGCGAAGTTCTTTGAAAATGAATGTAATTTACCATGTCCCTTTATATTTAGCATTTTGATTTAGTTGTTTAATTTGTCTGGTCTCCTTGTTTTGGCAAAAAGCTTCTGAAAAGCTTTATCACTTGCAACGCTCACTCCAGATAATCTGAAGTTTTGTGTTAGGTCATAGTGTATTATGCATGATAACTCGCTGCTTCCTAATCTTGCATGCAAAATATAAAACAGACGAGTGAAAAATTAGGGATTTGATTTAAAACACTATTCCAAAGTCTGCTTGTGGGAAATGAAGAATAAAAGCTACTAGATTCTTGTACTTTACATTTAATATTTTAAACGAACAGTGCATGATTTCAAAGATATATTATATAATTATTTCAATTAATATTTTGTTGCCTCAAATTTTTAATTGCAAATGAAAGTTACTAAATCTCCAACCCGAGATGTTTAAGAATTAATAGTTCTAACCAAAATTTTTGTTGGTTGTAAACAGGAGCATACAGATGTATCTAAATATTTCTTTAGTTAAAATAAATGAGTGTTTAAAAACACACCTCCTGTGTACAAAGATACGCTACAAAATACATTTAAAATAACAGCAGCTTCGTATTGTAGTACTGCTCAACATAAAAGGGTTAAAATTACACACCAGCAAGTTCCTGCCACTAGTACAAAAATAATCAAATCCTCCAAAATGTTACTCATAGTTAGCGAGCGGCACTTTCAAAAAAGAAATTATGTTCGTTTAGTCTGAAATTCAACATTTGAATTAGACTTTCAACAAAATTCTTCCTAATGTCCACCAACAAACTCAATCTGATGTCATTGTGAGTTTTGAGATAATTATTTAAAATTTGTTAATTTACATGGTCTGAAAACGCGACTTCATTTATAATATTAATTGGGGATCAAACAAAAATGTAACTGGCATTTTGTGTACAATGCTAACATACATCGATTAAAGCTTAATTTATAAATCATACACAAAATTCTTGATTAAGTCGTAATCGATCTCCTAGTTAAATATGCAAATAATTGCGTAAGGCCAATCAGCTGAAAATTGTTTGTGGTTCCACACCTTTGGATGCAGGTCTTTTCAAAAACACATCAGTCTAGAAAGTGACATTTCAGCAGATCGGCCCCACCTCAAAAACAAAACTCAGGGCTTTCAAAATTCATAGATCCCAATATATAACAAATGCTTAGTAAAAAAAAAAGAAATTGACAGAAGAGGTCGCTCCTTTCGGTATTTTTTTTAGAGTCATTGGGACACATTTAAAACAGTGCCATGTTGCCGAGTCTGTTTGTGTTATTTGCAAGATTGGTTGTTTCTCTTAACAGAAAATTGCGGCAGTGCAGTGAGATCCTCTTCAGAACCGTGCTCTAATGTAAACAGCTGAGGCGTCGTGGTCACCATAGCCGAGTCGCTTGGCGTGTTTGAAGACCTCGTTGGCTGTGGCTGTTAGGGGCAGTGGCTGCTCCAAAGAGTCTCCCATCATCAGGGAGAGCTTCATGTCCTTCTGCAAGTGCTGCAGTGGGAGGTTTGTCTGGAAGCCTCCGTCAATGATTGCTGGAATAAAAAAAAATTCAAATTTCGATCCAAGTTTAAATTGTTAAAAAAATTATATCTTCTAAGATCCTGACCTTTGCTCTTCTCTATCATCATGGGGCACGCTAAGGAGGTGAGCTCTAAGACTTCGAGCACATCCTTCTGCTGAAGTCCAGCCCTGTCAGCAAGAGCCATGCCTTCGGCCAGACCTGCCATGGTCACTCCAGCCATAAGCTGAAGCACAAGGTTCATCTTGGACGCATTGCCAACATCGCCTGAAAGTATTAAATTATATTTAAAGTTGGTTCATTATTTTATTTTGCATCATTATACAGATCAAAATTTTATTTAGAAGAAACTCTTCACAGACAAAAAATCAACCAACAGGAGCGCTATCACTCTTGTTGGAAGATTAAACAGTGCGCTAAGCTGTTTAGCAATGCAGATAAAAATATAGTTGATAGCGCCTCTTTGTTATCACTGTTTACAACATAGTGAACATTACAAAGCCTGCGAGCGCTTTTGTTTTTGTAGTTCCCCATGCTATGAATTTTTGTCAAATTGAGAGCCAGGGTGCAAACCTGACTTTGCAAATTTTCCACCCACCAGTGCAACTGTTCAGGTATCTTATCAGCATAAAAAAGTGGTTAGTTAATAAATTACATAATTCTGATATTTACCAAAATAAAATGAATTGCGCCCCATAGCTTGGAAGCACGTTTGGCACTCGTCAAACAAGGACCTGTCACCAGCGGCCAGGATTACTAAACTTCCCTCCTCAGCCTGGTTTTTGCTGCCTTGGATCTGAGCCTCGAGGAACCGACCTCCCTTGGCTTGAACCGCCTGAAGCAAAAGAGATCAACATTAGAAGCGTCACTTTTATTAGAATGATACAATCATTACCTCGGCAATGTCGTGTGATGTGTCAGCATCGACGCCGGTCATCTCAACGTAGCCCTTGTTGGGGGTGATTTCGAGCAGGACTCCGCAATTTCCGAACACCATCTGCAAGGGTAATTGTAAAAATTTCAAGTTTGCTAAGCGGAAGATAAATTTTAAACAGCCTGGCTCTAGTGATATATTTATAGGGGTGGTTAATATCAAGATTTGGCAACGAATTCTTGGGCGCATCTGTAATGGTTAATTTTTGCAAAACCTTGGACATTATGATACATTCAAAAAGGTGGGGTAAGGCAAGTCAGAAATAGATTCAGCAATTTCTCAATCCACTCAGCCACACAAGAATAAAGGCAATTATCAAATGCTAATTGCAGCCTCATTGGATTAGTGTACACGCTTGATTAAAATTCATATTTTATAATCACTCGCGCCATCTGAATAATCATGAGACTGCGTGTTTTTACCTCTTTTGCTGCTTTCGGGTCGGCAACACAGGAGAAGATGATATCTGCTGCGGCGACAACATCTGAGGGAGTCAAGCACTCTTCAGCTCCTGCTTTCACAAAATCTTTGCACTGAAACAAGAGTATGCAAAATTAAGTTTGGAGGATTTAAAATTCAAATGAATATATTAAAATGTTTTTTTTTTTAATTTTGTTATTTTATTTTAAATTTTGTAAATAATAAAAAAATCGAAGGGAAATTTTACATTACAGCTTCACATTAGAATTGAAATTGGCTGCATTGAAGCTAGGAAATTAAGTGTCTTTAATATTTGCTTTTGAATACATTCTCTTTTTCTAGAATGTTCTGTGCTTGCTTTTTACGCTCGCAATTATAACAAAAAAAGCCTTTGAAATAGCCGAGAATGTTTCTCAGTCCCACGGATTTTCAAATATAATTTAAATTAACCATTTAATTATCTACTTTTTATCAAGGAAATGAAAGCAAGAAAAAAATAGATTAGACAGCCTTTTTCACAGTAGTCACAATCGAATAAATCCAAGTAAAATTGTATTACATAATCAAAACTTTCTAGTCCTTTGAAGCGCAATTATGCAGTTGAATTTTATTTATTTAATTGCTGAAACATGCAACCTCAATAATGTTTTTCTCATTGCCCCAAGCCATGAACTTTGCCATTGGTTAGCAAAGTTATTATGTGCGTCATTCAATTAATCCAATTTAAGACATCTGCGCATTGGCTCTTCATACTAACAGCTGGATCAAAAAAGCCGGTACCCAGCAAAAAAATTAGAATTATAAATTTATTTTCTCGCGCATGAAAAATTTCATTATTTAGTAAAAATCGTTGTGTTGTCGACCGACAATGATTAGGGACGTTTCTTGCATCGACAATACGATCAGTAAATATAGGATCTTCGGTCAATATTTCATGGTAGCGGCGGCGAGCGCAACTCTAGGTGGTGGCTCTGTTCCCCTCCCACCGCCCTCCGCTCTAAAAAATGAGTCGCTGCGTTCGTGGCGCATTTGAAGCAAGAAAGCAGCAGCAGCCGAGCCGAGAGCAGAGTGCGCGAGTGAGCTGAGCAGCCTTGCCGAGCTAACACCCCTCAGAGCTCGAATGGAATCGACCGCGATTCAAGCACGGCGATTGCGTAGACGGCCATGTTAGATTCAAAAAACGAGCCTCAGTAAATTGTGTTGACGTGCTTGAGGTAGTCAGCTTAAAGGGGTCATGGCATTGCGCTTTTCTGCCTTTTCGTTCGGTCACAAATATTTGTCAATTAGAAAGAAAATAGAGCCATGTGCACAGCTTCTCGGGTTATAGCAAGGTGCCGATTCGCGACCAACCATCTCCGAATGCAGTCAGAGGACACGTACCACGTAAATACCGAGCGGTAAATATCAATAATGCATTATCCAATATGTTCGCGAGCCTCTGTGATTATTGTATCACTTGCAGCGATCACTGTCTGTGTTGAGGTTAGCGACCGGGGAATAGAAAACCAATCGAAATTTGTCGCCGGAAATTTTAATCGCATGAAGTCAGTAATATAATTTAGCGCGTGTTTCGCAGTTGCTCGGCTTACGATCGAAACCATATTATGGTGATTTTAATCTAAAGTCAGCTTTTCCTCGATTGGTTTTGCGAGTTGTTTATTGTTTAACGAAAACAATATCCTGCTCCACATGTGTCGGCTGCGGGCTGCAGCCATAATGCCAATATTTCATAAACCACATGTTTCTCTATTCTGACCTCAATTAATATAAAAATTAAGTTTGTAAAAATATGTCCCAGAATAATTTTCAAATTAAAATAAAATATTATTAATATAACTGGTGAAAATATTGTAGCTAAAAAGGATTTTTCTAACAAATTGATTTATTGATGAAAATATTTTATTAAAATTAATTTGTAATAATTTTTGTCTAAATAATTTCGCAGCTCATGAATTATTAAATTATGGCTGCAGCTGAAACATGTGTAGAGCTCACAAAACCCATCGAGGAAAAGCTGACTTTAATTAAAATCACTATGAACCAACTCTCGATTGTGAAATTCTATTACGATACCATATTAATTCATTTTTCTCATTCCAGCTAACGAATCATCGAGAAAAATATGCGCAACCGAAGGCGAAAGCGCAGCGACGCGGGGGTGGCGGCAGGGTTGCTTTTGGCCGTAGTGTTGCTGCTTCCCTCGCTTGCGTCTGGGGATGCCCAGGTGCCCAAACACTTCTTGCCTTACCAGCAATCCGTTCATGCCTTCTCGCCCCGAAATGCACCCCCGGCGTCATGTTCCAAGCAATGCTACTACTGCACGGCCGACCAGACCATGTGCCACGGTGGGCTTATGCAAGATCTCCGGCTCCCTCCATCCACGCAAAGACTCACCCTCGAGGGGGTCAAAGCGGACAAAATCGTCAAAGGTACGCTTGATAAAATGCCTCTAGCGTTTCTATCCTGGCGAGACGGCGGCCTCCAGAGGGTCTCGAGCGATGCGTTCGCTAACCTGACAGGGCTAGTCTACTTGGATCTCAGCGAAAACTCCCTGAGCGAACTGGCCGATCGTATGTTTGAACGTCAAGAAGCACTCCGCCTGCTAAACCTGACGTCAAATGAACTTTCAATTTTACCTCAGTTGGTATTTCAAGGTTTAGAAAATCTTGAAACTCTCAGTCTCGCCCACAACAAGTTCACCACGCTACCATATAGAGCGTTCGAGCCCCTGAAAGAGCTGCAAACACTCGACCTCAATGGTAACCTGCTGATGATGTTAGTGGACGTTTTCCTCCCTCCTCAAAATAAACTAATCAACCTTTTGGTCAGCGACAACAGAATAGAAGAAATAAAACCGGAGTCCTTCAGCAGTCTGCAAGACTTGCAGACTCTTGACCTTTCCAACAACAAGTTACAAAATGTCTCGACGACCCTTTTCCATGGGCTTCATGATCTGACATACCTCGACTTGGGAAATAATAATCTAGAACTCTTGCCGCCGCGTATCTTCAAAGACATGGAGAGGTTGCTGCAACTTAACCTTAGCTTCAACCCATTGATTACGTTGAGCAAAGATGTCCTTGCACCCTGCGCCCTCTTAAAGTCGCTGTACTTGACCAACACGCGTCTTACCAGGCTGAAAGACACAGACTTTAAAAATTTGAGGAGCTTAAAGCACCTCCAATTATCAAACAACCCATTGCTTCAAGAAATAGAAGACTACGCCCTGGTGCACACGGCTCGAATGCGTTACCTCGACCTGAGGAGGAACAATCTTACGCAGCTCCCCTTCTCACTCGGGTCACTTAAAGACCTGCGAGAACTGATGGTTGCAGACAACCCGTGGGCTTGCGGTTGTCGATCTTTGTGGTTTATTTCATGGATGCAAGACCTTGGTTCCAATATTCGAATGCAACCTGGATTACAACAATTGCAGTGCTCGCCAAAAGCAGAGAACGATTTCGTGACCGAGGTGCTTGCCTTGAACTGCACTGCCACGCAGCCCGAACCGATCGAAGAAACTTCCGTCGTCCAATTCCGCTTTGGTGGCACGGCCAAACTCAAATGCAAGTTCTCAGGCCATCCGACCCCTTCGATCACGTGGCTCACCCCAGAACGAAAAACATATCACTGGTCGCCACCTGAAGACCCTCGAGAGGGCCCGCCACTGTTCCGCGACCACCCAAACTCGCACAGTGCAGGACTGACACCCCTGGACAATGGCAGAGTTCTAGTTTCGCCGGCGGGCGAGCTGCTCATCGCAAGGGTATTGAGAGAAGACGCTGGAAGGTATACATGCTTTGCCTCGAACGCCCTGGCCAACGCTAGTATGACTGTGATAATGAGGCTGGATCCGATCACGATGCACCAGATTCAATATATCAGCCTTGCATTTGGTGGTCTTTGCGCTCTTGCATTCTTCATAGTCACCCTGATCGTGCAAGGAATTCGGAAGCTTGTAAAAAGGTAAGCTAATTTTGAAATAAATTTCTTGCAAAACTTAAAGAGGGACAAACAATTAAAACAAAGTTCAGAAGCTTAGAAAGGAAAATTGCAATGTCTTATAATACCATGATTATTGAAATAATTGCATGCATTGTATTATTGTAATTTGTTCTCTTGTCGGGGCCCGATTTGTATAAGGCAGCTGGTTAAGTAGAGCGTGCCAATTAGACATTTACTTGTGAAACGGCCACTGCACTCGTTCAACTGGCACTGCGCTTGGCGAGTGGTCTTAGCGAAATAAAAACGGCATAAACATGTTTTCCTTTTCTAAAATAAGCGTGGATATTTTCCGCAGAAAGTAGCATTTTAAACTAGATAAATATTAAGTCGGTTTTCAGCTAGCATGCGCATTCAAAGTGTTTACTTATATGTATTTAATTTTATTAAATTTTTTTTGCTTCTGGCACCCATGAGCTTTTGGGTGCGCTGGGGTGCGCGAGAAAGTGTTACATAATGCACGGTTCCAAAATAAGCCGGCTCGATAAAAATCATGAATCACGTGTATAATCGCCTCTTTTTCGTCAGTCTCCTAATGAACAATTCAATTATTTTGCAGGTTTTGTGGTACAAACTGCTGTCCTTGTTGTGACGAAGAGGATAGCCCGCGGTCGCCACGCTCAAGGCAGGTCAATCAAGTGCTCGAGACCATCGAGCAGTACAAGAAGCAGCAACTGGAAAGGCTTCGCGACAACTACACACAGCAGGTGAGAAAAATAAAAAAAAAAAATTGAGCGGGGAACGCACGTGCCGCAAGAGGGAGAGGTTTTGAGACTAGTGTTTTTGTCGACAGGTGCACCGCATCAAGGAAAACTGCACTCAGCAGGTGGATTGGATACGCGAGAGCTATACGGGGCAAATCAAGCATCTAAAAGACTTCAGAGACTTTGGCACGACGCACATCACCTCCATTAGAGGTCAATACTACGAGCAGGTAGGCCATTCTTTGATCGTGTATTTTTGTACTCTACATTAGGCGGTCGGCCACTATCGTGCACGCGCGGTCTGAATTTAATTACAAGGAATTTTGCCGAGCTTAGGGTTGTCGACCGAACAGATTATTGCGTAGTTGGTTAAGATGTGAAGGGAATTACGTGCGAAAAACTGATGGTTAAAAAGACCGAGAAGTTTCAAATAAAGCTATAAATACAAATTAATTTAAAATTTAATTTAATTCTGTTTGCAAAAAAAATATGCTTTTTTTCTAAAAACAATTTTTTTGACCAAATGCTATCTTTTGAAAATTGAATAGAAACAAAAATATTAAAAAGTATCTATATTTAAAATATAGCTCGGTGAAAACAATTGAAAATTTATTGATTTTCTGTGCTTATGTAACACGGGTGTCATCTACGTTTGTTTCAGGTGAAGCGCGTCCGCGACTATTCAACAAATCAGCTCAACTGGGTGCGCGAGAACTACGTCTTCCAACGAAACCGAATCAAGAAATTCAGTGCTCATCAGGCATTCCGATTGCGCGAGACCTACAAGTACCAGCAGCAGACGCTCAATAAGCTGCTTGAGAACCTGCCAAGTTTGTACCTGGAGAACTGCCGGTCGGGCGCGTGCGGCCGCACCGACTCCATCAATTTTGACTCGTCCATGTTCTGCGAGGACGAGGAGTTCCGACATGTGGCCATCGGCACCGAAGACCACCTGTGGTGCCACAGCCGCCAGTCCGTCTACTACACCCCTACCGAACTTTTGAGCCCTTGCGTGCCTCCGAGGCCGCGCCACTACGTCCCGCCAATGGACAATGCCGAGTTGGCTCTCCGGCTGCAGGCTTGTCTGCAAAAACTCACGGACGAGCAATCAGACGACGACGACGACGAAGAAACGGCTGAGCCACAAAACTCGCCATATTTTTCATCTGCCGTGGCTGGACACTCCCGGCAGGAGCAAGCAAGCGCCGAGGAGGTGACCAACCTGCTCAGGTTGGCATCCCTAGAAGACACAACCATCCAAGTGGACCCGCAAGACAAAGGCGTTGTGGTTCGTGAACGGAGCGGCTCTCGACGCAGAGACGAGACGCCTCTGTGAGTCCGGCGAGCGAAAATTAACATTTGATTTCTGTGATATCGTGACACGTGGGTGCGCGGAGCAATTAATTCATTAAATTGAGTAGTTAAAATTATCACGCGTGCGCCGCTGGGCGGTATTGGAAAGAGCCGCGTACGAAAGCAACAGTGACATTTCGCAAGACCGGTATATATTTTTTTTCTACGTATCATTTCGATCACGGTTTACACTGTAGTGAGCAACGTCGTGCATATTTCCTCTGTCCTTCGATTTACTCGTGTTGTTGATATTCATGTTTTCACTCCTTATAATATCGTAGATCATGTCCAAGTATTATATTATTCTGCATTAATAATAATTAGTCTCAAAATAATTTTGCTGTTGTTTTTGCAAGTTGTCTATAAAGCTTTGAAACCATATTCTGAAAAAAGGCTACCCTTTCAGGTGACAAAATATGTTACCTGAGCCATCTACACAAAGATTTTGAGACCCTGCGCGTGCCGATTTAAAAGGTGTCAGAGAACACATAAATGAGCACCAGTTTTAAGAATTTTTACAGGCCGTATAATTATACAACATTTAAATAGTTCCGACCTATAACATACATTTACATAACATGATTGTCTATACAGATTAATAAATTTCCATGCAGGAATATCCAGAGTGAAAAGACTAAATGTCATGGTCAATAGTGAAGAAAAAAATAATATTTTTTCCAAATGAATATATATCAGATAATTATAAAAATTAAATTGTAAAAAAGTTTAAATGTGCAACTGATGGCACTGATGTGTTGATATTTGGTGGTAAAATATCATTGAATTTCCCATTAATTGAAAACCTTCTTAAAGTCACTTTTGTTTTATGTCTAATCTGATTAATCTGATGTTTTTATATATCAGTAACTGCTCATGTACGCTAAGAGTTGTTAACATAATATACGCTGATGGATTAGGTTACTTATGTCGATTTGAGCATTTTTTTCAATTTAATGTTAAGACAATTTACAGTAGGACCCATTTGAAGCATTTTAGGTTACTAACCAACTACAGTAAGGATTATATATTTTGTTGAATAGGAAAAATATATGTTCCTGCTATCTGTTATATTTGAATGTCTGAAAAACTTGTCAGAAAAAAAATAAAAGATAAGGACTAAAAAGGCTGAATTCTGAAACGCATCTTGGTTTTCTCACGATCTACGAATTTTTACAACTTAGTTTAATAAATTGCGGAAAAATTGACGCAGTGAAAAACGGCATAGGTACCAAAAATATTCTAATTGTATCAAAGCTTTTGCCAGGGTTTATATTTTGTCACTCGCTGCTAGTGAGAGGATCAACCTGCCCTATTCACTGATTGTAGCTATACAAAATAAACTGACCTCAACTTACAGCAAAATCAGCACAGTTTTCATTATATGAAAATTCCCCAAAAGAAAAGTCGCCAGCTTGACTTACCTTATCTGGTGTACGATTCCAAACGATGACAGAGTGACCCGAGTTCAAGAGGTTCTTGACTATGCCGGATCCCATTATGCCCAGTCCAAGAAAACCAAACTTTAGCATCGAAGGCATTATGTTTTTCTCTTTCAACGTCTGGGTCACACCCTCTATGTCAAGTGGAGGAGTGTCCTGAAATTAAGGTAGAAAGTAGTGATTTAGAAATCATAAAAATAAAATAAAAATAAAAACTAAATTCAAATCTATAGTTTTAAATTTTGCCACTGAAAACTCACAGGTCTAACAACATTAGAAGGTCGATCAAGCAGACTGGTTGTTGCTGCAGGCTTGCGGTACGCATGGTTCACAGAACCAGTTGAGTCGAGATCAGCGTCTTCCTCGGGTCCTTGTGAGCCTTTGCGAGGTCTCTTGGCAGACGAACCATTACTTGCAGACTCCGATAGACGACTTTTCTTTATATCCTAGAAAAACATTAGTATATCATAAATAAAGCTTATTAGAATAATGATTTAATGTAAATATTAAAAAAAAAATCAATTGGTTTTTCAGAGTGCAAAAGCTCAGTTTGGTTAAAAAGGGGTGTCAGTGCCATAGAAAACTATGTGAACTGCAAGCTGCCATATTATTAGCTTTACTAACACGAGCATAAGTACACACCAGAGATATATCTGGAGCACGTTTTACTACTAGGAATTAAGAATTAAAGTCAAAATGAAAAAAAAAAATTCATCGAACAAAAAAATCAAAGATTTTTACTAACAACGTAAAGATAATCTGACTTTCTATTAACACAATAATTATACAAGTTAATCCGACGTTTAAAACAGATATTAAAAAATATATTGGCATAAAATTTGGATGATATAAAAATATTACAAAAAATCAACATACCTTCTTGATTTTTTGCTTTGGCGTCACGGCTGGTCCTTCGCCCTTGGCAGGTGTGCGACCTTTGTCGTCGTCCAAAAACGACTCACGCAGGCGATTGAATTCTGCATCAGAAGCACTTTCACCGATCTGCAACAAGTATATTAAAAATAAGACAACAAACATCATGGTCAAAGTTCTTAACCATCTAAGAATCCTTCAAATATTTTAACCCACATTGAAACTTTCTAGTTAATTTTCTGCCTCTTTGAAATATGCATCCTGAAATAAATATCTGGGATAACCAAAGAAGCGCTATGTCTTTTTATGCCAACAATAAAATCTTTAGTCTGGGACTCTGGGCTGTTTGTGGATAAAGATTTAAAAAAAAATCTTCCTATGAGGGATTCAATATTTGATTGTCGAGAAACTTTGATAATTCTCTGCGAGTTTTAAAAATGTTCAATGTGGCGTGATAGTAAAATCTCATTGAGAACACCTTTCTCTATTTCTATTAAAATTTTAGGATACATATTCAATTATTCATAACAACCTAATTTAGAACATTGAACCCTCATGAGAAAATGGCATTGAAATTATAAATAGAAAGTGCAGAGAGAAAGATAAATTATAATCCTCAAAGTAAATGGCCTATTAACCTTCCTGTGTTCTTAGCAGACAGCATTATTTGGAAATTTTGGACTTCGAAGCAAAGAAAGCAAAATTGCTTTTTATTTTGAGAAATTTTTAAATTAAATATCTACACATCCCTTTAGTCTACAATAAAAAGTAAAAACCGAATATCAAAGAATAAAAATAGTGGAAATGAAGAGATCGGGCCTATTCCTCGTTGCAGAAAATGATTTTATTCAAAAACAAATGGAGCCATCTGTTTAAAAAAAAAAAATCTGCAATGAGGAAAAATCCTGATCTCTTCATTTCCATGATCTTCTCCTCCAGTGTCAACTTCTCCAAACAAATAAAATTAATGTTATATTTTACTTTATTTATCTGAATAAATTTTAATGTAATACCAGTAAAAAGAATTACAAACACTTGCTTATATTTTATGGATATTATAATTATTCAATTATAATTGTACTTAAAATGTGAACATAATGTGTCTAATTGACCAATTTGGTGTATAATTTAAAAATTAAAATGTAAACAATTTACATTTCAAATCAAGCAGAAGGTCAACATTTTTATTTTCATCTTTTTTAATTAAAATAAAATGACTTCTAGTATTCCGTGACATTTAATATAAATTAAGTATCAATTGGCAAAATATCAATTTCCCTTACTTTTGAGATATATTCAAGCCGAGATCTCGGTAATCATTTACCATCATTAATACAACCTCAAAAAAAAAAAAAAAAACCTAGGGCAGCAAGAATTCCACCAAGCACAACTACTAACAATCAGTGGCTATAATAAATATAAAATATACTTACATTTCCACCACCTTTTCGCTGGTTCTCCACGTATTCTTCGATGGCTTCGACAGCCTCCCTGAAAGGAGCAGCCTTGCTCGTCTTCGACAAGGTGTCCTTGAACTGGAAGTATGGCTTCAGATTTGATTCTTCGATCCATGCACTGGAAGATGCAAATAAGATGGGGTATTTTTTTAATCATTTTTACTTTAGCAAAACTCACTAATTATTGGAGCCAAAGAAGAATATCCATTGGTTCCCCCCCTTCTTAGCTGCAGGCCTTTTCTGCTGTTCAGGGTCGTGCTCAGCAATCTGCAAAAAGTTACTCAAGTTATTTAGGCCAATCGAGAAAAGACACACAAATGAAGAGAATTAGATGCAAGATTTGAAATATGATTAATTGGATTCTTAATCCATGTAAAATGACTAAAATCATTGACAGAATATAAAGTTACGCTATAAGTGATTTTAAACCAAAATTTGTCATTTAAAAATGCAATTTTGAGCTTGATACAAAAGTTCTACCACTTATTTAGTGAATAAGAAGTTAAAAATTTGACAAATTTTGACAATTTCGTGTACGGTACTCATGGGTAATAGACAAGGTATGATATTCGGATCGGCATGCCGCCCTTAGAGGAAGATGTGTGAAATTCTTGTTTAGGCAGATGCAAAACAAGTTTGGCGGCCTCTTCGAGTCGACTCACCTTTGCAGGCCATGGTGCGAAACCCTTCATCTTAGCCCTGAAACAAGGAGAATAACAATAAGGACGAGCTCTTGGTTTGCCCTGTCGCTGGCTTAGGGCCTCAGGTTGTCTGCAAATCGACACTTACCACACCAAATCACCAACTTTCCAGACTTCACCCATTATCGCGGCAACTTTCGACTGAGCGTCAGAAATGAATTTGCAAGCGGCGTTGGCTTCGTTCCCCTCGGGATCAGGTGATCACGTTCAAGGACGTAAAGTTGCAGTTTTCCAGGCTAGTTGGAAATTCCCCTGATCGAAATTTGGTCCTTTCGCAAGACGAAAACCTAAAATCTGAGCTAAATTTGGCCAAAACCGGCGATAATCATGAAAAATAGGCGCGAAAACAACGCGATGGCGTCCCACGGAAGCACATGTAAGTCAACATGGATATCACGTGTGATGTCGCCACTGTGCAGGCAATATTTGTAAACATTACGTCGCGCACCGCATTTTGACCAATCGCAGCGCTGGAAAACGCCGCCTTCGTTAAAAAGATCAACTATTTGAAGGTGATCATGCGGCGGTAAATTTAAAATGTCAATAAAAGTAAAAAAATATTGTGATAATAGCCTCCTCAATTTTTTTACTTCAATTGTGTGAATAAAAAAATTGGGAAAAATTTCCAGCGACAACAAGTTTCTAAAAAATAGCCCCATTAACCGTTTATTGAAAGCCTTAATACGTTTTCTTCTAACAAAAAATGATAAAAATACCAATAGGAAAGAGGGGAGTGGGAGTGGCCGGGGCCATTGTACATGTGGAAATTTTGTGTTTATCTCCGGCTTGCGGCGACGTGTGAATGAACGTAAGTTTTATTCGAATTTGGATCAGATTCAATCAATTTAAACGTTTAAACATGCTAATGAATCTAGCCTGTTGTGTTGATTTTGAGAAATAAACGAATTTTTTTTCATGCATTTTATGTTGTATTATACAATCACCGTATAAAAATGCACAACTTTTTTCAGATGATGAAACATTGTTGCTGACTTTAGTGTGCATTATCAACAGGAAAATACGCTGATTAGGACGCTTTCTGTGGAATTTCGGTTCTTAACTTAATGCTCTACAAGCTTGTAGCGAGAAGTAGAATTTTAGTCACCATCAAGCCAAAAGAGACACTTACAAATTTTTCATTGGTAATTATGTATTAAATTATATGCTGTGATTTTCCAACCAAATGCATACCTTCTTGTCTTATATTAGATTATTTTTATAATATTATTTACAAATTATTTAAGATCGTGAGAGCACACAGTTCGAAGATGGCAAAGAGAACCCAGCCCAATTGGCTCCCACCAAAAAGCAGTTCAGACGAGCCTCAACTGAAACTGTTCAACAGTCTTACTAGACAAAAAGAAGTCTTTGTTCCTCAAAATGGCAGAAGGGTTTTGTGGTACAGCTGTGGCCCAACAGTGTACGACGCCTCGCACATGGGACACGCCAGGTCATACATCTCGTTTGACATAATGAGAAGAGTGCTGTCGGACTACTTCAATTATGATGTGATGTATGTTATGAACATAACGGATATTGACGACAAAATCATCAAACGAGCCAGACAAAATTACTTGTATGACCAGTACATTCAGCGAGGACATTCGCTGCAGAAAATCCTGGACGATGCCAGCGAAGTGTTGGACGTAAGTTATTTATAAATAATTTATGAAAATTATTTTTGTAAATAATAATATCTATCAAAAAGGCTTTGAAAGACAATATCAAAGAGACTGATGATCAGGACAAGAGGACTATGTTGGAGGGCATGCTAGAGAGGGTCAGTGCTGCCCTGAAAAATTTGGAAGCAGCATATGTCAGCAAGGACGAAAATTCATTAAAGGAGAACCAATCCGTAACATAGTAAATTAAAAATTCTGACATTGCAAGTATTGGAATTTTCATAGGCCTTCCTAACTGAAGCTAAAGATCCTTTGTCTAACTGGCTGGACAAGCAGTTTGGGGCATCTGTGAAAGACAACTCAATTTTTGCTGAGCTGCCTAGGTATTGGGAGGCAGAATTCCACAAAGACATGGATGCTTTAAATGTAAGTTTTTTTTGCATTTCCTTATTTAATTTAAAAATAATCTTTTGCTACAGGTGCAACCTCCCCATGTTCTGACTCGAGTCAGCGAATATGTTCCAGAGATCATCGAGTACACTAAGAAAGTGATGGACAATGGCTTTGCTTACGAGTCAAATGGTTCTGTATATTTTGATGTTTTGGCCTTCGACAAGAAAAATGGCCATCATTATGCCAAACTTGTCCCTGAAGCCTATGGAGATGAGAAGAGTTTGCAGGAGGGAGAAGGTAAATAATTAAAGATAATAATATGCTCCCTTAATAATATATTTCAAACGTTTTTTGTTAGGTGATTTGAGTGTTTCTAAGGAAAAGCTGCAAGAAAAAAGGTCTCCAGTTGATTTTGCTCTGTGGAAAAACTCAAAGCCTGGTGAGCCATCTTGGGATTCGCCTTGGGGTCTAGGGCGGCCTGGTTGGCATATCGAGTGCTCCGTAATGGCCTCTGCAATTTGTGGAGAGTCGCTGGATATCCACACTGGAGGTGTTGACCTTAAATTTCCTCACCATGACAATGAGTTGGCCCAGGCTGAGGTTTGCAATTTATTGCTGTGGTGATAGAAAATTTAAAATTAATTTATTAAATAGGCCTACTTCGACAATGATCACTGGGTGCGTTACTTTTTGCACTCCGGACATTTAACCATTGCAGGCTGCAAAATGTCCAAGAGCCTGAAGAATTTCATCACCATCCGTGATGCTCTGAGCATAAACACTGCACGGCAATTGAGGATTGCGTTTTTACTTCACTCTTGGAAAGACACTTTAGACTACAGCGCAAGCACTATGGAGTTAGCCACGTCATTTGAGAAATATTTGAGTGTAAGATACTTATTTTAATAAATAAATTTCAATTCTTTACATTTCTTCTTCAGGAATTCTTTCTCAATGTAAAAGATTTGACTCGCTGTTCTGGAGGAACAACTCTGGATTCTTTTGATAAGTGGGGTGAGACAGAACTCAAGCTTGACTCCAAATTCCGTGATGCGAAGTCAGCCATCCACGCTGCTTTGTGTGGTAAGCATTTATATCCTTTGTCGGACGTAAGACCTATCGAGACCGTACTCGGGACTTGTTGAGATCATTGGTATCAGTGGGTCCCAACTGGTCTTAATTAAATCCTAATATTAACCAACTGCTTGATTAGATAACATTGATACAAGAAGAGTTTTGGATGAAATTCGAGAGATGGTCAACACTTGCAATAACTACCTTCAATCGAAGAAGATTAGCCAGGAGGCTCCAAACAAATTGCTGCTTAAAAATGTTGCAGAATACATCACTCGCATCATGAAGGTGTTTGGCGTTATCACTAGTGACACAAGTATTGGCTTTCCCATCTCGAGCTCTGGAACAGCTAATGTACATTTTGACTTATCACAAAATCTGTAATATTTTGTTAAAATAATGTTTTTTTTTAAAGATGGAAGAACTGGTAATGCCTTATCTTCAAATCCTTGCCAACTTCAGAGAAAATGTGAGAGCAGAGGCCAGAACTTTGAATGCTCGTTCAATTTTAAAAGAGTGTGACAGTCTGCGAGACGATGCTTTGCCCAATGTTGGAGTTAGATTAGAGGACAAAGAAGGTTTGCTTGTTTGAAATTGTCTTCGTTCAGTACATTTGAGTTCTTAACAGCTGGCCATCCTGCTGGGATCAAATTGGTTGGAAGAGAAGAGCTTTTGAGAGAGCGAGAACTTAAAAAGAAACAGGAGGAAGCCAAGCAGTTGGAAAAAGAGCGAAAGAAAGCTGAACAGGCAGCTTTGCTGGCACAGAGAAAGATCAAGCCATCAGAAATGTTCTTGAAAGAAACGGAAAAATACTCGAAGTTTGACGAAAAGGTAGTTTGCCCCTTTTCCACAACCATATAATATAAAAATATTGTGTTAGGGCTTGCCTACCCACGACAAAGATGGGAATGAGATAACCAAGGGTCAGCAGAAGAAATTGCTTAAAGCCTACCAAGCACAAGAAAAGAAATACAATGATTACCTCAAAGAGGCTGAAAAGTGACATGATTTTTTAATAACAATAAAGTTATAGTACTTTAATTTTCTTATGGTAATTAGTTTGATTTTTCTTTTGATAATCTAATAACAAAGAATATGCTAAAAGTTTCAATAAAAATCATCATTGTTTCAGGTATTATATTTATTAATTTTTATAATGAGTGAAGTTCCCAACATTGTAAAGTTAAGACAATCTAAAACATTTTCAATATGAATCTCTTACATCATATCATGATAATTATACAGTTTGATCTGTCTATGTAGTAACAATCCATTTAAATATGGTTGCTGGCTGCTGCTGGTATGAATAGCCACAGCAACAATACCACAGCTAATCACTTTTTTATGTTCTCTATCTTAGATCTTTCTTAGATCTTGATCTTAATAACATAATTGTCATAATTTTACTTGGTGTTTGCAATTGAACAGATTAGGATTCAAGTAATAATAAAATTTTGTATTCCTTACAAACCATGAAAATTAATTTCAATTTTTCAAAAACTTATTCTATCTCTCGGCAGAAAAGAGGAATGTTTCAACATTTTGTTACTTGTTACTAACTTCTGAACAATGTTGCTGAGAAGCATACTGTTCACAACTAATATATAATTATAAAATATGAATATAAATACTTTTAATTTAATGCCATTACACCTGATTATGCCTTAAAATTTCTCTTTGGCACTTAATTGCGCTGAATCCATTGAATGATTAAATTTTAATATGAAAACAGTTTGAACATCGAATAATTTTTTTGGCCGAGTGCAGCTTGTTTTAGTTTTAGGTTACTTAGTTAGTGATCTTTGTGAAGTACTTGATTATGATTCCATGCCATCTGGAAACCCTAAATCATTCCACTCATTATCACATTGAAGCCCTGTGCATTTTTGATGCAAATTCAATTAAGTCGTTTCAGCTTTAAGACAAGCCTTGATGTTTCAGATGCTATTCGTTTCAAGCAGTCTCAGATTTTTTTTGGCTCTTAATAAATACACATCAATAATGTAATTGTTTTACTGTGTTATACTACTATCCTTGATTACAGTCTGCTTGATAATACAGATCACAATATAGCAAGCACAATACCGATTTGCCTCAAATTCGATCCTCAAAAGAGCTATTATTGTGATTATCCATTGATTAATTTTAGGGCAAAAACAATTGTTCCCATTTTCATTCATTCAGGGCCTAGTTTTTGGGGGGTGGAGTGATAGAATAATTTAAGATGTGCAGAAGCAATAAAAATCCAAAAGAATCAACAACAATCACTAGTAAATACAAATTAGGAACTTGCATAACGTGCAATTTACAAAACATACCCAAGGTGGTGTGGGGAATTTATCTGTATGGGAGGCAACATTCAATACAATGCAGCAAAAACCGTCGAGGTTTTGAAATTAGTGAGTTTCTCACAAGCGAAATAAGCTCTGCATTGGCCTCCCCGATTGAGGGGGGAGGCAATTGCGCTAGGGGTTATTCTGCTTGTTCGAACGCAACCGGGCCAAGCCTGAGCGCTCCTCTTCTTCATCACTTGTGTACGAAGTCATGCCTGCAGCAACCGCTCCCCTGGACGAGGTTGCTTGCATTAACTCCTGATCAGGTCCTGTGCGATTCTCGTACAGTAAAATATTCAAAGTCTCCTCGTATATCCTTGCCTCCGGGAATTCAACCTGAAAGTTTATAGACGTATTTAAGTCTGCATAATTTTTTTGTTGTGTAATTTACTTTTGTGTGTTTTCGGTCCGTGGCATACACTATGGAGGTGCAGCAAACTTCAGCAACTTTCTTGCCATGTCCGTAAAACCCCCAGCAGCAAATTTCAGTTGAACCGATGACATCTTTGATGAACAGAACTCGGCCACTGAATCTCAAAGACAGCTTGTCAAAGAGCTCAATGTTTTTCAACAGGTTGTCATCAGATGTGCTTGTGTAGGAGTACTTGTTGTTGTGGCGGTTTATCAAGAGTTTCACAATAGGCTGGAAAATGTTTATGATCGCATGAGCACTGTTAATCAAGAAGTGTGATTCAAATCATACTTTAGCAGTTGAGTTGATCAGCAACTGCTCCTCTTTTTGAGAGGTAATCAGCGGCACCCTGCAAATGGGCTCAGCCTCGCGCTCTCGTTTCATTAGGGCGAGTTCGCATGACTCGATGAGATCAGCGATGCAGTAGTACTTGACCTCCGCCAAAAGCTCGGCAACTTCTTTGCAGTTGTCTGGGAGTGGGACGCTGCCATCTCTCAGATAATTGAGGATTGTGCCAAAGTGTTTTCCACATCGATCAATCAAAATCCAGCCTGAAATTAAAAAAAAAAAAATAAAAAAAAAATCTGACAAAAATGATCAATTTTCAACCTTCCGAATCCGTGAGAACTTCCATCCGGCCGCTGAACATCGCTCTCAACATAGTATCATGTTTGGTGAGGGTGCCAATCGTGGTGTAATGCAGTGATCCGCCTATGTTGAGCTTCACATACTGCGAAGGGTTGCCTTTGATGACTGTTTTGTGATCACCCGACATTGTCGAGCAATCTAGCACGCTGCTCTTCTGAATTTTTTCGGGCGTGCAGTCAATCGAAAGCAAAAAACCAGCGCTTTTTCAATGCTTGAATAGACGAGAAAATCTTTGATTTGCTAGTCGCAGGTACATACGCGAGTCTGATCGAGTTATTATTGATTCAAAATTAGCACCTGACTCAATGAAAATTGAACAGGAAACAGTGGCAAGACAGAATGAAGATTGAAGATGGGGTGTGTGGGTTGATGGTTAATTCATAAACAGCGCGGTGCTGCCGCCAAACCGTACTATTGCAACTAACTGTGGGGCGGGGTCTGCAACTGTTTTTTTAACGAGCCGCTGCTGATCTGAAGTAGAGCGGTAGCTGTGCCAGCGGTGGGTGTGTTTCCACGTCCGAACACGTAAAATCTCCTTCTCCTTTCGCCGTCTCACCAGCCGTCCCAGCCGACGGGTTTCACACTTGAAAATGTTTGTCTTATCCGGCTCGCCAGTCGGTGTTTCGTCTCACAGCTGCAATGCCCACGCAGAGGAACCCCTTGGACACTAAGCACTCATTGCAGATTCTCCAAATGGAGCCCAAAGGGATCCCATCGAACAGTTCGAACCAGCAACTCGTCAGCGGCGACGAGAGCGACGGTTACCCGAGCGACAGCAGCCCTTCGCCCCGTCTGCAAATCAGAGTTTCCCGGACAGAATGGGTCACCGTGGCCATCCTGTGCTTCGTCAACCTCATCAATTACATGGACAGATTCACCGTGGCAGGTGATTTGAAATGTGCACGTGATTCTAGAAGACCGGTTGCATGCCAGGGGTCAGAGGAGGGTGAGGGGTGCGGTCACCCTCTTGCTATTTTCCTCGCTCAATTTTCCTGAATTTTTTTATTAGAAAATTTCACTTTTGAGGCGTTTATTTCATTGATTTTATTGCGTAACTATTGCAGAAAGATTGATTTTTGCTTCTTGTTAGTCTCAGATTTTCCCGGAAAAGCAGCACCCATTGACCCAAATTTCCACTACGTGCCTCACGAAAGGGTTAAAGTGGGCAAACAGGTGGATCGAGGGCGCCGGTCAGTCCAGTTTTACATCAGCAATTGGCGAAAATAGCATTTTGCGGCGGCCTAATTGGCGAAATTACATTTCACTCGGCCTTGGAGCTTTTTCTGTCCGACCGCATTATTTCGCGAAGGTTCTACTAGGATTTTTTGAGAAATTCGTCTACGACGCAGTTTGCGTCATTCGAATCGGCAAAATTTGCTTTGGGCCTGGTATTGCTAATATTTATTTATTTTCCTGGAGTTACGTGGTGCATCATGCCGTTGTCTGACGCGCGAATCGTGACGTGCGACGGTTTATTCTGGCGCTGCTGCTCACATGCCTCGTACGATGCGTTTCAGCCAATGAGAGGCCGCTCGGCCGACCGTGGGCCCGGCCTACATAGCCAATGCACTGCTTGGCTGCATATTTTATTTTTTATACATACATCGAATGATGCATCCAAGGAACACGTGCTTTATTGCACATCGGGGTGGCGCCGGTCTATGTATAATAAATTATTGTTATCATCAATTACGTTTGACTCGTCGCTGACCCTGAGAATGATTTTCTTATTTTTAGTCCTCGGGCATGGCGTGATATTCATATGAGAGGGATAAAAATAGTCGAGAGCGCCTAATAAACGTGTTTATGCATTTCCGACTCGATCTTTCCTCCATTCATGCTCGTTGTGGAAAAGAAACGGCGGGACACACCCTACGCAGTCGGTCGCACGCCACGTATTTTCCCTTGCGTATACCAGGAAAATGAGAAATAGATAAAAAAAAAAGTGGTGTGATGTCTGGCGTGGTTATTGATTGCGTGCGCTAGTGGGCCGATTTTCTTAGATAAAAATCTTTATCTTTTTTATGTTACTCACATTTTTATTACGCGCAAAGAAATGATGAATTTGAATGATGCAAGAGACGAAACCAGTTGCTTTTATTGGCTAATATTCAAAATTTTATTTTTCAACCCAAACATTGATATTGTTAATATCCAAGTTTTAGTTTTCAATTTTTATTTACTTGGGTGTAAATTCAAGTTCATTGGAGTTAAAAATGTTTTAGAAATTGCACTTCAAACTTTTTTTATCAGTTACAGTAATCTTAAATAGTTCCGCTGTTTTACATTTTGCCGTCAACTTCATTTCAAAATCCTTACCTTGATAAGGCAAACTTTAAGTGACAATGAAATTATAGTTTACTGCGCACTTTGTTTTCAAACAAGACAAGGCCAGCTCACTCAAATTACTTGATGGATGAGCAGATACAAATAAATATTATTCAAGATTATGATTTTAAATAAATGCGATGCAAGCTGTGTTTAATTCTAATGACAATGTAACTCTTTTTGAGATTAGCAGGCTCGACTGCTACCGCTGGTGCCGTTCCCAAGGGGATAAACAATTATAAAAATGTAATTAGAAAATAATTCAAACCTTAATGAATGCTCCCTTTTGTAGCTAAAAATTAATCAAATCAAAACTTTCAATCACAAGCTTGTAAACCATTGTCATCATGTATGAATAATTCATTTAATTATTAATAGCATCGTCAGCCGCAAAATGTCACCGCTTTATCTTTTCAATTTCCTCTTTCAATCATCGCAAAGTTTCCCGTCAATGCATTAACCTATTCCTTAAAGGCCCCTCAGTAAACACCAGCTCTCCTCTTGAGCTGTCTTGATGATGCCGCAGGTTTGCGAAAGTAGCGTTCTTTCGTCGATCACCCGATTGAGAAATTATATAATGGCATAGCTTCCAGTAAAATAAGAGAAAGTCTTGCACCACAATTATTTTTTGCTGCTATTTTTCTCTTCACTTAATTTGAAATTTTACTTGCAGCCACCTCTTTTTACTGAAATGGCTGAAAAGAATATCTGAAGAAATCACTTTTTGGTCAAGCGTGAATAATCCCAAATTACCGACGCGCTTTGCTTAACAAGAAACTGTTTTATGGGTTTTTTTATCCCGGCGTATAGGATGAAAATATTTCGCGGTGCGAACGATAAACGGCCCGTGGCTGACGACTGAAGAAACCGGTTCGCAAGTCCTTATACAGAGAGGTTACGTGTTTAGTTTTATTATAAGCACACGTAGCAGGTGGAATTCCTTTCCAATCGTAAGAAAGGAAAATCATGAGATGAACTTTTCCCGCAATAGATCTGATAGAAAAGTTGCGCTGTAAAAATTAAAACAATCGCCTAATGTTAGCCGGTTTATAAATTGCAATTTAATTTTAAAAATAAAAAAGTAGTACACGGAGTTAATTGCATTTGGCGGCCAGATTATGTTCTTTGAGAAAAGTCACATGAATTAAAAAGCTTTGCCATTAGGCAGTCGTGAATCCCGTGGTTTTAACTGCTAATTCCTTGGAAGGCAAACTGCGGAGTTGGCGTTCAGAGCTAGACGGCTGCAATATCCGCCTCAGTTTATCACGACATAATTGTTGCCAACAGGCCCTGCATGAATATGGCAACCCGAAATGAACTTCCGTAAAATTGCGTGATACGCCTCACAAGAACCAAAACCTTGAGAAGTCCACAATTATTTTGAAATTATATATTTCCACTTGCAAAAAGCAAATCAAAATTATATATAAAATTTAATTGTCTATTATTTATCATTAAATATGATTGGTGAAAAACAATTGGGGTTAATCTCAAGTTGACTCCGGATGAATTTTTAACCCAATTCAAATTTAGCCTCAAGTTGTATTTTGGTGATCACGCCACTTGGATATTAAAATTCTATCCCTTGCCAAATTTCCAAGCTCTACCATTTTTTGTTTATTTTGTCTTGTCGTTTTGTGGCATGAGCCAAATATTTAAAGTTCAAACGGCCGTTTTTTTCGCAGGTGTGCTGGAGGACATCCAAAAAGACTTTGGCATCGGTGACGACAAAGGAGGCCTACTGCAGACAGTCTTTGTCATCAGCTACATGGTGTTCGCGCCTCTCTTCGGCTACTATGGTGACCGCTACAGCCGCCGAGCCATCATGGCATTTGGGGTCTTCTTGTGGGGCCTCACCACGCTTTTGGGTTCGTTCATGCAGGTGTGTACCACTTATAATATACATATATGTATATAAAAACCACTTGACTGGCTTCTGATGAGAGCGGAAGGATTTTTTTTCATGCTTATTAAATTTGCTCTAATCCCTGTCTGATAAGTTTTCTTAAGGGAAAAGGGTATTTACGGTCAATTGCCTTATATTTTCAGGACTATCATTGGTTCCTGCTGATGCGAGGTTTAGTGGGCATAGGCGAGGCCAGCTACTCGACCATTGCACCCACCATCATCAGTGACCTCTTCGTCAATGACATGCGGTCGAAAATGCTCGCTCTTTTCTACTTTGCCATCCCTGTAGGCAGGTAAGAGAAGTCAAGACAATAAAAAAGAAAACAAAACCTGTTGGCATGTCGCCAAGGCTCGGCTGCCTTGGTTGATCTCAAAGGCAAAAAGACCATCAAAAGTTAATATAGACGGTTTTGATTGTCTGGCGACTTTGGAACTTTTCTAGAGCATGGTTGGTGAATAATATGGGCTGATATTTAATTTTATTCTTTTAGCGGGCTGGGCTACATCATTGGATCGGAGACTGCCCGTTTTGGTGGAAGCTGGCACTGGGGCCTTCGAGTGACCCCTGTGCTGGGAATAATTGCAGTTCTTCTCATTCTCTTTGTAATGCACGACCCTGAACGAGGTGAGGCTGAAGGTCACACTCAGCTCCAACACACCGACTACGCAACCGATGTCAAAGATCTCTTGAGCAAGTGAGTAACTTGGTGTTTTATGATTTACTATTTTGACTCCATATTTATAATAATTATCACTATCAGAATCATGTGATATTTCTTCACAATATACAAGAACCAACTTTCAAAGTCCATTGATTGACAAGTTAAAACTTTTCATACCTAAACTTATTATCCTAACCAATGACGACAGGGGCACATTTTTTTAAACCACAAATATTTTTTTTGCCATTTCAGTCGCAGTTTTATGTGGTCCACTCTTGGTTTCACCTGTGTTGCATTTGTGGCCGGCGCTCTTTCATGGTGGGGACCAATTTTCATCCTCAACGGATTGCAACTCCAGCCTGGAATGGAGAACTTAAAGTTGGCAGAGTAAGTATTGCAGCTCAGGGCAAAGCCCTCTGATCACTTTTTGCCTTTCCACTACAAAATCAGTGGAATGCAAGGTAATGCCTCAATTGGCTTTCATTCTCATGACAAATAGAGTGAATCCCAGATTGGCTTTCCTTGTTAATTAAGTACAAGTATACAGCTAATGTTTCATTGACCATGGACGTAGATGGGAAAGTGAATGTTTTTTCAGAGCTCTTAATCGCTTTTAATATGATTTAAAAAATTTAATGGATTCTCTTCCACTTAGGAACAATAGGAGCCTCATGTTTCATTTAATTATAAAGAAAGTTTTTCTCAGATAATGAACTTTTACTTAATGATTGATGTTTCTCATTTCAGTGTTTCCCTCAAGTTTGGTATAATAACCATGGTGTCGGGTATCGTGGGAGTACCCTTAGGTGCAACACTGGCCCAGAAACTTCGAGTCAACTATCCTAGAGCAGACCCATTGATCTGCGCAGCTGGTCTGCTGATCAGCGCTCCTCTCCTCTTCTTTGCTTCCATCACTGTCACTAAAAACGCTGTCCTTTGCTACATTCTCATCTTCCTTGGAGAGGTTGCGCTCAACTTAAACTGGTCCATCGTGGCCGATATTTTATTGGTAAGTTATCAGACCTGTCTAAAATCAGCCAGTTGCTAAAATAATTTTGTTCAGTATGTTGTCGTGCCAACTAGAAGATCAACCGCCGAAGCATTCCAGATCCTGCTTTCTCATGCACTGGGTGACGCAGGCAGTCCATATCTTGTTGGTCTTGTGAGTATTTACTTAAATTGCTATTAAGGAAGGAATCTTGACTTAAAACTGTTTGCAGCTGTCTGAGTACCTAAAGACAGTTCTACCTAACACAGTAGACTCTGGCATTATAGCCGCAAACGTCACTGCGGCTGCTGGTTTAATTGACGAAGTCAGCCCTGAAGTAAAGTTCCACAGTCTACAATATGCCCTTTTTACGACTAATTTTGTGGAGATCATTGGTGGGCTCTTCTTTGTTCTGACGGCTCTCTACATTGTAGCCGACAAACGGAAAGCAGATGTTGCAGCGACAGGCAAGTCCATCTCACGCGCCCACATCCTTTGATGTAAACATTTTCTTATTTCCTTAATCCTATTATGAATTTTCGGATTCTGAAGTTTTTATTTAATTGGCCGTTTGAATTATATTATTGCAATTTTTTATACAATCGTGAATAATGATAAACTGAGTTGGTTAAACATGACCAATTAATTAATTTTTGAATGATATTATATCAGATAAACATCAAAGGCTCATATTGGATATCATCTGAGTGGCTGTGTAAGATTTAAATAACATTAATAGCATCAATCAACTTTTAAAAATTCTAACAAAAGAAAAATAACATGCCTTATCCACAACCTTCCCACAAACATATGATTTTTTTATGCTTAACAATTAGCTAATTATTTCTATTCTTTTTCAGTCGAAAGAACTGAGCAAGGAATAACTAACATTTATGCTGACGAAGCAGAAACAACACAACAGAGAATAAACAACCTCAGCTAGGAACAGGGCTGTGTAGTTTTGACTGATTTTGATCTTACATAGTTTGTGCTCGGCAGCTGTTCATTACACAGTTGAAGCAGTACTTGCAAAGACTGTTGTTCTCTGTTAAAAGTTGCTGTGCCCGAATGAGGTGGAAGCACAGATGTGCTGTTTCGTAAGGCTGTTCAATTCAATTACGGTTGTTTTCAATTTCATGCAGGTGCCTATATGTATCGTCTTTTGTGTACATAATAATGCATTATTTATCATCACATCATTGCTAGCAGCAAAATTAGCAAGCTACTAGGTTCCTATAATGTTGGTTTCATTTTGGAACTTGAAAGCAGTTTATTATTTGAATGTTGAGTCGTGTATAATTTTAGTTGAGCAAAGACTATTTGATTAGTTTATTTGCATTTGATACTTATCAAACAAAGCCTGCTCCTTATATACTCTTGATTCATAAGTTTGCTCAAAACCTCAAATTTTACATTTTAGTTTTTAAAGGGACCCATTCACCAAGCTTATTCAGAAAGTCATCTTGCGAAGACTGATTCATTTCAAAATTTTACCATGTCCTTCACCTATTTTAATACCAATATTCCTTGTCGAGTCCTTTCGGATCAATGTTGACAGACTGAAGCAACGTTCAAGAAAGTGGTCTGTTCTTCAATAAATGAAAAATTGCAATTTGGAACGACTTATACTGTAAAATTTTGCTTGGTCGTATCTAAATGTTCTAAAACTGAATATTCTGCACGTGTTGAAATTTGTGTTGTATATAATAAATGGAGCATGAATATAGTATCAAATTGAAAAAAAGAATTTTATTTTTGAATATACCTGGAGGCAGTATGTGTGTGCATTATAAAAGGTCAATAATACATCAAAGAAATAGGAATTGGTAATTATAAACAATAAAAAAAAATCAAAGTAAAAAATGTATCACATTGTAGAGGCCAATTAATATCTGGCTGCTTTGCTGACCTTATCATATACCTCCGGGAATGCTTTGCCACAGTTAAGTCGTCTCCTGACTCGGTCATAGAGAGTATGATCAAACATTTGTCGGAATTCTTCTTTGGTGGTGTAAGTGTCAGCATAAAGCATTTGAAAGCTTAAAAATTGATGAAATGAATATTTTACTATGAAAACATTTTACCACACACCCTTGGCATTTTTTAACAAAGTTTTCTATCCTCCTTGTAGTCTCTCGAGGCTGAAAGTCTGTATTGGGATCAGGTACGCCATAAACTCCAATGTCCACAAACATCCTTTCTTTTGGTGTTTTCAGCATTCCTGGATCAGCACAGAGTTTGAAAGGGCAAAGCCAAACAGGATACACCTAGTAAAAATTTGATAAATATCCAACAATAGTAAACTATATTTTACTGTACCTTCACTTCTTTATTAAAAACTTGCAGCGATTCCTTGAGGTTGGTTACAGGTACAAGCATATCTTGAATAATGTGGTTATTTTCATACAGCCTTTTCACAGCATCTGTCTGTGTTAGTTTAAGGAACGAGATTTTTGGTGGCATGATCCAGCCAAGCAGTAAACGAAACAGCCTATTGTTTCCAAATGGAACAATATCCTGGCAATAAAATTATTTACAATCTTGTCAATTTTCAAATTAGATTTAAGCATAAAATGATGATACAAGAAAAACAAAAATTATCAATTTATGTAACCTGCAGTTCCCAAAAAATAGATCTTGTGTGTCGATGGTAATAGTCTCTCAAAGGAATGACCTCGCTCCCAGTTTTTCCTGTGACCAGGTAGCTCTCCACGTGCTTAAAAAACCAAGGTTTGTACCACTTCCCAATTTTGTTGACCTATCCAAACAAATTTTGCTTTTAAAAAAATAAAGAATTAGATTTCATGGGTTGATTATTGACCTTGTCGCTGTGCTGCGGTGCTTCAACCATGTTTCCTGTCATGACAACACCTTTATTTAAGGTGAACATAATACCCTCGACAAATTGATTGTTGCTCATTGAGGCATCGGAAAACTCTTTCACAGCATCATCTAGTGAATACACTGGCTTGTAGTTCAATTTGATATACCTGATTGAGAAAAATAGTGTTGCAATTTACAAAAAAAAAGGTAATATAAATGTATTGCAATTCTTACTTGGTACATGGCACGATCTTGATTTTGGCAGCTGTGAGAAAACCAAGAGTACCGTAAGACCATGGAACAGCATAAAACAAGTCAGGGTCTGATTCCTAATACTTATGTTAATGTTATTTAAAATTTTTAATTAAATTTGTACCTTAGTCACAGTAACAAGGCTGCCATCAGCTAAGACAAGTTCATATTCAACACAGATGTGTTGAAAAAGACCATACTTGTGTGACGAAGACTCTATTCCAGTGCCCATGATTAGACCGCCTGTGCTTCTAATTTAATAAGCCAAGCAAACATAAAAATCTATTAATTTACCAACAGTCAAATCATCAATTTCAGGAACAATAGGAATAGTCCAGCCCAAGGGCGACAATGCAGCACTTAACTGACCCATTGAAACCAAAGGTTCTACTCGGACAGTCTTAAAAAATTCAAGTTAAAACCAGCAAAATCAAAACCGACTGATAAAAACAACCTTGTTTTTTGTATCAACTTCTAAAACATCAACCAGGTTGACTTCAACTTGATGAAAGCTTTTTTTATAAACTCCTTGTCGAAAGCTCATGGTCTGCCAGCCTGGTCGAGCCGTACACATATGGCCTTTCTGACCATTTCTGTTCCACTCTCGAACCTGCAAAAAAAGTATTTTTTCTTTATTTATGTTTCTATAAAAGATCATAATCGTATGATTAAATAAATTAAAATAAGTTCTTGATACCTGTTTTTGAACTTTTTGCACTTTGGCAGCATGTTTGCCAGGCGCACTGCTCAGCTTAAATACGATGCTGTTTCTGAAGTAATTCCAGACTTCATAAAAGAAGGAGGCCGGGAGCAGGAAAAAGCACACAAAAAACCAGCGGTAGTTGATCAAAATGTGCTCCAGCAACTGGTCGCTCTGGCCCATCTTGAAGACTTTGACCTCCGATGGTTCTCAAAAGATTGAAGCACTGCAAAAAGAAATAGTGATGGAATGGCGATTATTTTATATGAACAGAGAATTGCATCTATTGGCAGAGACAAGCAAACACCTGCAAAGATAAAAAAGTAGATGTGGTGCTTACGAATTGATAAAAAGGGGCGATCATGTTCCGAATGACTGACTTGTGACCGGTACAAATGAAAAAATTGCACAAAACAAAAATTAGTTTCTATCAATTTTATTCATTGAAAATTAAAATTTGAAAATAAAACCAGTACATTTTTTTTTATTTTTTATTGTAAATTCTAGAACGTCAAGAATATCAATAGCTATTTAAAAAATTTTATTTTCAGATTTTGAAAACAAGCAAATTTAATATTTAAACCAATATATTTGCATAAGTTATTTCACAAGATATCTGAACTCAAAATTAATCATGATTGAAATTTGAGCCTACGTTTTTTGCCGAATTAAAATTAATCTCCAGCATTAACAATTTAAATGTTCCTAATAACCTTTTTCTCGACGTGTCATGCGTTACTCTTGTCCCTAAAAAATAATCAATCAGATCAACTTAGCATTATCAGAGACAGCACAAGGATAAGATAAGTAGTGCTGAGTGCATATCCCTGACAAAAACAATTATCATACCACTGCCTGTGCAGGTTACATTTGCACCAAGATGTGAGTATATCTGCCTGAAATTTTCCATTCACGTTGAATTATTTAAATATATTTCAGGGCAAGTGATAAGCTGCTAGTTTTTCTTGGGCTCTGCGCCCTTGCCACCTGTCTACCTACGGAACCTAAAGCACATGATGATCCTAATTTGTTGGCAGAATTTGGGTAAAATTGTACTAAATTAATAAAATATGTATCCTTAAAAATATACTCTTAGAGGTGTGGCTAATGTAAACCCTAGAATGACAGTCAACACAGAAGGAGTTCCCCCTTATTTTCCGGGTCCGGGCTTTAAAGTTAAATTGCAAGGATGGCAGGACACAAGCAACCAGAATTACTATGTCAACATTACGGTCACCGACATTCCTATTTTTGTGCCAACAGCTGTACCGCCTCAGGAGGGCCAAACCCGCATTCCCGACAATGATGAAATTGAAAGTAATTGCTTGAATTAAATTTATTTCCCTATTATTTACTGATTGTCAATTATTACATAATGATTTAAAGCAACATTCCACTAATTATTCAATTAAATTAAATTACCAATTTTTTAGAATTCAAAATAATATCACTTCCATTGTTAATATTATACTAATTATCATTATTTTGCAGACATCCAAGTTTATTTTGCCAATGCTGATGGGAGAATTTTGGAAGTTCGTTTCAACAGGTATTGAATTGATAAACAAGTGAAGATGAAATGTTTCAATCAGTTGAAACTACTATATTTTAATTTATAATTTAATTTAAATATCTTTTAAAATAATATTTAATGTTAAATCAAATAATATTATACTTAAATTCAAATAAACGAAAAGATTTATTTGAAATAAAAAATTGACTTTTTTAGGTTCCAGCAGTATTTGGGACGCTTATGGGCGCGCCCCTATAAAATGCTCAGGGACGACGTGACGGTAGACATTGTGGGCCTCTCTGTGGGCTCTGACAAGTACGCGATGACCGTTATTGTGCCGGCCAATGCACTTCCAGCCCAAACAACCTCGGCCCACGCCGTGGTCGTTGACCCCACCAGGGAGGGTGGTGACAAATACTACACTTATTACCGTCTGTACAACTACCCCATCGCCTTTGACTGGAACATGAAGGTGTACCAAAAGTTTATGCCAGTGGATCTATACCAGCTAGCACCGGAGTCCGAAAATGCAGATTACTCATCTTGGTGGAACGGAATATAAAATTATTCCTTCTTAAAAAAACCCGCAGCCACTTTTGTTTTATACTATTGAATATTATTACTGTTGAAAAGAAAAAAAAACTAAATAAAATGTTATATCAAATTTTTCTTTCCAGTTAAAACATGAAAAATGTCTTTTTATAAATTCATAATGGACATCGAATCACATTGAAATTGTTGAAATTAGTTCAAGACAAAGGAATTTGCTCAAAATTCAAATTGCGTGTTCAAATATTGATTAATTTTTCAAATCAGGCAAAATGTTCGCAGTCGGTAGGATTCGAACCTACGCTCCCAGAGGGAATCTGATTTCTAGTCAGACGCCTTAACCACTCGGCCACGACTGCCAGACAAATCAAAATTTTGCAAAAATTATTTATAATCGCTTGTTTTAATTCGTAGAATTATTAATTAATATCTAAAAATCTCAAATTGGTGAAAATAATCTTAAACTCTCTATTAACCATTTAATAGCCTAATAAAAGCCTTCGGAAATTAAAATTTTAACCTAATCCAATCGCAATAAAATTGTGTCCACTTTCAATGCCATCTTCCGGAGAGAAAGCTCGGTGCAAGTGAAGTTGGTGTCTGTGCGTAATTTTCTATTAGGAAATTGCATAGATTTCAGTCATGTACTTTTCCTGCTATTTAATTGACGAATGAAAAAAACCAACCACCTTACCACAGACAGCCTTGAAAAACTTGCCAACCATGAAATTTCGACACTTTTTAGTTGCAAAACACACATCATGGCCTTGGACCCCCAAAAATTATGCAAAACCGGTCCTTGGTATTTTCGGGTTTGCCAGTCCCAAAGAGACGATGGGTCTGCGGAAAAACTGTTAAAAATTATTGAGCTTTCTTACCAATGCGGGCTAGGGTGAGCTGGTGTCCATTCAGAGGGAAATTTCTCCTCTAAACCCGTTGGAAAAAGTCGATCGAATGAGTGCTTAAGTCACGGCATGATGTTATGAAAACAGAAACAGAAAAGGATGTTGAAGAAAATCGAGTCTTGACTCGCAGATGGCGCTGCTTCTGGCAAAGCAGGATTCAAAAAATAATTTAACGAAAGGTTTTTTTACTCGGTTTGTTATGAAAACAAGACCGGTATTTTAGTATATTTACCGAAATTCAAATAAATTGAATTTTCTACATTCCAACAGCGTTTGTGATAATTACGGTTATGAAAATTTGCATATCGTTGAGAATTGTTTGCTTTCCGTATGGTTTGGATCCCGTATTCCTGTTATTGTCCCCGGAAAGCCGAAATCAAATGATTAACCCTTTGGTGACGAATCCGTCAAACCGGTTAAACCGGTTGGGATGCTGGAAAATCGTCTCCCTCCCTCTGTAGCAGCCGCATGCCTCGCTTATTGAATGCACAGTTTGTTGTTTTGACGCCGCCTCGAGTGCAGGCACAGGTTTCGTTTATGAATCCGCGCCCGACGGATCCCAAGTTCAGTAAGCGGTTGTAGACACCCTGTTTTTAAACAGGGGCGACTCCGTATTCAGGTGGTGACGAGGGACAAACCAGTGGATTATCCGTCAAGGACGAATCAAGTCATTTACTCGCGACAAGAATAAGAGCTTCGGGAAACTTGATCTGTAAGTACCTGGCGGGCAATTTTTTGTTGCTTTTTATATTTAGCTGTCGGGCGCGGAGAGGAAGAAAAAAATAGACAAAACTCTCGTCGGAATGGCCCTCGGAGTTTTAATTTGCTCTCGAGCGTGCAGCTGCAGAATTGTTTGCGAAATTCAGCTTCAGTCTACTTGAGTTTGCAAATTGTGATAAATTAGCAGATGCACGGCCAACGTTTTTATTCCTCCCGCGAGACGTGACTTCAATTTTCACCTGCGCTTATTTTTTAGCCGACCGTCGCTAACTTGCTAAAATGTATATTTCGTGTCGTATATTATATTGAAATAAAATTGCAAAACGTAGCGAATGTTGGAAATGAGCAGAGTTTGGTTGCACAAATAACAAAAGTTGCCGCTCGTTAAAAGTAAAAGGTCAAGCCCTGGGTCGTGCAGCAACCCACCTTTCGAAGCGTTTGTTGCCTTCAGCAAAGATACAATCATGCACTCAGCCATTCTGCTGACTAGTGCACTTCTAACTAGCTGAGTAATTTTTCGAACTTGAAATTGCTGGTTTCAAACAAACGAGCTGACATTAAGAATGACGGCAATTTAGTTTGTTATTATTATATTGCTTTTTATTTCATAAAAATATTTTTTTTCGATTTTAGTTCAAATGTTTAAATTTAAATAATTATTGATTGAAATATAAATATTCTTATCCTATACGTATAAATATTTATAGAAGTTCTATTTTTTTCAAGGTTTATAGCAAAAACAAAATAATTTTACATATATTTTAAACATGGATTGAGATAAAAAGTATTAATAAAATTCTCTAATCATGCCCAAAATTATCAAACTTACTTTTTTAGAATCCAATCTGTGATATTTGCACTTGAAATCAGTTCATAGATTCATAGCGACTTTAATGAACGACTCGCAGTTTAAATTAGGGCTTTCATTCAATTATCTATGCTGGAAGAAAACCGTCACGGACAATTTTAATTAATACGGTAACACAATTAATGGACTCCTTCCAATATTTTTTTTTTGCACAACCTTGAGATTTGCTCGAGCGTTCAAGGTTTTGGTATCTATGCTAACTTCTAGTCTCTTTGCTGACCAACGTATTCAACCATTTCACTTGCTTTTACTTTGAACTGTAACACATCATTTGGAGATCGAAATATAATTATCATGCATTATGTTTGTGTTCAAAATTTTCATATAAGATTCGACGAAAACAATTAATATAAAATTTTGAATTTATTTAAAGAAGTTTCCTCTTCAAGTAACAATGTCCCCATCTAAAATGAAATTAAAAAAGTTTCTTTTGAGAAATATATAATTTGCTTGGAGAACATTTTAATGATTGAAAGTGCAATGATGCGAATTATATTAAAATGAAGCTTTTGAGGAATTTATCCTCCTCGTAGTAAAAACTGTTTTTACAGATCCGCCCGTAAAATACCTCAAACACAATAAAACAGGCCGATTTTTATGCATTTCTCCGGCGGCAGAGCAAACGAGAGCACCGAAAACAAAGAGCGCACACAGAAGCCAGTCGCGGAGCCGTAAATTTTTAATAGCCAAGCGTAAAATCCGGCGCCTCCGCACTGCATTTGCATTTATTTTTTTCCGCTGCTCTTGTTTTGGGAAATCAGGTCGGTCGGATGGGCTGGAGTGTCACCCATCGGCGCCACGGATGATCGGCATAGGCTTTCGGTCTGGTTCGCTCGCTCGCTGCCTGGCTAGGTCACTAACTCACAAAGTCGCTCTTTTCTCGTGACTTCGCACGCACGAATGATCTGTGTACCGCGGCCGACAATAAAATAAAACGCGCAGACAGACACACAAGAGTCTTGTAATCGCTGCTCCCATGCGATTGCGCGATAATGTTTTGCCCTTTTTCATTATATTTTCTGGCTCCTCTTGCTGCTTTGTTGTTGGCACGCTTGTTTCGTGCACCGGCTCGGCCCTGGGAATGGATCTTTGCTCTTTTTAGAGGAGACATGCTGAGCAGAGCAATAAAAACGGGAAACTGTTGCCAGCTTGCCAATTACAACGCCTTTGGCAAGGCAAAAATACAAATTATTGTTACGTCTAATTCAAAATTTATTTGGGGGTTATAATTATTTTTAAATAAATTAAAAAAAACAATGTGTATGATTTTATGCTTTTGTGATAAAATGTTCACTTTATATAAAAATTCATTTTAACTGTGTTTTTATCAAATATTATTTCCATTATTTCATAAATATATTAATGTTTAATTCAATAAAAAAATTTTAAAAAATTTTGTCTCATTTTCATAAATCAAAATTTTTATTTTTTATTTATAAATGGGTTTTATGTAAGAAACATGAATTTATTAATTGTAAGTATTATAGCATTAAATTTCTGAAAATTTTAAATTATTTGGTTTGACCTCAAGGAGAAGAAAATTACGTGTTAAAATTGTATTTCTATAAATACTTTGTGCTCGCAGAATTGTTTCTTAAGTTAAATTGTTTTCATACATGGATTTCCTGAATTAATTAATAAATATGTAATAAACATCATAGCATATCATAGAAGGTCCAAAAATTAAGATTCCACTACCCAGCATGAAAAGTGTTGGCGATAATTTGTGTTGGTCTACGTGAGTCGTTTAAATATTTACCCGGTTCATTTTGGACCGATATTATTTTTTAACCAAACGTGGCTCTCGCTGCGAATTCATCGCGTGGAAAACCGCAGATCGGGCTGAAATAGTAATAAAAAAAATTGTGCCCGCCGTTCTGTGATGCAGCAGCTTTTTCGGCTGAGGCACGGCGCGGATCGCTGGCTGCTCGCTCGCCTTGCTGGAAGTAGAGCCGCTTTTTACGAGCACTTTGATGGATGTTTAATGCCAACCGAATGCCTCTGCCATTTTTTCGTTTGTTTCGTAATTTTGTGTGACGTTTCCCGAAGCCGTACAATAATTGAAAAATTTCACTCGGAAAGCATATATTATATGCGAACACGGCTCGCTAGTCAGTGACGCATTGCTCATGCTGGAAATAACCTCCGTGATTTGGCCGAGAAATTCTTGAGCACTATTTTTGTATTGTAAGTATTTTTCTTTTATTATTGTTAAACAAACTAAAAGTGGGATAATAAACAGCAGCAGTAGCACTTTTCTGTGTTTGTTTGATTCCCAATAAAAAACTTCAGTAAACAGATTTCGCTTGTTTTTGGCGTATGTCACTCTCAAGCATCATCATTCTCGGTGCTAATTCTCGGCGCGCCATAAAAAGCCCGGCCATATTTCACATGCATGATTTTAGTACTTCAAGTGCGCTTAATCTGCACGCGAGTGTTCGCCGCTCGAAACCGGCTTTCGAAAAGTTGCTGCGGCAAATTTTTCCTTTATGGGCGTTAATATGTATAATCTATGCGTGTGCCAAACTAGAATTTGGATGTGTTCGTGCTCAGCAGTTGACGACGACCACGTTCAATTAAGAGGTCAAAACACCTAGTTTGTAATAAAAAAATGCACAAAGAGGAAAAATAAAAAAGTTGGTTTTTCCTTAAAAGGCATCAGGTTTTTTTGTTTCGTGCGCATATGACGTTAATGACCGCAGAATTTCGTAAAATTAACACTTTCATCCGCTGCCTGCATTTGGTAATCAATTACCAGCGAGATAAGTCGAGGATGCAGCCATTGAAGCGGAATATCGTGGGATGAAATTTGAGTTTGTTTCTGGCTCGTTTGGCAAATCGGATGTAACGACCAGCAATTAACAAACTTCTGCGGTGGTTCAACTTTGCCCATCAGTAAAGAGTTTTGTGGAGATATAAATAATTAAATATGCTGTAAGAATTTCTGCAGAGGAATTTTAAATGCAATTATAATTGTCAATTATATGTTAATAATTATTGTTGCTACAAATGTGTGCAAATATTTTATTTTGAATTAGAGCAAATAATTTTAAAGTAATTATTTTTTTTTAAAGGTTTACAAAGTTGGGTATTTTTAATCAGTCGTAAAAATATATTTCCGTGGACTGCGAAAATTTATAGACGTAGCAATTTGTCTAACAAAAACTATAGAAAAGATTTTCTTACATTTCGAAACTTCAAAACTCGTGATTTCTGTTGTTAAACACGCGATTCAAACCCTATTCAGAGGCCATTAAAGTACCGCTAGCAAATTTGCACCAGTGGAATCCTGCGACATAAATCTTCAACCTTTTGCGATGCCACCAACGCAGCGAGATCTGAATAATTGGATCGTTAGTGCTTTCGAACACCCACTCAAAAAGACGGTGCAGCTGACGTTGAGGAAGCGCCCTTTTTGGCAAAAATCGCCCCGTAGGCAGGCTGAATCGTGAAATGCGCACACGTCGTGTATGTATAGGTACGGACATGATGCAGCGATTTCGCACGCGGACATTCATTTCGCAGCCTCCCACTGATGAAGTGCATTTACATTCGTCTCTCTCTCTTTCACTCTACAGACGTTTGCTGGTTGCACTGCTCGCTGAGCAAGATAACAACATTTATAAAATATTATACTCGGGCTGCTGTTGGTTGCGGTTTGAGCGTCGGTCGGACGGTTCGTCGTCGCGTACATAAGCGCTTTTAATTAAATCACTTTCACGAGCTGTTTCGCCACCTTTTCTGAAAGCATGACTCTCGTGCTGATATTACATACACACTAACCCTGTTTATCAGCCACCAGCGCAAAATCGTGCATGAAAGAGTAAAACGAATGTTGCAAAGAGGCAGGAAGGCGGGGTTCCTTTTCGCGTTGTCGGCCACGCGAAGTGCAGCAATAATTCATGCTAATTCTGGGAGGGCCGCTTAATTGGGCGTGAGATTTAAATGGATGGCCCTCTAGATAACGATTTTGGACTCAAAAAACGCACGCTTGCCTGCCTTTTGTTTGTTTTCACTTTGCTTGTTGATACTGTGAATAAAAATTGATATGACGAGACATCAAGAGTGTTTGTTTACATTCAATAAAAATAAGCATTAAAAAATTATTCTTTGTATTAGTTTTT